AGCAAAAGGAATAAAACAAAACCACCAAAAATCATTGTAGAAATCTCAGCCAACTCCTAAATAGCTATTTGAGAAGAATTTGACTGCTGGCTTTTTTTTTTACTTCGATTTTAACAAGGTTCCATTTTTCCCCTTGCCTGAAGACAGTGGGTATGTGTGATCAGACATGAGAAGAATTTTCTTGGGTGACAAGATTTGACAGCAGGCAGGGTAGAGTGTTCTAAAGCTCATGCACATCAGCCGAATCTCAGCTTCAGAACAGTTCTTCTTCGTCCTTTTAAAGCTTACATTATAGTCATTATTTTTTCAAGTTAAACATAAAAATTGTATGTGTGATGTATCGGTGCATATATACATATAAGTTAAATGTGTCTGTCCCTCGATTCTTCATGGTAAAAAGTGTCTCTCTCTCTTTTTCAGGGGGCTGGTGAGAGATGGACTCACACTGTAACCCACGCTGGCCTCAAACTCACAGTGATTCTCCTGCCTCACCCTCCCGGGATCTTGGATTACTGGAGTGAGCCACCACATTCAGCTAAACGTGTTTCTTTTGAAAGGGTTGTGTGGTTGCTGACCACCTGTCTTCGCTTGTGTTGAGAAACAGCTGTGGTAAAGGCCAGCCCCTCCCCAGCCCACTTGTCACTGTTATAAATGAACAGAGTTTCACAGTCCCCAGAGACTCTCAGCATGAATTCTGGGTTTCCTCATGATTTTTAGCTGAAAACAGCTAGAAGCTGTTCTCCTGTCTCAACCAATTCAGCTCAGATCACTGAAAACTGTATTGACCATCTTCCCTAAGTTACAAACCCTAAACGTTTCTCAACTCCAAACCAAAGCTTTCAGAGTTGCTAAAACAATGTAACTGGCATTTAGCTTCATCCCTAGAGGAGGAAAGACTACCTCCTTACAAAATCCCAAGGCTAGAAACCGTTACCTGAGAAGCAGGCTCTGGACAGATGGAGACAACAGTCTACAGGTCTCGGGGATATGAGTGCCTCAGAATAGAATTCACTTAGTAGGATAAAGAAACTTAATAGGCAATGTAGGAAATGAACATTTTTGTTCCTGTAAGCTAAGACACCCGGTGACTTCTACTCAAGTCTTCTGGGATTTATAACTAAGTATTAGCCTGCTTTCTTTCTGGAAATGACAGGATCCACATGCTATGAGAAAGGTCCTGTCTTTGCTCTTCCTCTGCCTTCATTATCTTTCTTCTCCCACCATAAGAACCCTGTATGTATGTATGGTGTGTGTAAAATAATAGTTGTAAGTCATTTTGACATTGTTTGGATGGATCTATTTTAATAAGAATGCTTGATTTGTAAGAATTCAGGGCCTTTTCGGTAGTATCACTATGCCAATGCTGAGCTGACTTCAAACTATCCAGTAGCTCTCAGGCTTCTAATCACACTCTCAAGGGGATAAAGGCATGCAATGACATGCATCCCTGCATTCGGAAAAATGCAGCTGCATTTGCACTTTCAGCCCATTCTCTGGCATCTCAAGAGGCAGAACTCTGTAGGACAGGGAACAATGGGTCTGAGTTCATCCACAGCCCAGTGAGGACCAGCTTCAGGGCCTCATTCACATGCCCCTGGCAAAAAGTTGGGAGACTTTGGAACAAAGAAACCATGAGGAGACCCCTGAAATGGTGTCATGTGAAAAACTTATTTACATTGATTGTAGCCAGAAAACAGATTTTTAATATTCCCAACACAATGAAAAGCAAACACTCCAGACCATGGGTTTGCTCGCTATCCTGATTTGATCCTATTTATATGTTATTGTATGTAAATATAATACACAATACCCCCTTAAATATGTACAAACATGTGTGAATTAAAAATAATTTAAAGTTGAATGGAAATAGATCCATATCTATCACCAGGCACAAAACTCAAGTCCAAGTAGATCAAAGACCTCAGCATAAATCCATCTACCCTGAACCACATAAGAAGGGAAAGTGGGAAGTACCCTTGAGTGCATTGGAACAAGAGACCACTTCCTAAATATAACACCAATAGCACAGGCACCGAGAGTAACAATTAATAAATGGGGCCTCCTGAAACTGAGAAGCTTCTGTAAAGCAAAGAACATGGTCAATAAGACAAAACAGCAGCCTACAGAATAGAAAAAGATCTTTACCAACCCCACATCTGACAGAGGGCTGATCTCTAAAATATACAAAGAACTCAAGAAACTAGACACCAAACTACCAAATAATCCAATTTAAAAAATGGGGTAGAGATCTAAACAGTGAATTCTCAATAGAGGAATCGAAAATAGCAGAAAGGCACTTAAGGAAATGCTCAGCATCCTTAGTCATCAGGGAGATGCAAATCAAAACAACTCTGAGCTTCCATCTTATACCAATCAGAATGGCTAAGATAAAACAAACCAAAGACAGCTTATGCTAGAGAGGATGTGGAGTAACAGGAACACTCCTCCATTGCTGGTGGGAGTGAAAACTTGTACAGTCACTGTGAAAATCAGTATGGCAATTTCTCAGAAAATTAGGAGTCAATCTATCCTAAGACCCTGCAATACCACTTTTGGGCATACACCCAAACGAGGCACACTCATACCACAAGGACATTTAAAAGTCCAGCTATGTTCATAGCAGCACTATTCAGAATGGCCAGAACTTGGAAAAAACCTAGTTGCCCCTCAACAGAAAAATGGATAAGGAAAATGTGGTACACTTACACAATGGAGTACTACTCAGTGGTAAAACAAACAAACAGACAAACAAACAAAACAAACAAACAAACAAAAAACAATGACATCTTTAAATTTGCAGGCAAATGGACAGAACTAGAAAAAAATCCTAAGTGAGGTAACCCAGAACCAGAAAGACAAATATAGTATGTACTCAATTATAAGTGGATACCAGACATAAAGCAAAGCATAACCAGCCTACAATCCACAACCCCAGAGAAGTTAGATCTCTCTTTCAGAAACAGATGGAAGCAGATGCAGAAATCCACAACTAACCATTGGGCCAAGCTCCTGGAGTGCAACTGAAGTGGGGAAGGAGCCATAATATGAACAAAGGGGTCAAGACCATGATGGGGACACCCACAGAATCAGTGACCTGAGCTAGTGAGAGATCACTGCCTCCACACTGTCAACTGGGGAACGGGCATAGGACTGAACTAGGACCCCTGAATACAGGTGACAGTGGTGAGGCTTGGGCAGTTATAAGGCCACTGGCAGTGGGACTAAGATCTAACTAGAATGCATAAACTGGCTTTGTGGAGCCCATCTCTATAGAGAGACGCCTTGCTCAGCGTAGCCATAGTGGTGGGTTCCTTGGTCCTGCCTCAATGAGGTGATAGGACAGACTTAGTTGATATCCTAAGGGAGTCTTTACCCTCTCTGAGCAGATGGGAGGTGGGATGGGCAGAAGGACGGAAGAGCGTGAGGAGAGAAAGGAGGGGGAACTGGGACTGGAATGTAAAAACTAAATTAAAAAATAATAATCTAAAGTTAACAACTATTTTAAAACTCATTTTATCAATCTCCATAAGAACACATTGTAGCCAAGTAATTATAAAAAAGAATTATTCATTTGACGTGAGTTCTTTCCTTCCTTTTACCAGTTTCTGCTTGTGGCTAGCAATTAGAGCAATGGAGTTATTTGCTAGTGAATTAAGGGAATAGTAAATTAACAAATGAGTGAGACCGTCTCCCTTTCCCACACTCACAGTTGTCTGCCCTGAACTCTGATCGCCATATGTGGAGTCATGGACTGACCAGCAAAGCCAAGCCTTCTAGCACTATATTATCTTGTTTAGTGGCACACAGGTTAGCTAACTCACCACAAGCAGCAAATTCGCCAGGTGTTCACTAGCAAACGGGTTTGTAATTCACAAATGAAGGCAGGTCCTAGGTTGGGATGAGATGTTTGGCCGAGAAGCTAGGGTCCAGCTAACAAGGGAAACAAATGTGCAGGAGACAAGGGAACAGGCTCTGTTATGCCTGTGGCGAGGACAGGAAGGAGACTCAAGCCTTTGCCCAAGGCTCAGTATGGGCAGGTGCCCCATTTTCAGATGCTATTTAGTTTTTGATATCTAGCATACATGGATCTCCAGGGTCTTGTTTCCTAAAGACTTCTTTTTGGAGAGAGAGAGAGAGAGAGAGAGAGAGAGAGAGAGAGAGAGAGAGAGAGAGAGAGAGAGAGAGAGAGAGAGATGCAAGTGTCATCAGGTACCCAGGAATTGAAGTTACAGTTGATTAGTGAGCTGAACTCAGGCCCTCTGGAAGAACAGCAAATTCTTTTAGCTTCTGGCCAGCTCTCTAGCCCTTAAAAAACATCTTAATTTTTCTCAAACCCAGTCTTATGGGGTCATTGTGCCTATTGGTATGCCCACACTTAACACATGTAAAACTATACCTAAAGTAATTCAGTTTTTATTACTAGAACAGAGAAATCTTTAAGGTTGAGATGTCAGTATTTCTAGAGTTTACTTGCAAATGGTAGGTGGCAATGAAAACACGGGTTAAGAACTAAGGCAAAATGTAAGTGGTAAATCTACATGGGAAGTAGCGAGACGTTTGAGATGCTCATGGTACTGTGGCGCCAGCTTTCTGTAAGCTTGACATCATGCAAAGTACAAAAACAAAAAGATGTAAAGGGAGGAGAAAAAATAAAAAGAATAGAGGGCTATTGTCTGTGCCTGGGCAGCAGGGCTCTTCTGAAGAGACAAGAACGGGAACACCACGCCCTGACTTCTATGTTCCCTAAGCACTAAGTAACTATCAGTTATGCTAAGACACAGAGGACTTTGCAAGTCTTTGAGTCCCGTCTGGGCACAGGAGAGGGCAGATAGACTTTGGGAAGAACCAACTCATCCCTAGGCCACTGGGCCACGCCCCTTACCGTCCAGATCCCAGCCAATCAATGTGGGCACGCCCACCTCACTGTTACATATGCATGACCCTGGCTGGCCTTCTGGCTTCTTTTCTGCCCCAGCACCAGATGCAGGCTGGCATTTGCTCCTGCTTCTGACTGGGGAGAGTAAATCAACTCTGCAGGCCCCTTTCCGAAAGCTCATTTGGAACAGACTCCTGCCTGCAGGTTCCCAGCCTCCCAACTTCCTGGCTGTCCCCGGGGTCCACGGGCAGCAGACCAGGTCTCATGAAAACCTCAAAGGCATCCCAGCGCTACAGGAGCATCCGGAGAAATGCCAGCCAGTGCTACCTCTACCAGGACTCCCTGCTGCTTGGGTGAGTGGCCTACTGGCTTCTCCAAAATGAATGCATAAACTTACTTCTCCGGAGTCACATAGAACTGGGGTCTCCACCACATCAGTGCACTGGGAGGGAGAAGCTGCCAGCTGCTGCTTCTTGACCAGAGCTGTAACCGACACTCACTTTTTTGCCCGCCAATGGATACACACACACAGCCCACACATGGGCTCTTTCTGCATGTCCCTGTTTTCTCTATTGCTAGTGTCGTGTCAGAACAGAGCTTACAAGACACCTGTCACCTCAGGTAAATCAGGTGTCTGCTTGAAAAGGCTTCTGACAACTTGGAAGTGGGTAAGGGTAGGAACCCAATGTGTTAAGTTTTTAACAGGATTTTATTGTTGTTGTTGTTGTTAAATACTGAAACCTCCGCTAACTCTGAAGAATATTTTTTCCTTCAAGGAAATAAAAGACGTCTCAATTAGAATGAAAAGAAATGTTTTCTCTTGCAAAAGCCAAAGTTTATCATCTGCACTTAAAAATGTATTGGGTTACATATTAAATATTGCTGGGGGAAAGGCCCTGTTATGTGTTAGAATAGTGTTCTTCTACACAGTAGCCATGCTTTGGAGGAGTCTGCCCCAGCATTCACTTAACTCATTTTTTTTCTTTGCAAAAACCACTGCCTACTTCTAACTCTCTTGTCTTGGGTTTTAAAAGAACACAAAGGCATCTCTAGGTGATGCAGGTTTGTGTTTATCTCTTTTACCTTCAGTGTGGGAGAAGAAGGCATTATGCCTCTACATTTGGCTGGTCACTTTGGCGAGTCTGTAAATGAGACTGTGTCTCCTATCAAAACTGCTGCTCCCTAAGAGTGGATTCCACTGCAGGAAACCCTCTTCTCCTCTCTCCTTGGGTGTCTCTTGCCTTAACAAGTTGTTCTTTTTCACTAACAACTTAAGTAATAGAATCCCACAAATGAGTTTCTGTGGGCTGCTCTCAGTCTATGGACACACACACACACACACACACACACACACACACACACACACACACACCATACAGCTGACCCTAGGACAGTGAGATGCAGAAATTACCCAGGAAAGATGCTCTTTGCTGGAAGCAATTCTCTAATCAGATTTCCTCCATGATGCCCGTTTCCATTCAGTAACTCGGATGACAGCTTTAATGCTGATGAAACGGGGGACAGCAATGATCCAGAACAAATCTTTCAGAGTATACAGTTCCAGAAAGATCTCATGGCAAACATCCGCTGCAGACCCTGGACCATGGGACAGAAGCTGCGGGCACTGAGGTGAGGGCCTCCACAGAGAATGTTAATAAGAGTGAGTAGACTTTATGATTAAACCACATCCTGCCCAGAAAAGCTGGGGTGAAGAGGGATGTGAAAGCAGTGACCACCTTGCATATGACTCAGAGACGACCCAAAGATGCTTGAAGGGACCATCTAGTCACAGTGTTGTGTGTGTGTGTATGTGTGTGTGTGTGTGTGTGTGTGTGTGTGTGTGTGCGTGAGAGAGAGAGAGACAGAGACAGAGACAGAGACAGAGAGACAGAGAAAGAGAGTTGTTTTGTGTTGGTAGACAGTTTGGGGTTTCTAATCTCCTTTCTAAACACTAGATTTTCTCATTGTCCCCCACTCACAGGACACAGGGTGAGGGCCAGAACCAAAGAAACATCCCCTTAACTTCCTGCTTTTATCTCTCCTACAAAGAAAGTATCTTTAGTGACCAGGTTATTAGGATATTTTGAGCCCATTAGAAAATCTTTCTCACTCATGGTTAAAAACTTAGCCTTTTTCTTTTTTTGTTGTTGTTATTTTGCTTTTTTGAGACAGGGTTTCTCTGTGGTTTTGGAGGCTGTCCTGGAACTAGCTCTTGTAGACCAGGCTGGTCTCAAACTCACAGAGATCCGCCTGCTTCTGTTTTCTAAATGCTGGGATCAAAGGCATGGGCCACCACTGTCTGGCGTGCTTAGACCTTTAAGACAGATCCTGTCATAATTTTAAAAAGTGGCCCAAAAGAGAAAGATGCCATGCAACAGAGTTTAAGTGGAAGGGTTTTTTATTAAGGAAAAAGAATCATAAAGGGGAGCGGGGAGACCAGCTCTGGAAACAGGAACAGCAGGAGAGAGGAAAGAAAGGCAGGTGGGGGGGAAGAAGGAGGGGGGGATGGGAGGTGGGCAGGGCCCTTTTAAAAGGGAGCATAGTGAATGTGCACAGGTGGTGCTCTTAGGGGCCGCAGCTGAGGGTGAATCCTGTCGGAACCCCAAGAGCAGGCCATTACAAATCTCTAAAACTAAAACTTCCCTTCTGAATTCCACTACCTATTTGGATCTCTAGCTATTCGACCCTGGGCAGGTTTCCTAATTTCTCTAGATACAGGGTCCTCTCTTTAAAGCTGAGGTGGTGACAATCAATGACTCCCATCTCCTGCAACAGTGTTGTGAAAATGTCAACAGCAAAGCACTCAGAGTGCTGTCAAAAACACTGCCTGTGACACCTCTCAGAATCAGAGCCAGACACTATGGAAGATGCATCCAGTCTCTCTCCTCTCATCTCTGTGACGTTGGGAGCGGAACATGAGGCTTCACGCATAATAGACCATACTCACCCAACATTCCAGGTCTCCAGAATTTTTACTATTGATTAGGCTTGATCCTATTGTCCTCTGAAGTTTGAGTTTATAAACATAAGATGTGCTAAGCACCGTGGGTGCTATGTTTTCAATACTTAACATGTACACCTAAGAAGGGGGTTATTGCCACAGATCCCATAAGGGGAGTTGGTGGCATGGTCTTCTTGACTAATGTTGCCGAGCTGTGGTGGTGAACATTATACTTAGAGGATGAATTGACTCCCCATACCTGCTGTTCAGGGACCTCCTGTGTACAGAGAAATACGGTCACATCACCACATTGTGCTCTTCGGCATGGTTTCCTAGATGCCGATGTGCATTCCTGTCCCTTGAGACCTCCCATCTATCAGGCTCATTCATTCATCTTCCAATAAAATCACCTATTCCTGAGGTTTGAGTCCCAGTCTGACCAACGTGACCCTCTGGCTAAAGACACTTTCATCTCGGAAGGCTGCAGTGGCTTCTCCTCTGCCCACTTCCCGTGTCTGTTTCTGGATCTCATTGTTGCCATCCTTTAAGGGTAAGCAGCACCATGCCCACTTGTCAGATGAGAAAGACCATTGAGATGTCAAGAAGGCAGCCTGAGCAAACATGAGTGCCAAGATCAACTTTAAGCTAGACACTCTGGGCAAATTGAAGAGATTCCCAGAGAGGACGAAGGTGGGTGGAAATGGGAACATGAGTGATCAGGTTGTTAGTGGGGAGGGCATTGGAGGGGAGATTAGTGAAGGAGACTACTGGAAAAGGAGGGCTTTTGGGGTCAGGTAAAAACATGATGCAAGGGAATCTCCCAGGAAGACCCCAGCTTGACCCCTAGCAATACTGGATACATAGTCTGAACTAGCCATCTCCTGTGACCAGATTGGTGCCTAGCCCAGTTGTCATCAGAGAGGCTACATCCAGCAACTGGTGGAAACAGATGCAGTTCAAACAGTATTCAGGGAATACTGTAGAAGAGGGGGAGAAAGGATTGTAGGAGTTAGAGGGGTCAAACAAGAAACCTCACAGAATCAACTAACCTGGGTTCTCAGGACTTCACAGAGACTGAAGAGACAACCAGTGAGCCTTCATGGGACTGACCTAGGCACTCTGCATATATGTCACAGTTGTGTAGCTTGGTCCCTTTGTGGGACTCATAACAATGGGAATAGGAACTGTCTATGACTTTTACAGGATTTTGGGACCCTATTCCTCATACTGGGTCACCTTGCCCATCCTTAATTCATGGGCAGGTACTTAGTCTTACTACAACTTGATATGCCATGTTTTGTTGATACTCATGGGAGACCTGCCCTTCCCTAAACAGAAGCAGAGGAGGAGTGGATTGGCAGATTCTGGGGAGGAGCTGGGAGGAGAGGAGAAAGGGGAAACTGTGGCTGGGATATCAGATAGATAGATAGATAGATAGATAGATAGATAGATAGATAGATAGATAGTTAGATAGATAGATAGACAGACAGACAGATTTTATTTACTCTTTGGAGCAATTAATTTAAAACTAAAGAAGAATGCATTCTACCAGAACTTTCAAATACCATTCAGAAATGACAGTTTTTATCTGAGTAGTGGGAAGTTAAACTGTGTGTGTGAGAGAGAGAGAGACAGACAGACAGACAGAGACAGAGACAGAGAGACAGAGACAGACAGAGACAGAGAGAGCTGACCTTTGTGTGCACTAGTAATGCCCAGGGGTAAACACTTTCCCCTGTCACTCTCCACCTTATTCTTTGAGACAGAGTCTCTCACTGAACCCTGGAGCTCACTATTCCTGCTAGACCAGCAGGTCAGTGAATTCTCCATACCATGTCTCCTTTCCCAACCACCTAGTTCTAGACTTAAAATGTATGCTTCTGTGACCAGCTTTCTCTTGGATTGGGTATCCAACCTCAGTTTTTCATGCTAACACAGTAAGCAATTGTGGTTCTTTAAAAAAAAAAAAAAAAAGGCCCCCTAAAGGGAGTGGCACTTATCAGAAGGTGTGGCCTTTTCAGAGGAAGTGTGTCACTATGAGGGTAGGCTTTGAGGTCTCTTGTTTAAGCTCCCCCGTGACTATCAATTGACCTCCTGTTGCCTGCAAGATATAGCACTCTAAACTCCAGCCCCACATCTGCCTGCATGCCTCTGTGCTTGCCCCCATGATGATAAAGGACCGAACCTCTGAAACTGTCAGCTACCCAACCCCAATTAAATGTATAAGCATTGCCGCGGTCATGGTGTCTCTTGTAAGCAATAAAAACCTAAGACAGCAATTCACTCCCTTGCACCATCTCCCCAGGCCAGGTTAAACCTTTTTTAACATTGTGACCAGAGCAGAGTAGATGCTTACCATTCTTTCAGATAATTTCAGGAATAAAACACAAACCTGGGTGGCTGCTGAGTTCAATCACCCTGCCTGCCTCACCACAACTCCAACAATGTCAGACACAGGCCACACCTCAGACTGGCAGCAAGGCTCCTTTGTCATTGTCCTGTGTCCCACATCTCTTGCCCTTTACCTTGAAAAGCTACTGGAGCACCGCTTCACTAATTGAACCCACTGAGGCTTGTCCTGGTGTATGTGGAGCGTGAGGAACCCTGACAGCTTAGAAATCAAGGAGGCACTCCAACACCAGTAAAAGCTACCCGTCTGCGAAGACAGCTCACACTTGCTTCCTGTTACCGGGCCTGTGTTGTGTGCCTCTCTCCCTCATCTCCCCACACCTTCATCCTCCACCACAGAGCTGCGGTGTCCCCTCCTCTTCATCACTGCCTCTTGGCAGCTAAGTCATCTTTACTAAGTAGGGAGCCCTTCTGGGACAGCTCTTTCATGCATGTCTGCATGGCGCTGTCCTTGACCAAAACAACAGTGCCAAAAATATGTGCAGGGAACAAAGCTACAAGTACGACGATGAAATTATTTGCTATTGTGACTTTTGCAGTATTTTATTTTTTGCATGCATACTACTGTTTGTGTGTTTAAAAGATGTCATGGTAGGGGCTAGGTCGTCAGCTTTCATCCTTTCAACACCTGTGATTTGATCTGGGTAGAGCCAGCGTGGGTGGTAGGCTACAATAATGAGGGCATTAAAACTCAGAAGCCAGAGCCAGGAGGATAAGGAAGTTCAAGGTCATCCTTGACTATATAGCAAGTTTAAGGCCAGCCTGGGCCACACAGAAGACCCAGATTCAACAAAAACAAAATATAATGAAGATATTGCAATTAGTGGGGTGGAAGTCTAAAATCCAGAATTTGGAGAAAAGTAATGATTTGGGGAGGTTACCTTGTCTGTAGTGTAGAAACAATTGACTTGTCCCTTGTGCCCCTAAAGGAGCACATCTAGTGGGTGTTATTATGACGGCTTGGGAAGCACATACAAGAATGAGCTCTTGGACCCCAGACCGACAGTGGGGAGGCCAGCATGGGACTGATCTGGACCCCCCAAATGTGAGTGTCAGCGAGAAGGCCTGGGCAACCTATGGGGCCCTGAACTGTGGATCAGTGTCTATCCCTGGAATACAAACAGTCATCGTGTGCCTATAGCACAAAGAGGGATGCTCTCTCAGCCTGGACTCTTAGGGGAGTGCCTGGACCCTACCCAGAGTGAAATGACAGACTCTAGATATCCCCTATGTGGAAGGATTTGGCAATAGGGTGGGAGGGTGGGGGGGAAGGGGAGTGCGGGAGGAGGGGAGGGAGAGGGAACTGGGATTGACATGTAAAACAAGCTATTTAAAATTAAAATAAAAAAATTCTCAGTTAAAAAAAAAGAATGTCCTATTAAATCCGTCAAACCCAGAAACTGACCAACTGAGAGGAACTGAGCTCTTTAACACTGAGTGTAACCCCATAGACAGGCTAATCATCAGGTGTGCATGAGTAGCTCTGCCTTGGGGTTATGTATCATTAGGTTATTTGAACAGTGTGCATGTCTAAGAGTCTCTGACATCAGTCCAATCAGTCCAGCTCACGTTGCTAACATTCATATTGCAAACCTGTTACTCATTCAGTTATTATTTTAACAATAACTATCCCAATGGATTCAGTTCATTGTGTATATGCAAGTGTGTTTATTTGCATGTGTGTGTGTGTGTGAGAGAGAGAGAGAGAGAGAGAGAGAGAGAGAGAGAGAGAGAGAGAGAGAGAGAGAGAGAGCACAGGTACATATCTGTGTACGTACCAGAGGATGGCCTCTGGTGCCATGCCTCTGGATTCTCTCAATGTCATTTTATGACACAAGTTTCTCACTAGTCTGGAACTGGCCTCACCAAGCCAAGCAAGCTAGGTCAGCTTGCCTGTTTCTAGTAGTGAAATTCCAAGTGGCCACCATCACACCTGGATTTTTATGTGGATCTGGGAAATTGAACTCTTGTTTTCATGCTTGTAAGGAGAGTATTTTATTGACTAAAATCATTTATCAAGTCTGGGTCAGGTTCAAGGCCTACAACGGCAACTTGCAATGGTCTGTAACTCCAGTCCCAGGGGAATCTAACTCCCAGAGTTCCACTGGTTCTGTATTCATGTGGTACACAAACATATATGCAAACACTCATACACATAAAATAAAAATAAAGTCTCAAGAAATGGACTAAAAAGAAATGCCTGGAAGAGGCAAGTGTCAATAGAGGAGCTGAGGAATATTGGCTGCTCTCAGGATACCTAAGGCCTGTGACCCCCAGCTAGCCGTCAGCCTAAGAAGCATGTGGAGAAATCCAGTCATAACTAATTGATGTGGATTCACTATTCACAATTAGTTCACCCACATAAATGTTATGACAGTTGTAAGATTTGCGTGTGTACACATCTGCATGACTTTATGTGTGCACAGGTGTCTGTGGAAGTCAGAAGAGGGCATCCAATACCCTGGAATTGGAACTATAAGTGACTGTAAGTCATCATGTAGGTGCTAGGAACAGAACTCCAGTCCTCAGAAAAAGCAGTGAGCAGTCTTAACTGCCGTGCCACCTCTCCAGCCCCTTAAAGTAGTTTAAAGGACATTTTCTTCTTAACAACAGTCAGGGAATGAAATATTTTAATTGTACTCCTGCATCAGTTGGTACCTTTTCCTGCTGTGTCTTCACATATTTGAAAAACGGTGAGAGTGGTAAAGTTGTGGTAACTTTTACATTTTTCTTCTCTCAGACGAGCAAAGGAGATTATTCTGAAGTTTGAAGGGAGGCTGACTAGGACCCGAGGCTACCAAGCAGCAGGAGCAGAGGTAACGAGCACGTGCGAGGCACAGGTGGCCTCCCTTCCTACTCTAGAATCCAGAAGCCGTCATAGTCCCAGTCATCCCATGTAGGTTAGGAGCATCCCAGCATTAATAACTGCAGAATAGCGGATGAGTCAGCAAGTTCGAACTCTGCCAAACCTGGATCTTAGTCCTGGGTACCACCAGTTATGAGTTGTATAATACAGGTAAACTTGGTTCATTTTTGTGAGAATTATCCAGGACCCTTCCTGATTCAACCCCATACATATAAGTTGCACTTGTTCATCCCTATGTTTGTCTATATCGCCATAGCCCTCACACTGAAATCCTCAGACAATTAAAAATGGGAAAAGGACCGGGTGCCACTCCCTGAGATGTGCTGCTGCTTCTACAGATGAGCCAATGGCTGCCAAGGAAGGAAAAGAACTTCCTAGGGGCTCATGATGAGACAGATGTTTGGTTACAACTAGAGCTCAGGTCTCTGACTCCTGCCCTGTGCTTCTTTGTTTTAGGACTTTAAAACAGTGTAGAGACCTGATATTTACTAAGCCCAGGCCCTTGCTGATGGATGCTTGAGCCTCCCTGCCTCTGGGGACCATAGGGATGGGAGGGGTCAGAAAGTTTCATGTATTTCTGGACTCTAGATATGAGTCGGGTGTGTAAAGTGCAGATGATGCCAAATAGACATAAGAAAATTGCAAGAAAGACCAGTGACCCTAACAAGGAGAATTTAGAGACAGAGGTATCTGTTCCTGGGCACTCAAGTGCAGTCTGTGTGACTGCTCATGGAGTAGTGCCTGTCTTTGACTTGGCTCTCAAATCATGAGCTAGACAATTCCAACTTCTGATAAAACTCAGATTTCCATGTGCAAGCAGACGTCTGGCCTTAGCAGACGCACCCTGAATGACATTATCCTGTGAGCCTGTGTCAGGACCGTGTGCTGTCTTACAGTTGGGAATGCGGTAATTACATTTGTGGCTCTTCCTTGTGCAATGATATCATTTGCTTCCAACACAAACCCGGACTGTTTGTGTGTTAGAATGCACAACCTGTCAATTTTGCTGGACAGCAGAGCCAGTATAGGCCACATTCTGCTTTGTTCTCCTTTGAGAGAGGGAGGAATGATTTCATACTCTTGGCACTTGTATGCTAAGTCCACAAGACAAAATTCCCAAGCTTATTTTTGGCAGCTTCGGCCAGGACAAAGGCCAGGAACTAGCTTGTAGAATGCAAGACGAATATGGGGTAGAGATCATTTTCAGGGAAGATTCTGGATTTTTGGTCTGTAAACAAGGGTGCAGATGGAATCATCTGGGAGCCTGATGATCCAAACAGATCTATAGGCTCCACTCACAGAGTTACTAGGAGTCTACAGTTGGGTCAAATGGGAATCTTGAGATGACATTTTTCATGTGATGTTCACTTTCCTAATTCTCAACCCATAAATAAGGCAGACTGTGACTCAAAAGCATCTAGATTTCAGGGTTGGGGCATAGCTTGGTTGGTAACGTGGTTGTCAAGCATGAGCAAAGCCCTGATCTCAATTAACATCACATTATCACATTAACCAGATGTGGTGGGGCCCCGGCACTAGCGAGACAGAGAAAGCAGGATCAGAAGTTCATGGCTATACTTAGGTACATAGTGAATTTGAATTCAGCCTGGCATGAGTCTGTCTCCAAAAAGGAACACAGACCCCATAGCACGAAGTGCAAACTGATGTATACTGACTGGTCAGGACACAAGGAAGGTAAGGGGCTAGCTATTGTGGCCTTTGGGGTGTTTAATGGCCTGCAACATCATAGTTAAAGCCTCTGTGGATGTGTCTGGGAGGCCTTCCTCTACCCAGAACCCCAGAGCCCTAGCCATTTTCAAGGTTATGAATGAGAAATTTTCTAATCATGGCCTCTCCTGTCTAGCTCTGGCGGAAATTCGCCCGCTTGGCCTGTAACTTTGTGGTCATCTTCATCCCTTGGGAAATGAGGATAAAGAAAATTGAGAGTAAGTATTCACTGGGAGAGTGGAAGAAGGATGGGCAGCTGTGGCCAGCACACAGTCTAAGACATCTGGTAGGCCTTGGCGTAGAGTCAGCCAGGGCACTTGTATGGCTAGAGGCTCTGCTCATGTTGGACTTGGAGATGGAAGACCCAGTGCCCTCACCTGTAGAAGACCTTTCCCCATCTAATCTAGTCCCTTTGGATCAGTTTCACTCTGCCCACTGGGTCCCTGCAGCCACTATGAAACAACCACTCTGAGGCTTAATATCAGTTATTATCGTTTGGCCAATGACTTAGGCTAGTTATTGGCTAGCTCTCTCTTACAAATTAACTCATTTTTATTAATCCATGTATCACCACATGACTGTGGCTTACCTAGGTGATGTCCTGGCATCCTTCCTTCCAGCAGCTACATGGTGTCCCTTGACCCTGTCTTCCTTCTCTCTGTATCTTGGTTTGGATTGCCCGTCTATCTGAATTCTGCCTGTCCCTTGGCTGAAACAGCTTTATTCATCAACCAATAAGAGAAACACATAGTCACAGCATACAGAATGACATTCCCCACCACTCCCCACCTCTCAGAATGGGGCAAGTCCCCATGCTGCATTTCTACATTCAGCCATGGCTACGTGTTTATTCCTAGTTCACTAATTCATTCAGACAGCAAACTCTCAAGGACCAGTGAAAAACTGTAAGAAGTAAGATGATAGCATCCAGATATAAGCATGAAAATACATGTTCTTATAGAAGACCATAAGCATTTAGAAAATTCATGCTAAAAATAAGTAAGTCATGCCCCACATCTCTTTCTCCCCCCAGCCCACATACACAAAGAAATAAACTTGAAAATGTCCCAGACTAAAGAAAAGCAGGAAGCTGGATCTGACATGATGAATGCCCTTTTGAAGAGACAGGGGAACATGTATTCAAAGTTGTAGACTTCCACAAAAATCAGTTCCAATGTTTAATGCAATTCCACAAATATTTGCGGTGTATTGCATAGAGTCCTTGATCACATGATCACAAAATCAAGTACAAAAACGTACAAGAGATAAATTGGGAGATAGGAGTGAAAAATATTCCCAAGCAATTACATGAACAAAACGTTAAAATAAAATATATTACTAAACATTAAACAGCTAAACAATACAGTGCGGGGACCGACCAACATTCAAAGGAATAGGCAAACATTTCAGAAGGAGATAAGAATGCAAACCATTCCTTCTGTATCAAACTGTTGCTGGAGTCAATAGAAGTCACTCTGTAAATACAGCTGTTTCAAAAAGAAAAACCGGTCCTTTCATTTTAATATCCTATTAAATAATATGAGTCTACAGTCAGATATCATGAAAACCATTACCGCAAATATGAGAAATGAGATCTTAGCATGGATACCTGTCTAATCAGAAAAGCAAAGAGGAAAATTACCTAGAAAACTGACTTTTAATTTAACTACTGGAAAGCGCTCCTTAAAGATTGGTTTATTTGCAAGCGTGTGGGTGCATTGTGTGTGTGTGTGTGTGTGTGTGTGTGTGTGTGTGTGTGTGCACCACACGTGTGCGTTGCCCACAGAGGCCAGGAGAGGATGTCTGGAATTGGAGATGGTTGTGAGCCACCACCTGGTTACTGGGAATCACACCCAAGTCCTCTGGAAGAGCAGCTGATGATCTCAGGGGCTGAGCCATCTCTCCAGCCTCAGAAAATAGATTTCACGTACATAAAAAGATCAAAAGCTAGATGGAAAGCTAGAAAACGCGTGTCCAATATTTCAGTGGAATTAAATGTTCTCCTACCTTTAAGTTCAGAGGAAGTGTGTGTGTGTGTGTGTGTGTGTGTGTGTACAGAACATTATAGACTTTCTACATACCCTTTACCCAGCTTCCCCAGGTGTTAACACCACGGTATTTTTGCTGTTGAAATTGAGACCTTAAAGAAACCTTGGAATGTGCAAAGTGACCAAAACAGGACAGAGGTATATGAAAGTCTCAGAAGTTGCTACCTTTCCAAAGCATACATCAGTTAGTTAATTTGAGTTGGCATATTAGCTGAGTATGGCACTGGGGGCATTGTCAGACAGTGGTCTTGGTAAACGAGGGCTAGTCTTTCTGTACATAGGCGTGGAGGCCAAGCTCAGGATGCTGACCCAGCCAGTGGGGGTCATCATCGTAGCATCTTTATTCTTGTGTGTGCTGCTGGTGAGGGTGGATGGCAATGCTGCTGGATACAGGCTTTCTGCACTGTGGTGGTTGAGCACAGTCACTATGGTGTTGTCTTCCCATAGGTCACTTCGGATCTGGTGTGGCCTCCTACTTCATCTTCCTGAGGTGGTTATTCGGAATTAACATAGTGCTCACAATGATGACAGGTGCTTTTGTTGTCATTCCTGAGGTAAGAGTTGTCCCAGGAGCCAGGAGGTGCAAAGCATGAAAGAGACAGGTGCTACAACCTGCTGCCCTCATTGTCTTCATACGAAGGCTAGGAAGGACATGGCAAGCATTCCGGGAAAAAAAAACCACAGTGAACATGTCAGACTTAGTCACCACTACTTAGATTTGTCCAGTATTGCAAAAGAAGGTTTGAATGTGGCGGAGACCAGTGAGAGTGGCTGAAGTCTAAATTCCATATCATGTTGTTTTTCTTTTGATTATTTTCCCCAACCACTTAATGATGTAAAACCATTCATATCCATATCAGGACATACAAGAAGAGGTGACATCCTGTAGTTGGCCTAGATACTGGCTTGCCAGCCCAGTGTTCCAACTAAACCCGTCTCTTATAAATAGAACTGTTCATATCCTTTGCAGAAGAGGTCTGGGGACCTCAGTGGTCTAGCTACAGATGCCGCTTCTAGTTCTTTCATGTGGGTTTGCACAGTAACTGCACTGGCAAGCAAACTCTAATCACAGCACCTTCACAGATACACAGGGATCCACCATTCCTCTTATCTAGTCCCCCAGCCTGAGGAACATGTCAACCCTTCCTCTCTTACCAGCTGATCGCAGGCCAGCCCTTTGGAAGTACAGCCAGCAAGACTATCCCCCAGGAGCAGGTCATGTCTGCGCAAGATCTGGACACTGTCTGGTCCCTGGGGGTAAGGCTAATGTTGACTACACCCAGGCCTTGCAGGAGGGCTGAAAGGGCTACCATTCTGGGATCTGGGAGACAACTCTTTGCTCTCTTTGCAGGGCTACCTTCAGTACTCTGTCCTGTTCTACGGGTACTATGGAAGAGAGAGGAGGATTGGGAGAGCAGGCTACCGCCTGCCCTTGGCATATTTCCTGGTGGGGATGGCAGTGTTTGCCTACAGCTTCATCATTCTCTTAAAAAAGTATGACTGTCGACTTCTCTAAACCATATCTGGAGTTCAGTTAGAACGTGTGTGATCTCACTTCATCCTGTCAATAGCCCTGTGAAGTTATGAGTCACTGTAGCCATTTTACAGAGGAGGAGACCAAGGCTCGAGAGTTATACTAATTTTAACCAGCAGTTACTGTACACCAACTACTTTGTGCAAGCCTCTGCGAGGGGATTGGAGAAATAAGTTTAGCAATTTATGTGTAGCGTGTGATTTCAGAAAATGCCATAGCTGCACTAATAAGATATGATCAATGGCATCTAGGTGACTAGAAGTGGGAGAAAGCAAACAGCTCTCTTTGGTTCTGTGTTTATCTGTGACCAGGTGAGAAGTCATGCCATTGATGCCTCCTGTGTATCACTGAGAGGAGGTCTCAGGTATAAAGGAAAGCAAATAGGCTTGAGAATCCTGCAGCACCCCATTGTGAGCTCCACCAGCTTCACCCAGAGCCCTTTGCAAACATTGGCTCAAAAAGGCACCAGGCTACCAAGCTCCCTTTCAGGCTAATATTCTTTACTTCAGTGTAGAGCTGGAGAGAGAGAGAGAGAGAGAGAGAGAGAGAGAGAGAGAGAGAGAGAGAGAGAGAGAGAGAGATGACAAAGGATCCTCAGCGCATATCTTTGGTCTACTTTGTGATTTCACCCACTTGCCACCCTGCCACACACACACACACACACACACACACACACACACACACACGTTCAGTGTTCTGGCAGCAAAGTGCACATAGACGTGTTTAGGGTCAGGAACTACACAGAAAATACAATAAGCAAACCCACCACACTTGAAGAGGTATACAGCGACTTGCAAGGGCTCTTCAGATTACTGAAGGCCCTCCAGTTTAGCTCCTGGTAGCCTCAGGACCCCACCAGAGCAATTCCAATCCTTTACTAGGTGTTGCTCTTTAAAAGCAACTCAGAGCAGATTCGAGAGCAAGAAATGTAGCTGGGGAAGGAAGCCAATGCTTATTACTGGAGGTACGGTCTAAAAGGCAGAGAGGGATCTCCTGCCTTCGAATATCTAAGGAATGCCCTGGGCAGGAGGGATTCGGCAGTTTTGGGGGATCCCATGGGAGGAGTTACGGTAGGCAGAAGCTACAGGAACACAGCTGACCTCAGAGGGATGGTGACAACTTTACCATCACAGCGGCAGACATGAGATGTCCTGAGACAAGCATACCCCAATGGCTGCTGGCCGCCACAGTGCTAGTGGGACTGCCTATCGGATGGACTCATGAGATAATTACTATTGCATTTTCATGCTGGTGAAAGGCTGGGCTGAGGGTCCAGACCTGTGCCTGTGACCTGACTGGGGCCTCTCTTGCAGAATGGCTAAGAACTCCCGCACCAGCCTGGCCAGTGCCTCCAATGAAAACTACACCTTCTGCTGGCGGGTATTTTGTGCCTGGGATTACCTCATTGGGAACCCAGAGGCAGCAGAGAGCAAAACAGCTGCCATCGTGAACAGCATTAGGGTAAGTGAAGGCGGCATTGTGGAATCCAGACTGTCAAGACTGCAAAACAGTCTGCACCCTCTGCTGGCTGAGCCGGCACACTCCCTTTCCTCAGGGCCAGGGCAACAGGCCCAATGAGGTCAACGTGACCCAGAAATGCACGGCAAGAATCCATAGGGTGTGAGAGCAGAAGATCAAAATGACTCTTTTATTTGCGTATATTGTTTCATCTTAAAACTTTTGATTCGTGTATTTTTTATAAATTACACAATGGATTCTTAAAGCCTACAAATGAATAAATACTTCTACGTGATGTATACAAGCTTTTATCTTTAACTTAGGAATCAGTGTGATCAAAATCAGAGATCTGGGACAGCTGAATGTCATAGGCAACTAAAGGAAACCTTATTCTGAGGGGGAAATGTTCCCATGATCCAAAGTGTCACAACCTTCTCTCTCCATTCTTTTGCTTAACTGATTATTAGATAATTGATGTCTAATTCATTGCTGTCAATAGAAACTTACAGAAGAAAGTCATAGACATTGACGATAAGAATTAAGATAATAGATCAGAGTTTTGGGGAAGGGCTGGTTTTGTTGATGTTCTTGTTTTTCATTTTGCTTTTAGACCCAGGCTGGTCTCACACCGAAGGGCTTGGGATGACGGGGTGTGCCTCCATGCCCAGTTGGATGCATTATTCCTAGTGATTGTAACTGGTTATGAGGCTAAGCTTCTAATGCTGCATGTGTTTTTCTTTCCAGGAGGCCATACTGGAAGAGCAAGAAAAGAAAAAACACAAAAACATGTAAGTATTAATATGCCCATTCATTAATTTTTGCCTTATTTGGTACAAAGAGTTATCGAGTTATTTGTCTTATTTTCATAATTGGTAGGCAGCTCCTCCTTCCTCTTATCATTAGTCGCCTTAGTAATGCCACCTGCGGGAACCTCATTCCTTTTCCATGGCAGTCTTTAGGAGTGGTTTCTCCTTCTGTACCTCCTGCACCTCGACAGGGCGTCTGAAATCGACCAGTTTCCTGTTCTTTTACTTACGTAATAAAATGGCCATTTTTAGTAACAATTAGACATGTGAGTATCATTAGGATTTGTTTTATTTAGAAACAAATCTCTGAGTTCCTAAGGTACAAGGAGCATCCCATTCACAGCTGTAGCATTCTGAGAAGGCCTCCTGGGGGACAGGTATGTCTTGAGATCTATAAGCAGAGACCCAAGGGAATGGAATGGTGCTGCTATGAAGGAGCAATGGTCCTGTCCTCGTCAGGACAGACAGGTCCATCTGCCTCATGTCCTTGCTGACATCATAGTCCAGTTCAATTAAATGTGATGAGAACAGGGGTGATGCCAGAAAGAGCTATACACAAGCAGCTGAGAGAGGTGTGATCTAGTCACCCCCCCACCCCCGGCATAAACCCCGGTGACCCAGAGAGCTGACCCACAACCTTTTTGACCCACACTTCCTCTCCAGTGATTGGCAGGATAGATCCAGCAGGTCTCTCAGAGACCAGAGAAGAAGCCCAACACAGTCACCACAGTCTCTGAAAGCCATACCTCAGTTTGGATTAGCGTCCCTGGCAATAGGATGCAGAGTCTATGTCTTTATCATATCTAGTCAAGTGATTTAAATGACACCTGGAATTTGAAAAACATTGCCACTTTTAAGTTTATTCTAGATCTAAGAGGTCTTACTCAACAATTCATTACTGGTGAGCCAGTAGGGGGATTTCATGGGAGGAGTGATATAATTCTTGTGTGCCCTTACAAATCATCTTGGCTCTTTCTCTTTCTCCAGGCAGAGTTATGCAAGCTTATTCATACCTAGGCTAGCTAACCTAATGCTGCTCTGGGAAGTATTCACAGGGTCCTGATCCACACTCATGTACTGTCATCCGCAGCTAGGTACACTCTGGACAAGGGTACCTATGGAGTCACTCAGGAAATGGAATGAACACTTTTCTCTTGTATGCTGAGTAACTGGGAGCATTCCATTGCCCTGAGCAGGCCTCCAGCTGTGTCCAGCTGTGGCAGACTCTACCACTTCCCCAGCCTTCACTCCTGCTTGCTGAAATTATTTCCCAAGTCACCTCCCTGAAGACAAACCTTTGCCTGGAACTCTCGTTTCCTGCTGGTCCCCAAACAGGCAGAAGAAAAAGTTTTGGAAACAGACCAACCAGTCAGTTGCCCAGTCTCTACAAAGGGGGGAGGTGTTCTATATAAATTCTAGAATCACTGATGATTTATTAATCTTCTCACACTGTCAGAGGAAGTTTGACCAAACAAGGGAGGGGATATTATCAATTCCCATCTCATGGTAACTGAGTTGCTGTTTATGTGACACATATTGATGAATTATTTAGATGTGATGGGGGTCTACCCTGAGAGCTGTAAATATAGGGATGAAAAAGAGATTCTGAGATTCCATGTAACCCAGGGAAAAGATAACTAGTAACCAAGTAAACACATGCAGATGTCAGACTCATGGTGTGGAATGATGGGCGTGTCCACCAACTGTCATTTGAAAGACAGGAGGCCAGTCTCCCCTCTCCACCCCATTCCTCTTCTGCTGGAAGCTTTATGTGAATTCCTGTCTGCATCACAGGACTCTAATGTGTGTATGTGTGTGGGTGTATGTGAGTATATATTGGTTACTGTAGGTGTGAATACACACATGTAGATGCTGGGTGTCTTTCCTCAAGTCTGTCTTCCTTTGTGGTTTGAGACCTGAAACTCATTTGCCTCGGCTCTCTAGCTGATGAGCTTCAGGGATCAGCCTGTCACTGCCTCCCCAAAGCCAAGTGCTGTGGCTACAAGTACACTCCATCTTGCCTGGCATATTTTAAATGTGGGCTCTCAGAATCTGAACTCAGGTCCTCATGTTTGTGCGGCAGGCAATTCACAGCAGAGTCACCTCCTGACCCCTGTAGGACTCCAATTATAAGTGACAACCCTAGAACTGAGACCCACATACTTGGATCCTAAAACAAATGTTTGGTGGTTTCTTAGAAGCTCCAGGATACTGGATAGCTGTACTTACAACTCTGTTGATCTCTCAGAAAATGAGAAATTGGATGTGGAAGGAGCAGAGAGGACTCCAAGCAGGGAAAAGGCCCCTCTCCTGAAGTCCCATCACCAGCATCCTTGTGTTGCTACTCTTTTCAGGGCAGTGACTGTCTGCCTGAGAATCATTGCCAACATCCTGGTGCTCCTGTCACTGGCTGGGAGCATCTATCTCATCTACTTTGTGGTGGACCGGTCCCAGAAGCTGGAGCAGTCGAAGAAGGAGCTGACACTTTGGGAAAAGAATGAGGTACCCAGTGACTAGTGATTATATTATCAGGTTGCTCTTTAAGGAGGATGACAGCATTACCTTGTTTCTGCTTCTTTAGTGAATTAGACAGAAATATCTCTAAAAATGAGCATAGCCTGCTAGTTCTAGAGTAGAGGCCAGGACCTTCAGTTCCAGTAGCATGGAGTCCTGGTTAAATAACCAGGAAGATCTTCATTTTTAAGAACTCCTTCATGCGCTCACGCTGACCCTTATGGTTCAGTTTTGACTTCTGTTCCTTTGCATCCACACTTTCAGGCGTGGACCCCACGCACAGACCTGCATCAGTGACTACACTGACCTACCGTGTGTGCCTCAAATCCCACTAGCTGCCTCATCCAATACTTAGATAGTTTCCAGAACCAGCCACACCAAGTGTTTGGGCATTGAACAACCTACATCCCCACTTGTGCGACTATCTCCAAAAATTAAAAACTACCAAGGAGGAGATTAGGGAGAACTTCCAAATTTCTAATATCTGTTGTGACTGCTGTCCTGAATGTTTGGCCCAATTTACCTGCCAAGATTTAAAAGACAAAAATAACTCCAGACCACCTTTTGGATTATTCTGATAAAATAACAAGTAATTAGATGGGGATCCATCTGTGTCGCATGCGTCCGTTTCTTAGAAGCTGATATTACACCAGGTAGCCTTTCCCATGCCTCCTTATATTTTATACCAGTTATGTGAGTTAAGTAAAGTTTTACTTCCTTGCACACTTATAAAGTGGCAACTTTTAGAACATCTGTTCAGAAATGACTTCTCTAGTTAGCTCTAACATGTTTTGTACCAGCTTACATTCTCCTTTCTTTTGCCCTAAGTCCAGACAAACAAGAGCCAGGCATGGTTCTCCAGATAATTAATCCCCCGTGTGCAGAGGGATATTCAATTACATCTCTGCCTTCCCCTTTCTGATCGTAATAATCACAATTATTTCCATCCTCCATCCAAGGTCAGGAAGGTATAAATATAATGAATTAATGACTGGTGAACGTGACAGAAATGCTACAGAAGCCCAGATAGCATGCGTAAGCAACCTCATGGTGGAATGGTGGTAGTCTTCTGAAAAAGGATGACTCTCGGGGACTTAGGGAGGTTTCTAAACAGGAGCTCAGTGTCCCTGTGAATGTTAGGTGGCCATGTAGAAAACCAAATGTTGTTGAGAGAGTTGGAATTGAGAAACATATACTCTCTCCATAGGTGAGTGTGGTGGTCTCCCTTGTCACCATGCTAGCACCATCTGCCTTTGACCTCATCGCTGCCCTGGAGATGTACCACCCACGGACAACACTGCGTTTCCAGCTAGCAAGGTATAGCATCTTAGCTAGAAGAGCCCCAAGATGGCTCAGTCATCATCCACCCACAATAGGACTGGGGATCCCTACAGAGCTAAGGCAGGTTTCTCCTCAACACTTAATATAAGGCTTTCCTAGGGACATAGCTCAAGAAAAACTGGGGGCAACTGGAAAGGAAGGAGAGGAGTGGGGAAGGAGAGAACAGAGTGATGCAGGTAACACAGCTGGAATTATGGGTAATAAAGAAGAGGAAGCAGAGAAAGAAGAGGAGGGAACAGAGAGGAAGACAGGGGAAGTGGGCAGGGAAAGCAGACACAAAAGATCATCGAGCTGATGGGATGTGTGTCTGGATTTCCTCATTACTGAATTCCCTCTGTGGTTGGACTCTGAGTGGCAAAATGGACCCTCATTGTTTGCCAGACATAAGAGATAGACAGCCTGTTCTCTGCTAATAACTACCCAAGCACAGAGTTGTATAATGCTATGAGCTGTACCAAGGCAGCCAGTGGCTGCTACAGCAGATGTCAAAAGCAGATGTGGCCTGAGGCACAGCAGACTGTGTGTACAAGAGAACATCCCAAGACTGCCTCATCAAGAGTTAGAGCCACATTCGTGTCTAGCAAGGGCTGGCCTTCTGAAAGCCTGCTTTTCTTACCTGGAGTTTTTTCTTCTCCACTTAAATGCTGTATTAGTAAGCAGAGAGAATGGTATAGGAGGCATCACAGCCCTGGACACTTCCTCCCTACCGTGTCCTTCCTGGCTTCTCCATGCCATCTCCTGTGACACCTCATGACACTCTCCAAACCTCAGACCACTCTGAGAAGGATCCCTTCCACCCAGGAATCAGTAAATATCTTCTGAAAAAGACATGGCAGCCACAATATTTTATACTCTACCATCTATGTCTACATCCCTGTCCCAACTACAAGCTCTAAGGAAGAAGCATGAAAATAGCCACTGCTGATAGTGCAGACAAAGGGCTGGGCTATCCAACAGCACCTTATTCACTAAAATAGGTGAAAGCATTGTTTCACTTGAAGACTCCAGTTCCATGACTCCTGGAATCCCACTGCCACAAAGACAGAAGCCATCGCTAGAAAGATCAGGGAGCTGACCAAAAGCCCACAGCACGTGATACACCTGGGGCAAAGCTTGTGGGCCCGCTCACCCTGCTTTTTTTGTGTCCCACTCTGTACCTCTCCAGCCTGGATAAGAAGGACCTTTCCCAGTTCCTCCCTTGCCCACAGGCACTGAATCAATTCCATTATTGCATTTGGTGTAACAGCAATCCTATTACACAGATCGGCCTCGTTATTCATAATCAAAACTAGAGAAACAGAGCCACAGAGAGACATAACCTCAGACAAATGAGACATAATTTTGATAATAAAAGCAAGACCTATTATTTCAGTTCCATTCACTCACCAACAGACCATGATACCCTTCAACGAGATGTAGTGAGAGCCTGGCTCTGCCAAGAACTCGTCAGACCCTTCTTTCATCAGTACTCACCATGTACCATTTGAGGGGCCGTAGCCCACACAGGTTAAGGCAAATGCTGAGGTCATCCTGAGATGACCCCCTCCATGGTTTCAGAGGAAAAACAAGTGGCAAAGGTGTCTCCTTGAGAAGATGTCTACCTACACGTGACGTCACCTGAACCCCATAGAGATGAAAGAGGCCCATGCAGATGTGTGGGTCATTGCTTCCATGCAGAAGTAGTCTCCTTAAAATAAAACCATTTCCCTATCACTGGATTTGATTCCACATTTGTGCATTGCTGACCCAGGGAAGGATCTGCAGAGGGTGCTTTCCTTGCCCATCTTATTTCTTAGACAGGTTTCCATAAAACCCAAGGCTCCGTTGTATTTCCCAAATATTCTATTCTGGGAGAACAGACGTGGTGTCTCTAGTGATTGGCACAAACTTCAGCAAGCAGATTCCACTCTGTGGCAGCTGCTTGCAGGTGTGACTGTGATACTGTCCCTCTGTGCTGCTGTGGAGCCCAGCCTGTCTTTCTAAGGGTGGGTGCTGAGATCTGCCAGTGGCATGCTGGTCCTTCCAGCCTCATGGACTGAACAACTCTCAGCACTCCACCTTTCTGTTCTCTCATTCCTTGGACAGTGTAACATAGACTTACTGAGAACTGAGTGGAATGATGCCAGGTAATAAACTTACAGGCAAAAAAGCATGGGCCAGATGTTACATTACCCCACAGGACCCGTGTTCTTTCTGCTGTACTAGTGTTTCTAGCAGGCTGGTCCAGGGATGGCTACTGTGGGATTGCCTGGGAAAGATGTAGACCCCAAACCTCATCCTCACCTGCTCAAGTTAGATGATTTGAGTAGTCTGTGATTTGCTTTTTTTTACAATAGTGTGTGTGTGTGTGTGTGTGTGTGTGTGTGTGTGATTCATGTGATGTGCGTGGAGGTCAGAGGACAATTTGCAAGAGCCAGTTATCTGTTTCTACCATGTGGCTCCTGGAGATCAAAGTCAGAGGTCAGGCATGGCCACAAGTGTCTGTACCCACTGAGCCATCTCGCCTGCCCTATAAGATGTGCAGTAACCACTGTCTTATTTTCATGTCCATGATGGCATAGAACTCTAGAAGTTCCAGACTGCTGGTCCTGTGTGTGGTGATCTTGTTTCTCAAGATGTCTTGTGCTTTTCAGGGTCCTGGTACTGTATCTAGGAAATCTCTACAGCTTGATTATTGCTCTTCTGGACAAAGTGAACAGCATGAACATTGAGGTGAGTGTCCAGATGGAACAAAACCTACTGTCACTGCTGTCATAGCTATCTAGACTGTGCTGTACCTGCCATCACTGCTCAACTGACTAGTCTTCCTCTAACTACTGTCCAGATTGGATAGTCACCTGCTACCACTGCCTAGAAAAGATGTTCAGTCAACATCAAGGCCTATATTGAACAGTCTCCCTCCCATTACTGTCCAAACTGGACAGGCTCTTGTCATTGCTTCCCATACAGCATCCCCATGTCAGTGTCTTCATCATCTATGTCCCCTTTACTGCTTATATGTGTGTCTCATATAGCACATCTCAAACCATGCCGCTGTGGTCCTTTTAAGGTGTAGAAAGAAATTTAATTCACATTTCCCAGATTAAAAAATTAACAGAGCCTGGGATATGCTCTCTTACTTTCATGCCTCCATCAGGAAAGACTGTCAATGGCTCTTTCAAATAACCCCAGGAAGATGATCAGGCCGTAGGCCCATCCAGAGAGTGGAAAGAGAATAGTCTTCCCATATCAGATGGTCCAGAGTATGTTCCATCCAGTCCCAGCACCATAGAGCAAATTCAGCCTTCCAGGATACCCTGAGTAGAAGAGGAGGGAAGACAGGAGGAGGAGATTTCTGAAAGTCATTTACTCAAGTACATCACAAATTTCAGGGCATATGGGCCAAAGAAGCCGTGGAGAGCCGAGGATTTGGAGTCACATAGACCTCAGTCCTTACCTGCCACTTACTGGAGTTCTGTCTGGAGCATTAGTCTACCACTCACTGAATCCTTATGACTTTGATCTAAAATTCCCTTGAGATTGAGACGATGGGAATCTGTCACCAAGAACCATAGAACTATTTCTGATACTCATTGGGGAGCACTATTTCAGCTGGTGTCTTTTGAGTGTGGTAACCTCTAGTCAAATGGTAAGAGGGAAGGAAAGAGAGAAGAGAGGACAAGCAGTGAGAAAAAAGGAGTCTAGAGATGGAGAAAGACAGAGGAGGGGAAGAGAGAGAAGGAGACAGATGGAGAGAGAGAGAATAGTTACTCCAAAGCAGTGCCGTGGTCCTCTTCATTTGGATTCTTGCTCACAAACAGCCTTTCTTTCTTCCTTCCTTCTCTCCTTCCCCTCTCAACAGGAGGCGGCTGCCAAAAACATCACAAGCCATTGGGCAGATCCTTCCAACTTCTATGCCACCAGAGCAGTGCCTGAAGAAGGGCAATGGTCCACACCTGGGACAGGAGTGGAGCTCAGGAGAAACACCAGCACGTGGGACTTGGAAGACACAAGCATTCTGACTACGGCTATACCACACACCAAGGCCAACAAAACGGTGTCCTACATGCAGAGCCCACAAGGACAGTGCTGGGAGACATATGTTGGCCAGGTGTCTCCCTCTGCCCCTGGGGAAGTCCCTTCAACACCTCACCCTGGCAACTCTCTGGGGCATCGCTGTTCCCTTTTCATAGAAAAGGAACATGGAATCCAGTGATGTTTTATTTTCTTGTGTTCCTGGTCTCAGAATTAATCATAGTAATCAGAGAAAAGGTACTGTGGAGTAGTAACTAAGCAAGGTCCTTATAAGGTGCTGACCTCAACCTCGTAGGCAGAAATGAGGAAACTGAGGCCCACATTGTTAAGAACTTGTGTTTCAGACCGGGTGGGGGTGGTGCACACCTTTAGTCACAGCACTCAGGAGGCAGAGGCAGGCGGATCTCTGTGAGTTCAAGGCCAGTCTGGCCTACAGGACTAGTTCTAGGATAGCTAGGGTTACCCAGAGAACCCCTGTCTTGAAAGCAAAAAACAAAACAAAACAGAAAAAGAACTTGTGTTTCAGAACCTGACCTTAGGGTCTTCCCAAGTTTTGTGTAGTACAGGCTTTGCCTTGGATCTTGTGACCCAAACGCAAATGAACAGATACCCTCCAAACAGCCATGATGTAGTGGAAGCCCCTCCCTCTGCCAATGTGCTGTATAAACATGTGAAGGGAAAACATTATATAGCCTCTGGCTCTGACTCCGGGGAAGGGACAGAGACAGGGCAGACCCTGGAGGATGGTGAAGAAGACAGAGATGGGGAGGACTGGGGAGGCAGGGCATGGTGGTAGCAGGACCCATGTGTTGCAGGAGATGCTGAAGCTGTCTGTCATTGACATGCTCTTCACGGTGGCCAGCATCCTCCTCATAGACTTCTTCCGGGGACTTTTCGTTCGCTACCTAAGTGACTATTGGTGTTGGGACCTTGAAAGCAAGTTTGTAAGTGAAACACTGTGTGCTTTGGGAGGGTGCTAAAACTAAATCCACCTTTCGCTGTTGGCTTGTCTAGGAATCAGCCAGGCATGTGTTGTATGACTTTTTCTGCAAAGTTTACTTCCACTTATCTCAAATAGAGGAAACAGGCCCACCAAGTGATTCCATTCAAGTCTAACTTAGTGAACCTATGAGCTTCTTGGGGTTACTTACAAGGGCATGGGTGAAAGGTTACTTATAGGTCCATGGGTGACTCAGGCAGCTACTTCACCAAAATGCCCACTCCAGCTCGGGTGGTGACAGCAAAGCTTGCTGCACAATTTGCAGGCAGCTGCTCCGAAGACTCTTTTGTCTCCTTGTTAACTGCTTTTACAGCATGGGGGAGGGCATCCTGAGCCTTGAACACTTCCTGAGCCTCTGAGTCTTGACTTTCCTAAGGCTCCTGACCTTCCTCCTTCCGGGAGGCAATGCTTCAGCCCCAGGAAGCAGCTACATAAGAGCATGGCCCAGGTGGCACAGAGATACCATAGAGGGGATTCATGAGGAAAGAGGAGAGGGCACACATGCAAGGCTAGCCCTTTCCCCGGCTTCAAATTTCTCCATTTTCTGTGATCTCTGAGTATCTGTAAGAGCAAAGGAGTCTGTCCAAGTTGCCACAATGAGCCGCCGTGTACAAAGAACCTCATGACTTTGTTTTTAATGCAAAGGCTTTTCTCCAACAGCCTGAATATGGGGAATTCAAGATCGCTGAGAATGTGCTGCACCTGGTCTACAATCAAGGCATGATTTGGTAGGTCTCAAGCCTGCTTCCCAGCTTTGCCTGTGCCATCTGGGCTAAGGCTCGATGAGCCCAGGTGGACTATGAATGCACAGGGCCACGGGCACAATCAGGAAAGGGTATTGACAAGGGATACTTCTCAGGTGAGGTGATTTTACTAGTGACTTTCTGAGGATTTTATAGAAAAAATGACAGGGGGTGGTTCTTTTTTAAATCACTTCTGGTCACAGCCCCCAAAAACGTCTGCATAGGAAGCGTTGACTTCCTCAGCTGGGAGGGGGGCAATCCAAGAAGAAGGACTTCTTGCCAGGAAGGTGTCAGGAACTGTGTTACACTTGAACACTTAGAGCCAAACCCATCCTGGGCATTTCCCATCATTTCTTTCATGTAGACATGGGGGCCAGATGGAGGGCCATTCTTCTAGATGGAGGGCCATTCTTCTAGATGGAGGGCCATTCTTCTAGATGGAGGGCCATTCTTCTAGATGGAGGGCCATTCTTCTAGATGGAGGGCCATTCTTCTAGATGGAGGGCCATTCTTTAGATGGAGGGCTATTCTTCTAGATGGAGGACTAGTCTTCTGGATAGCTGGCACATCCTTGAGGGTGAGCAGGATCCTAGCAAGCCTCCAGCCAAGTGGATCCTGTTCCTAGGGGCACCAGAGCACAGGCAAGGGTCATTTTGCCATCCTTTCCTCCGTAGTATGTCTATGTGTGGGGGCCTCCAGTCTTACCTGTGGAACCATAAATGGCACTGTTGGTCCAAATACTATCAGGCAAAGAAAAAGAAGCTTGGCTATTCTAATCATTCAGAAAATGCAGCCTCCATCATCAGTCACAGAATGCACCGGGAATCCAGTAGTACAAATCTGGTGTTTGAAATATTTATTTAATATGCACATGCTGAGTTAATTTTTACTGCAACACTATCAAGTCACTGTAATCACTGAATGCAGTAGAAAATGAGGCGACAGAAACACAAGGAAGAATGCTGACATTTTTACTTTTAAACACTTCATTTTCCGGCCGCTGAGTCTGAATTCCATGGGGATCAGTCCAATTGCATATCCAATACAAATTGATTTTGAACTAAAACGGAGGTCATGGGTTTTATTGTGCATTTGGCATTTGTACTTTGGCTAGATGCCCCAGTTACTCCCAGTCTACTTATTTCGCTTTAAAAGTGTCCACATCGAGACATAGGGCCACTTAATTGTCAACATGTCTTTGATCAAAATTTTTTCCCAGATTTGCCTTCCTGATCTGTTAACTTTGGTCATCTCTCCTTTTTTCACAATTTCAGAAGAATAAATAAGCTAACATGTGCAAGGGTGATGACAGCAATGGCCATGAAAATTGGGGTGGGGGTGGGGGTGGTGTTTGACTTGTGTTGATCGGACTCAGTAACTTATTAACTTAGTTCTTGCCCCAGAGCTGCAAAGTGTAGAGTTTAGCCCTAGTTCTCCAATGCCTGCCTCTCCCCAGAGAAGGCCTTTCCTGTTGCTAAACTAGGAGAGACAAACACATCACCATTGCACCCTGCAGGGACTTATCATACCTCTGGAATGTGGAGACTGTGTCTCAGATCATTAGAGGGTTCTGCAGTTCTTGACATATAGAATGTAAATGCCCCAGCTCAGACCCTTGCTCCACCATGGGTGGGGCCTCTGGTATGCAGCCCTGAATGTGGACACACACAGACTACCTTCTGCCATTTCAGGATGGGGGCCTTCTTCTCTCCATGTCTACCAGCCTTCAATGTTCTCAAGCTCATTGGGCTGATGTACCTGAGGAGCTGGGCGGTGCTGACCTGCAATGTACCCCACCAGCAAGTGTTTCGAGCCTCCAGGTGGGTAGCAGTTGTGTCTGCCTTGTGCTGAGACCATGCATCCTCTGAGCAGGCCGCTTCACACTAGGGCCTCCTAGCACAGAGCCTCTCAAAGCCTACGGCTTCTTACTCAGCGCCTGTCATGAAGTCACTGCCTATGCCTCCACCTTGCAGTCAGCGGTCATCCCTTTGAAGCTCTTGGCACACTTTTTTTTAAGTTTTTACTGACATCTAACAAGCATTTGGAAAAAGTGCACAAGTTAGAAATGTCAGGCTTGAACTTTCACAGAACACAAAGGTAGGTGCAGCATCCACATGAAACATGAGTGATTCCCAGAGCACATCCCTTCTTCCCATCACCCGATCGCTACAGAACTAGTTGGGCCTGCCTGGTTTTGTGGTTTATGTAAAATGTGACACACACAGAATGTGCTCCTTTGTGTTCAGGCTTCTTCTCCTCCTTCTCCTTCTTCTTTTTCTCCTTCTCCTTCTTCTTTTTCTTCTTCCCCTTCTCCTCCCCCTTCTTCTTCTCCTTCCTCTTCCTCTTCCTCCTCTTCTTCTTTGTCCTCCTCCTCCCCCTTCCTCACTCAACATTGTATTTCCCCACTTCATGTCACTGACCAAAACACAGAAAACTGACTTCTGGTTTCTTTATCTGTTTTGTAGCTGCTTCCAGCTGCTGACTGTAATGGCCAACACCCTGAACAAAGTGTAATGCTGAGTATTAGGGCAGGCCCACATTCATTCTCATAGTTGGCTAAAAGTTTGAATTCTTCTGCAATCCTGACTATATCTATTCTTCCCTGCATTTCATTCTAGCCACATGGGTGAATTCATAACACATTTTAAATCTCATGATTAGACCTCAGTTACAGTAATTATCTGTATATCTGTCTTGTCTGTCAGTGACTATCAAGCTTTTTAACGTTACTTGGATATCAAACTACTTCCACTTTACCTGGTGACCAGTACACATTTATGCTTATGTTTGGATATATGTGCTTTTATATATTTACATGTAGCTATTTAGTCTCTACCTCCCAAAGACCCCACAAAGGCAACCTCATGTCAGCATGAGCTATAGCAGGTACAAGCATTAGCAGCTAGTTAACACACTCCATGCAGGACTTCCAGTTAAGTCTGTTTCATCAGAGAAAGAGAAAGATGGGGAAACAGACAGACAAGGTAGCTGAATATCACTAGACTGATAAACTATATGCAGGGCCTCACATACCAAATTGGTCCGAGTCACTGTTGGGGAAGCCAGGTCACTGAAGGCCCTGATACCAGCCTGGGACTATTCACTCTGAGCAGTAAGGGGCAGAGAAATAAACTGAGAGCAAATGTGATCCAAGTCAGATGGCTGAGGGTCAAGCCCTACTCCTGAGACCCAAGAGGCAAGCTCCGGGCTGGCAGCATGGGAGGAAGGCACGAAGTATCAGTGCTCTGAGCTACATGAGTCAGTCGATGAAAGAGAGCAACTGCAGATGAATTTAGGCTTAGCAAAGGCAACAGGGGAAATCAGTCTCCATGGACTGACTGACTGAAGAACCCTTTTTATTGATACACTAAAGGCCATTTAGCAAGTGAGTTCCCAAATACCATAATCTCTTATCTGAATGAGGAGTTATCTTAAGGAACTGTTTGTTACCTAAGCAAACACAGTCGTGATAAAAATTCCAGGTGTGCCAGGAAGGCCTTGTGGCTGAGGTTTGCTAAGGTTCCGAAATTTCCAAGACACAGCAATCACATAAATCTCAGATAGCAATCACTGATATTTACAAGAGATAATTCCAAGGCCATCACACCAGAATAAATGTCAGGTGCAATGGCCCCTGTTAATATTCCACTACAATTAAGTAAGTCCCCTGGTGGGTGGAGGGCAGTTCTAAGATTGCCTATGTGGAGCTAATGGATAGAAGCCATGGACACAGGGGTGGAGGCACTGCTTTCTCCATTTACAGCTTACAAGTACCCAGCCAGTGTTTGTAAAGTGAATTTGCTGGGCTGGAAGCCTTTTTCTGAAAGCCAGGTTCTAAGCTGTACAAGCCCCTCACATAAAGCACAGGCGTGTGTGGGGTGTGTGTGGGGGGGGTGCAAATGCCCACACTCAAGCACATGCTGGCCTGTGTATGTACACAAGTGCATGTGCACATGTGTGTGCATAGGAGTGGAGACCAGAGCTTGATATCAGGCATCTTTCTCAGTTACTCTCCACTTTATGTTTTGCTAGTCTGGCCAGACTGACTGGACAGTGAACCCCAGGCACTTCCCATCTCTGCCTCCTTAGTGCTGGGATTTCAAGCCTCCAGACTTCTTACAGAGGTGCTGGGGATCAAACTCAGGTCCTCACGCTTGTGTGGCAAGCACTGGACCAACTGGCCCTGCTAAGAGACCGGTTCCCTCTCCAGAGGCGCTGGCTGCTTCTTGGTGGGTTAGGATGAGCTCACTCAGACTCTGGGATGAGCGCTGCATGGTGTTTGGTCTTTCTGCAGATCCAACAACTTCTACCTGGCGATGCTCCTGTTTATGCTCTTTCTCTGCATGCTGCCAACTATCTTTGCTATCGTCCACTACAAGCCGTCTCTGAACTGTGGCCCCTTCAGGTAACACATGCAGAAAAAAGTAAATAAGTAAATAGATAACTGAAAATCATGTATTTTTAAGTAAGAGGGGGAAAAAAAACCTAGTATGGTCTGTCACATCTCTAGATCCTAGTATTTGGGAGGCTGGGGCTGGAGGATTGTCAATAGTTTAAGGTCAGGCTGAGATACAAAGTAAGACTCTGTCTCAAAACTGAAAACATGCATGCAAGTGATACACAGAATAGGTATTTATGTATTTAGGAATATATGTATATACATATGAGAAAATTAATGCAATAAGAAACCATGTGTTTTAAAGAGAGCAAGGAAGGGGTGTGTGATACAGTTTTAAGGGAAAAAAGAAAAAGAGGAAATGATGTAGTTATGCTTTAAGATCTCAAAAAATAAAAGGAGAGAGAGAGAGAGCAGCTAGCTCTATAGAAATCTACATGGCTGAAGCCAGAAGCTTTACTTGAAGACAGTCCATGTCAATTTTCAGTCTATGTTATCTCTCTGTAACCATATATAAATCCCAACTGCAGTCTCCACCAATGCCTAAGCCCGTTTTGACACACAAACCCTTGGAGGAGTCTTGATTTACTCGTTAAAAAGCCAGTACACTTGCAGTGTGATCAATGGCCCCAACTCCAGTCCTGCTGGGTAACTAGATGACTAGCTACTTCAAAGAACTTCTGGGGAACATTATATATCTTTGCCATTTGGAGATTTGCCTCCAGCTTTTATAGCTAGTTTTGGAGATCTGTCTCTAGACATCCAAACATTTTGTTATAAGTCTTGAATCATTCCCTAGCCAAAAGCAGTCAAATCTGGAGTTATCTTTTGCTTTCTCACAGTGGACAAGAGAAGATCTATGACATTGTGTCAGAGACAATAGAGAATGACTTCCCTGCATGGTTTCACGTTGTGGTTGGACACATCAGCAGCCCTGTGGTGATACTTCCTGCTGTACTGCTTCTCTTGTAAGTGCTAAACCTCCCAACCTCCAGGGGGCGCAACTCCTCCCAACCTTAAAGGGCCATGACTCCTCCCAGCCTCCAAAGGATGCCACACCCCTCACCCCTCAAGGACCGCTGTGTGGGTAGCCACACGATCACACTGCTGTCTAATAATTAAATAAAATTAGTCCATTCAGAAATCACTTACAGGAGCTGACGCTCTAAGCACGGACACTGAGCCACACTTCACAGTAGCACAAGCCACCGTGCCACAGAGAGACCGCTGCGTAGCTACTGCATAGCTACTCTAATCCACAGCATCTGGTGACCACTAAAATGGGGCCGAATGCTATTAGTACCAGTATAGTATTCTGCAGAAATGTAGATAATTTTGGAATGTCATAATTCAGCTGGGTAGCTTATGTTTATTAGTGCCTCCAGGGAGAAGTGAAACCAGTACTCATAGCTTGATTGGCTACAAAGCGCCTGCTGATCTTGGTGCCTTGTTGTCATTGCCAGGGAACAGGATTTGAAGGCAACAGGGATCAGCTATGGACAGGGAAAAGGGGGGAGGTGGCACTTTCCCAGTGGCCACATGCTGTGAGAAGGCAGATGCACTTTTGTTCAGGGGTCAGGGGTCAGCGGGTAGCTCACGTCTCACCTGGGAATCCACACTTCCACTACCACCTGAGCAGGACCTGAAAGCTAAAGAGCCAGTTGAAATCCGCTCACTATTCCATGTCCTTCCATGCCAGCATGCTCATCTACTACCTCCAGAGCATCGCAAGATCACTGAAGCTCAGCAGCCAGCAACTCAGGATGCAGATCCAAAACGTTAAGTATCATCTGAACTCAGCTCTCAACTGTGACAATGTCAACCCTGGCCATGTAACTGCCCCCTCTTTAGCAGGATACTGCAATGGAGCTCAAACTCTCATGTTATAGTGACACTTGACATACTGTGGCACAAAGTGGCTACCCCCAGAGTCCCCTCACATTACTTCTAAGAATACCCAGTGGCTGCTTGCATTTGCTGGGAGTGAGCCTGCTCACTTGAGCATTCTTTGCATGGCCATGCCAGGCTCCCAGTGTGCCAGGCACTTCTGCAGACTTTAACAGACTGGTGAGGAGCCACCCTTAACCTAACCTGGATCAACTCTGACCCTTGAGCTCCTAGGGCTGTTTGTAACCTAATACCCTCCTTCCTCTTTCTTATCCTTTAGATTTGGCTGGCATGAACTCCTTCCCGCCTGGGGTACACATCCTCTCCTAAAGTAAACAGATTGAGGCAGACACTCCCAACCCTTTCAAAATTGCTCTGCTATATCCCCTCCCTTAGGGTCAGGAGGAAGCCTGGGAAACACTCAGGGTACCAAATTCAAGGATGCTTTCTCTGGGTCCCACCGACCCTGCCTTTCGTAACACCAAGAGTCATCCTTTGTTAAGTGTGGCATCCCGGTCATCCTAGTTACCTCCTTTGTCTTTACCGTCATTGAAAAACAACTCCCTTTTCACTAAGGAAAGAAAAACAACTGCTTCCATAAATTCAAATTTATGGAAAGGGGTAACAGACTAGCTTTGTGAAATGTCAAGTTAGAAATCCATTCACAGTTATTTGCAGGGCATTTTGCCCATGGGTATCTCCCTAGTGGCTGATCTGTGTTTTCTTTGTGACTCAAGTCATTTCAGGCAGGGTCTAATCTAAAGATCTGAATTGCTTCAAGACCTGAAAGTGTCTGCTTGTCAACATGAGGCCATTAGTGGAAGATTCTACACCATGAAAATGTTTTGTGCACAAAATTACCAAAAATAATGTTCTATAAAATCACCTCTGGGTCACATGTACTCAGTACAGGTGAAACAAATGAATGTCATTTGAGACTTGTATCTTATCCCTAAGATAACCAGAATAGGTCCTAACTCCTTCAGCTCCTCTGCCTGCCTGGGCAGAATGTAACACCCATGAGTTAGCTGTCTTTAGAGGAAACCCATCAACTGTAAAGTCTTGGATCCTCCATGTTTGCATTTACTCACTCAAATAACAGGTCCAGTCTCTATGACCCAAGCCTCCTGTCCTCATTGGTGTTACCATGCCCAAGGTTTGAATAATAGCATAAAAGTCTTTTTCTCTCTCCCCCAAATAAAATGCTAACTGCCTCCTCTCAAACCAGAAGCATACTGATTATCATTCCCATTTCAGGCAAGATCTGAAGATAAGAAAAAGGTTGCTCAAATGGTAGAGGGTAAGTGAATCTTAAAATACAAATGTTTATTCTCTAAACAGATTGGGCATTTTAAGAAAGGGCAGAAGGCCCACCACTTGTGAAGATTCCTCATAACTAGTGCTGGGTTCTCACAAGTCACTGATCACACTAAAGTAAGACCAGGCCATCTACAGCTCTAGGCCCTTGATTTAGTCATGCCTAGGCCTGTAACCAACCCCCAAATCTCTGTAAACAGAAAGGGGCTTTAAAACAGGAGAGAAAACTCAATATGGCAAGGTGGAAAATGCTCAAGAATCTGCTTGTCTGATCATGTGGTATAGTCCTCTCAGGCACCCATGTGTTCCCATGGAAGCCCACATCCCAGGCCTCTGCCCCAGCTCCCATGTTCCTAAGTTTTGTCTTCTCTGACTTAGCCTTACCTAGTGATGCCAGCCACGCAGGTTCAGCCACTGAAGCAGATTCCAGAGTAAAGACCAAAAGTCAGAGACTCTCCAAGGCCATACCTTCTTTCCCCCAGTTCTCCAAACTCAGACCCTTCATGAAGAAGAGACAGCTATGGCCCGAGAGGAAGGAAAGCGTGAGAACAAGATTTGGTGTGGCTGGGCTAGATTCAGGGATGGGGGGGGGGGCAGGTGCAGCTCAAAACCGAGGCAGTGACTCTGCTCCTTAAGGTCATTAGCGAAGTGCACTGAGATCCAGGATGCTCAGTTGGTATCACTGGGCTGGCACAGCCCCCACTACCTGCCAGAGCATGGAAGAGAACGGGGCTCAAATGTGGCCATGGCCCAGTTCCTGTCACTATTTTAAGGCGAGCTATCTGAAGGAGAGCGCTTCTCCTCCAGGAGACTCAAGCCTAAGGGTCACATTTCATGCAGAGGAGTCACCAGGTGACAATTTCACACACAGAAGGTGACTGTGGCTTGTGCTATAAAATCCATAGTAACTGTGAGGAATGACTTGCCAATTAAGAATGTTGTTTAATCTAGCCAGAGCCTCCCGAAGTAGGGTCCACAGAGATTTTCTCAAAAAGCCTGCCTTGCCTGAGGAGTATGAGATTGTACCCTTGTAGTTTCTGGCTTCCCTGGGTTCCTCCATTCCTTGCTTAAGCTGCCAGGATGCCATGTTTCAAATAACTGGATGTGTGTTGCCATGGTTCTACCATGTTTGTGGGTGCTGCTAATGACTGTAGACTTTAGTTATAAAAGTCCTGCAGCTAAATCAGCTTTGTGTCAGTCATCTTTCAGTCATGATAATGAACACCTGGCATCACTTTCTTATAAAGACAGAAAAGTCTATTTTGGCTCCCAGGTTCGAGGTTCCAATCTGTGCTCCCTTGGCCCCATTGCTTAGGGAGGGAGCACACCACCTTGCTAGACAAGCAAACCTCACAGTCAGAAGCAGAACAGGTTCCCACAATCCCCTTATAGCACATGCCCCCTGTGACCAGAGTACTGTCCACCAGGCCCTAATCTCAAAGGCTCCACCTCCCCCCAAGAGGGCCAGTTTAGGAACCAGGTCTTAGCCTGAGGGTCTTGTGAGGGATTTAAGACTCAAAGCATAGCAAACCTGGACCTGTAATCTGTTCTTCCCTCTGCCCACAGCTCGAATCCAGACTCATGAAGAAAGCACCAAGAGGCTTCTAAAGGATGGTGACCTCATCAGCCAGCTGTCCTCAGCATACATGGCAACAACCCAAAACAATGGCACCATGGTCAACTTTGACTCTCTGAGTACCAAGAGCCTCAGGATGGAGCCAGTCACAAGGTCCCTGCCCCAGAGTCCTGGGAAAGTGTCCAGGGGCCCCTGCTCTCCTCTTCCTGGTGGATCTAGATCAAGGCCAGAGCAGGACACCAGTAGGTGAGGGTGAATGCTGGCCCAGAAGGAAGAAAGCAGGCTTCTTGATTGTGATGCCAGTGTCAGACCAAAAGAGCTATCAGGAGGCCGGGGTGGTTGAATTCCAGATCTGACAGGAGGAGTCAGAAGTCAGGGACTGCTGGGACACAGAGGATGCAGGAAATGGGCAAGAAAATGGGGGGGGGTCAAGATTTTTCAAACCTTAATCACTTAATCTGTAAGAAAATCTTTCTCACAGCCTAGCATACATATTTCTGCAGCCTATGAAAATAAGATGTCTTTATAACAATTCATGTCCCAAGACAGGATTTGGGGGTGTGGCATCAGAAGGCACAGTAGCCTGAGGAGTTCCCCAGGAGCTTTGATGACCCAATTCAGGCCAAACTGGGATCCGTTGCTTCCACCCAGGGAGGAATCTCTGGACTAACCAGCTTATGAAGCAGAGTTGAGGTTAATAATGGCATTAAATTCAGGCTTAAGCAGGAGGGCTAAATGAAAGAAAGCTACACTCTGAAGGAAAACTAAGATGCAGGGGAGGGCATGGGGGTGGGCTCTTCAAGGAGAGACACGGCTTATTGTTTTTGTTTTATTGTTGTTGTTTGTTGCAGTAGGGGTTGAAGTTGCTCTGTGCAGAGGGTCATTATGAAATTTAAATGAGATTCCTAAGGAGTACCTGGCAGGATTGCAATTTATAAGGTTAAAATTTGTAGCTCTCAGGGACATTGGAAGTCGGGATATTGTCTCTGGAAACAAAGAGGGCAGTCTTATTTGAGGTTCTCAGGCCTTGTTTGGAGAAAGGAATGACTGCCCAAAGTCATGTACATTCAGGCCTTAATCCTGTCTCCTTAGCACGCATAAAATATCTCTGTATGAGAGGAATATGAACCCTGTGTCCCAACCCTCACAGCCAGTGTTGAGTGTGCTGGATTCCAGCTTCTCGGCATCCTGGGGTGATGAGCTCCTTCCTCTCTCCCCAAGTCCGATAGCTTCCCCGTCTTTCTATCCAGCCTCATTACATCTTGGGTCCCAGAATAGCTGTATTAGTGGTAAAGGGTCACTGCTTTTTGTGAGACTAATCAAGTTATTAGCAAGATCTTCAGTGCATATGGGCTAACTGCTTCAGACAAGAAGGCAGAAGAGCCCAGCTTCCTTTAGCATTTGGATAGCACCCAGAAGAATGAGGGGGCAGAGCTCTGCTGACCCAAAGTCATAGTCAAAATTATCTTCATCATTTGTAGCACAGTGGACACCATGGAGATGAATATAATTTGCTTTTTCCTTTCTGCAAGTGATCATAGAACTTGATGTTTTGTTTTAAGCAAGTTGTCTTCATATCATTGTAGTACTTTAACAAGTAGTATGGGGACATAAATCCTTCTAGGGAGGTCCCTGGGGGTGGGATCAAACCACAGCCACTAGTCCTTGGAGCAGGTATAGCTCTCCCAAGTGGACACTTAAGGGAGTGCCTGGGAAGCTGGAGTGACAGTTTAGCCACTATAGCAGCATTCCTAATGTGCACTCCACAAACACTGGTCCCATGAAATGCTCCTAACACAGCCAGTGCTCTGTAATAGGATATTATTAATGAGGCATGCCTTGCCATGAGCCCCCAAGGAGACTGGCATCCCTTATTGTATCAGGGTTCTAAGATGTCCAATGTGGTCCCACTCACTGATTGTATCCACAGATCACCAACAGATGCTTTGGTATTCCTGGAGATGTGAAGAGAAACAGAGGCCATAGCTACCTAACCACTTCTGTCTTACAGGTATCCACATGGACCGTGTGCCAGCACAGGCAACCTCCATAAGAACAAATCCTGCACATCTGTGACACAGACACAGCCCCTCAAGGGTGTTCGCTCAGAGCCTCTTTCCCGAAAAGACTTTCAGCCAATCAGACCTCATTTCTGTGGTCCTGGGGTCTCTGCCCTGACGATACATGGCCACAGACCCCGTGCTCCCAGACACTATGTTGTAAATGAACATAACTGTCACAAAAAGGCCCACCCGACTTTCTGGCCAGAAAGACATTTCAAGATAGATGCTTTAGGTGACATTGTAGAGCTGTATCCCAGGAATGTGCAGCAGTACATGTCCTGGGCCCCTCAACAGCCTTGCTCACCACAGCTGAGTGAAGAGGAGGAGGAGGAGACACTGAGGACAGATTTGGTTCGTTGGGCAATCCCCTCTGGCTCCCTGACAGACCTTCATTTTTACACTGGTAACAGACCAGAAAGTGATGCCAGAGACCCTGAGTACCAACGAAGAGTGTACTACAGATCTGGGGATAACAGTTTTGAGGGCCAGCTTGAGAGGCCTTCATTTGTACATAAAAAGCTACGAGCCAGGAATGCCCAGCACTCGCAGCATCCTCTGAAGCCCAGAGTCAAAGCCAAGTTGGAGCCATCCTTCACAGAATCTGATTCTGTGTCAGCAGCATCCAGCAGTGACCAGCAGAACAGCAGCAATGACCAGTACCTGCAGGTCATGTCCAGTCAGGGCAGATTCCTGAGGTCTGCCAGCCAGCTAGGCAGGAGGAAGGCCAAACCCAGGCAGGCGCTCCCCATGGATCTAAATGAACTAATTTGTTCAAATGTCTAGACTTCTTTCAATGCCTGTTCCTAAAGGCTGGACCTCTTTGGAAGTATCGGGAGCACACAGCCCCACCCTTTCTGGAAGAGAGCCCGGTTCTGGGTGTTTTAGAGATCTGTGGAACTTCTTTGGGTGACACTGTCTGAGGTTCTGAGACCGTGGGACTATACCTTGCTATTCACAGCAATGGTGTGTGAGTGGCCATTCCTGGTGTTTCCTTATGTCTAGCACACATCACCACATCAGGCTGTCCTTTCAAGAAAACATCCGGCCTTGATTCCATTCAGGGTGGCTTGCCATACTCACCAGCAAGCTAGGCCTCTCACCAGGACTGCACAGACCAACCCTAACACTTGTTTATCTTCAGTGATATGAGGGAGTGCTTTGCACTGTGCTCTTCCAACATACAGGTAGTGACACTATGTAGTGAGCATCAGAACTCAGATGGCCATCCTTGACGTGTCCACTGTATTTAGTTGATGAGGACAATCAGTTTAGTGGTGGCCAGAACAGTACACTGCAAGTTTATCTAACTCTGTATTAGTTAGTCAGGACACAGAGTAGACAGGATTGCAAATTCACACCTGGGGTTCCTTGACTCTTTTCACTGAGAAGAATGGGGATTGAGACTCAGTACCATGCTCAGCTGAAACCAAGGCTCAAACATCCCCAAGAACACTTGTCATCTAACCTCTCTGTTCTGTTCCTGCTTGTTGACTTGTTTTCTCCCACTCCCAGTAGACTTCCTTCAGGTAAGTGGTGAAGATTTCACAGCTACAGAGATGCACAGCTTCCAGCCTCCACCGGAGCTGCATTCCCTACTTCCCCTTGTTCCCTGGAGCCTCTGACTGGCCTTGTGCAGGGCTTGGCAGCAATGTGTGCTCCATCCCACAGTAACCAGCTGTGTGCCCTGACTCCTAATTCCATGTCACATTTCAGAAGCTCTGACTTTTAACATTTCTGTCTCCTCTAGTATATTCTGAGTGTCTCTGGAACAAAAATGGCACCATGGTTCTACATTCCCAGTAACTGACACACAATAAGAGCACAGCTCTCAATCAGATTAGCCATGGGGACTCTCCACAAGTGGGATTTCTCTGAAAACAGAGAGCATCACATTGATAATCCAAAGCACTGTAAACCATGGGCATATACAAAGTCTGGAGCAAGGGAAAGGTTCCACCAGCAAATGGAGCTTGCGTGAGCTGTTTCAGCCAATTCTCCTTGTCAATAAGATCAACAACAAGGTTGGCACCAGCCCAAGGTCAGAGGGGTGTTCTTGAAGAGGTACAATCTGTACAAAATTGTGGTGCCCTTATGTGTCAGGTTGTGGTCTGGCCCAATTTTGTGATCATTTTCTGTTGTTGGGCATATGTGCAATCCTCACTTCACAACCCCCACACTTCATTTACTTACATGTCAGTGCTCAACACAAGCAACCCCATCTTGATTTTTGTGATTTTTCACCCCACAACAATAAACAGAGTGGCTTAATAGGATTCCACTAAACATCACACAGTTTCCATGGCTTAGGAGCACAGGTACGACTGGCTGGGTCCTCTCCTCCAGGCAACAGCTGAAGCATCAGCAAGTATTGACATCTCATCAAAGGTCCCAGGTCATCTTCCAGTCACATAGAATTCTTGATCAAATGTCCAGTCCTTGAGGTTCTAGAGGCTTCCTGCATGTCTCTGCTGCTCAACACTCTACAGAGCATGGCTGGTAGATCTTTATTGGCAGCTTAGTATGGCTATTTGGCTTCCAGTCCCTTTTGGCAGGGATAAATGGGCCTTCTTTTAATAAGTGGCTTGAGTAGGCCAGGGCCACCCAGGAAACCCTGTCTTCTGATTCCTAGAAGTTGGCTTGTGAAGAATATTAATCACAGCACTAAAATCACTTCACCTTTACTTCATATCATAAGCCAGCCATGGGGTGAAAGTTAATACTATTCAGGACATCCCACAAGTCATCCATCCCATAGAGGCAGGGATCTTGGAGATCTGCACACATGCTTAATACTTAGCCAGATGTGAATGGGTGAATAGACCATATTGATAACTGAATCACATGTGGCAAGGCCACTGGATTAGAGGCCAAGATAACTCCCAGTTCTAACCAGGAAAGTTTGTAAAAATGTTGCTTCATTTGCAAAGTCCACACTGATAATCCCCCTTACTAAACTCATGAGGAGTGCACAGGTTTTCAAATGGTATGCCATGTTGGTTCTAGGAGGTGATGGTCTAGACTTAGTGTTCTACAGTGCCTGGCTTGTCAGAGGTACCCACATCAGTGACACAGTGAGGAGGCCTCCTATCCCAGGTTCTGAGGTTAGGACTGAAGCCTAAAGTTTCCTGGGACATGGAATTAGGTTAGGAAAGCCAGACCTACCTCCAGATATCTGCAGGAGCAGCAACCTGTGTGACGAGCATATCCTGGAACATTCCAAGAAAACAGCCATCTACCCCATACCCAGGGCTGAAGTGTGAGTTCGGAGCATGTTTATGTATATGGCACCTTGTTTTGGGTGATTCCCACTTGGAGAAATTTAGGACACCGAACAATACGAAACAGAGGGTGATGAGCATCCCTATTCCCTTGTGAGGGTCAACAACGGTTTGTATCTTGTTTCCATGGAGCCATTTAGCTCTTAATAATAAAGAAAACCCTATAGTGCTGGATTTGAAAGACTGAGACTGATACAGGAGGACTTAACCAGAAGGTCAAGGTCAACCTGAGCTACATAGTGTTAGGCTAGCGTGAGCAGCAAAAGAATATTAAGGAGAGAGGGAGAAAGGGAAAGAGAGAGATCATCAAATTATTCTCTAGCCCCCATACTAGAAGTTCTTCCTTTCATATTATCATGAACTCAGTGTATACACATTCAATAGATCGTTGTATTTATGGACACTGATACTGTATGTATGAATATGTGTGTATGTGTGTGTATGTATATATAAATATATATAACAGAAGCAATACCTATGTCTTAAGTCAATGCCATTACTGTATTTGTATTTTGAAATCTATTATAGAAATATGTACAGATGAAACTCCCTATGACAGCTGTTTAGTATTTCATTATTAGGATGAACTACATAATGTCTCTTCCTTTTCTACACGAAGGGTATTGAAATAATTTCCATATATTCCCTATTAAAAAGTTGTACTATATTTCTTTTGTATGTTTTCTTTGAAGTTATTAGTCCTATAGAGAAAATTTTGAGCTTGCTGGAGACAATCATATCAGGCTTTCCCAGTTTCCTCTGTATTATTCTTTGCAAGCCCAGATGTTGCATCCTCCTGCCTTGGCAGATGACTGGAATAACTTTCCTTACAATCTGACCGAGCTTAATTTTGCCGCAGTGTGTAATTTCTGTCAATCTGATGAAAATGTAATAAATCAAGTGGCTTTAATTACTCTGTTCTGTTTTCCTTTTCCGGACTCTCCTCAGGCTGATAGGTGATCGCCTCTCAGCACTCTTACTCTCTTACCGCATCGCCGTCATCATTGTGAATGGGCTTCCATGACGCTCCTCACAAAAGCATGGCTTGCTGATGGCTCATCTCCCTCCTCTTTGGGAATACCAGCTCTTATCTATGCTTTAGAACAGAATGCTACCAGGCTGCTTTATCAAGGTTGCTTATGTAACTGTGGTTTCACAAGATGCCTGTGTAATTTAGTAATGGTCCATGGCAAGGGAAATTGTCTGCCTTCTCGCCCTGTCATCAAACTATTACTGGTCACATGATCCACTGTGTTATTACAAGTCCAGGGCCTGGAGAAATAGCTTAGTGGTTAAAAGCACATACACTCTAGTAGACATCTGAGCTGAGTTCAATTCCCAGCACCCATGTTGGGAGGCTTACAATTGCTTGTAACTCTAGTTTCATGGGATCCAATGTCCTCTTCTGGTCTCCTCGAACACTGTGTTCATGTGTATATGCATACACACACACACACACACACACACACACACTTAAAAATAAAATGAATCTTTAAAAAAATCTCTATCCTAAAAATCATTACATAGTAAAAGTACTTTCCCTTTTTCATTTGTTTGTTTGCAAGTGATTGATTTCTTTTATCTTTTCCAAGCCCCTAGAAATACTGGGCTCTACCTCCCTGTGCTGTGACTAATTAACTGGATGACAAATGACTCAATCCAGGTAAAATGCATGTGTATGAGAGCAGCTGACAAACAGTAAGTAAATGAGCAAACAGAAATGTTGCTAAGGGACTAAGTGGGCATCTCCATACTTATTTACTAGATTAATGGTGTCCCGAGATAATGCAATGCATAGTTTGTGGCACACCTGCCCTGAACCCCTATCTTAAAGTCAGCTAGGGATTCTGTGAGGTCTGCCAAGGGATCCTGGTGGGCTGAGAGGCTAGCATTTTGTGGGAGGGCACTGACCAAGGAACCTGCAGAGCTCCGTTCTTTCTCTTCCCCTTCAGCTCTCAACTACAGCCTCAAGCAGACTTTAAACGCAAGCCTGTCTGCCCCCTAGGAGTGATTTGTGGGTACCACCTAACTCCTTTCTGCTCAAGAAAGTTGCTTTCCCTCCCCTGGACCTGCCTGCAGCCACAAAATAGACAGAGCAGCTCCACACTACCTCAGATCTCTCCTGCCTTCTGCAGGAGTTTGTCACAGGCCTTGGATATAAAATTTGCTTCTCTAAATGTTTTGCCTACCCAGGACATCCTAGTTTGGGAGAGCAAGGATCAAAGTTAAATGCCATTAACTTTGCTTTTGTTTCTGTAGTGTCTAGAGAAATGGCTTAGCAGTTAAGAGCACATTTTACTGTTGCAGAGGACCCAGGTTCGGTTCCTGTCACCTATCTATGTTAGCTGGCTCACAACTAGCTGTAACTCCAACTCTGGCCTCTGTGGGCATCAATACATACATGCATATATGTACACATATAAACAAAAGCAACACTTTGTAGAAAAAAAAACTACCCACTACACTCTGTAAATGTAATCATCTCTTGGATATTGATAGTTACTAAAAGTCATTTTCTAGAGCAGGGTTGGCTTTCCTGGACTGGTATGTAGTTCTGTGGTAGAGCATTTGCCTCACATTCATGAGTTCATATCCAGAATAAAGAAAATACAAACCAAGACTTAACTTTCCTTCATTTTTGTTTTCATATTCTTTAGGCTCTCAAAAACATTGTAATAGGCCCCAGCCTGACTCTCAAGTTAGAGTCACAGAAATTTATAGAACTATATTATACTGAATTCTAATTAGACACTGGTGATTTGAGGGAAAAAAATGGTCCCCAAAGGGAATGGCACTGTAGGAGGTGTGGCCTTGTTTGAGGAAGTGTGTCACTGTGAGGTTGAGCTTTGAGGTCTCTTTTTCTCTCGCTTCCCTCAGTGTAACAGTCAATTGGCTTCCTGTCGCCTGCAAGGTATAGGACTCTCAGCTCTAGAACCATATCTGCCTACATGCTGCCATGATCCCCTTAATGATCATAATGGACTGAACCTCTGAAACTGTAAGTAAGCCACCCTTAACTAAATGGTTTCTTACAGCAGTGTTCATGGTTTCTCTTCACAATAATAAAAACCCTAAGACAGACATTTAAAATTAAAACCATTATGTTAGTAAATGCACTCATGAGGCAGCATATGATAATATAAAACATAAAGGAAGTGTCCTGCTGACTCTACACTCTTCTAAGATCACTCCTTACTAGACTGGAATGTTCTGAGCCCTGAAACATATAAACACCCCTAGCATGAAGTGCTTCATGGAGGATAACTGTCCTGAGAGAGGTGTTATGAAGTGATTTTGTCATTGTGTGACATCATAGTGCATTCTTATGAAGAGCAAGAGATCTACAATGTCACTGGGTGACATTATCTTGTGCAACCATTGTTGTATGTACTGCTTATGATTAACCTTAATGGCATCCTCATGTGGTACACAAACACACACACACACACACACACATATGGATATATATATGTGTGTGTGTTTATATATATATGTATAATATTAGCAAACTCAAACACATGTGCATATATAGACACACATACTTCTTTCTTACTCAAGACATAAATGAACTTCATTGAACATAGGTATGTATAGTGAATAATGTTTACTGGACATCAAATGCCATTCTCATTACTATTTACTGTTAAGCCATTTGACCTTTTCTTCACCTACTAGTACTATTACTTATTTTGCTTTTCAAATGAAAAAGAAGAGAACATTTTAAGGTCTGGAAGGCCTACTCATTTGCTAATAATGCTATACACTTGCTAACACAATGTGTGGCTTGAGTGATCTGATGAGTGCTGGCTTTAGCTTTTTTATTACTTTCATATTTTAAATTTTTTAGCACTTGAAATGCAACCCAAGACCTTGAGCATGGTGTGTAAATACTGTATGACTGAGTTGTACCTATCTACCCAACAGCTCGCTAGCTAGCTTGTTTGCTTACTTGCTTTCTCTTTGTAGGGTCACACTCTATAGCTCTGCCTAACCTGGAACTCAATGTGTACACCAAGCTAGCATCAGAATTGGGTAATCCTTCTTCCTCTGCCTCCCGAGTGCTCAGAATACAGGCATGTGCTGCATGCTTGGTTCTAAGCACAGGCCTTTTGTATTCACAACACTGTTACCGATCAACTTGCATTTTTAACTTGTGCATGTGATGTAACATGTGGCCATCTTTCCCTATTGGTTCTTAAACAGAGATCACATTTGGAGAAAGATTAGATTTACATTTTATTCAGTTAAGCTTTAAACTCTATTCATATCCTCCAAACATCAAGTAGATGTTGATGAGAAGGACTGCTTCCTATCAAGCCATGTTGTTAGACTCACTCTGGACCTCTGCTCTCTTGAGCAACCCTCCATGGTGACAGTGGCAGCTCCATCAGCTGTGTTATATGAGTTCAATGGTTAAACAATACCCCACATAATGGGTCTCTTGTAACTTTGCTTGATGCATTAACAAATAAGTTTGTTTCTATTACAAGGGCAATCTTCCATGCCTCTGTGCAGGTGAGGTTGTTGGGTTACAGAGGAAGTACAGACAAGTGTTATTATGTATCATTGCTTTGTTTGCAAAATGTTACAAATAGTACACTTGAACTATCGCCCACAGTGAGGAAAAACCCTTCCTCCTTACTGTTACTAACGCAGCGTACTAACAGCTCTTTTCCTGTTTGTCCACTAGATTGATCTCCTTATTTAGTTCGTAATCCTTTATGACCAGGGTTCTGCATCTTTTGTGTCTTGGTCATTTATTTATTTTGTCATAAAACATCATTCCATGTATGAAGCTTTCTTTTTGTATTAATGGTTTAAAGCCATTTTTTAATAGCCAAACAACTTTTAGTTCAAATGTATCTCAATTTTATCTCCTATCATTTTCTTTTACGGTTTTATATGCTTCATTTTTAAAGCACAACAACGGGAGTCATCTATTTTATAACTCCTAGAATAATGCACATGTGTTCCTCACAGTAGCATGGGGAGATCCATATTATTGTAACATCTAACCTCACAGCAAACTGCTATTTGCCCAAACACATGCAGTACTGGATCTGGCCCTCAAGTTCCCCAGAAGTCCTCACCCGGAAAACTTCTTCCAAAAGGGACTTTCAAAGCATGTTTCTACCTATACTAACCTTTGAAGAAAACAGTGCACAGGTTTCAAGCAATCAGTTGCACAAGGGTTTGAAAGGGAGGAAACCTTGGCTGCTGTTATAGAGAGAATAGTGTTCCCACTTTCCCACTGGCCTGATAATACTCTGGTCTGCTTATTTATATATTTATTTAATGATTCTGGTATTGCACTCAAGTCCTAGCACATGCCAGGTTTCATGTACCGCTGCACTTTGTCACCAGACCTCTTTCTACTTTGAGATGAGGGCCTCATTAAATTGCCCAGGCTGACATTTAATCCGTGATCTTCCTGCTTCCTGGATTAACTCTCAAGGGAAAGCCAGGGTCTCCCCCTGGTGCCAACACATGCCATGTCTGTTGGATATGTGTGTCTACTTAGAGCTCCAAAGGCATCTGGAGCTAAAGAGATTCGATATTGGTTTTAACATTTTCCCCATCCCTTCGAAGTTCTCTCTTCCTCTACTCAACCGTGGCACCAGCTAGTCAAGGCCCCAAAATGGGAATTATGGCACTTCCACAGGCTTCAGTCTCTACTATCAGAGGCAGACATCCCCGCGCAGGCCTCCTGAACAGTCATAGGTGGGTCGCCCTCCTGCCTACCTCCAACCGCCAGCTCCTCCACATCCCCGGGGTGCCCCGCAGAATCCCCCTGGGGAGTTGTTTGCAATGAAAACTGAACGATCTCAGTGGGGGCCAAAAGTCTCTGAGCATCAAGGGAAAAAACACCACTCCATACTCTAGCCTATGAGTGGTTCCTGGCCCTACCCACAGCCGACAGATGCAGTTCAGGCTTCCTGAGACCCGCCCAGAGATGACGCGTATTGCAGGGTTGGCCTCCACCTCCAGATCTGCTCATTTCTAGGAGGGGCGGAATTGTCTGTGAGCAAAGGCCAATTCCAAGAGGGAGGCGGAGCCCAGGGGCGGGGATCCAGGCTCCGCCCAAGGCCCGGTTTTCCGCCTAGCAGAACCGGTGCTGCACAGCTGGGACCCTCACGCCGCTGTAATGGACGTGTCATGGGCCACGCAAGAGAGTGAGGCAGTGGCGGAGAAGGTGCTCCGGTACCGGCGGGACGAGTCAGGCTGGAAGAAGTGTCGGGAAGGCGTGAGTGAGGCACTGGGCGGGAAAGGGGTCTGGAGACGACTCCTTGGGAGCTGGAGTCCTCCAATCTCTCAGGCTTCTCCTAGCCCTGTGGTTTTCTGCACCCCAGACCCCGGAGGTGGATTGAGAGAGCTATTCCACTGACGGTGGCTGCTCTCTGGAACTGCTGGAGATCCCTACCGCTTTCAATGAGAACACCCTCAAGGTCACCTGACTGGTATGAGGTTAGGATTGGACCTGAAACTCCAGGTACCAAGTCTTTCCTCCGTTCATTATAATACAATCCCGTGGCCCAGAGAGTGTCAGAAAGAGTTTACTTCCTTGACGCTTCTGATTTTTTTTTAAAAACAAATATTCCTAAATTGCTTGGTGGCGTTTAAGGCTCTTGGAGAACCTCCCTCAACTCCTGGAGCCAGCCAGCCAGCCAGGATCTCTTTGCTCTTCACCTGCTGTGGGGGCAGCTACATCCATGACGAATCCCAGCAATGCCAGGAACGGGTTGGGTGACCTTGGAGAACCATGTCTTGAGATCTTGTCTCCAAGCCTTCCTCTAGCTCTAAAATTCTACGATTCTGTGCCTTTTGACAGAATGGAGTTTCAGTTTCCTGGAGGCCATCTGAGGAGTTTCCAGGGCATCTGTAAGTGCACCTCTAACAAAGCTCGTCAGAGCCTCAGCTCCCTTCCTGGTTTCTCTGGGCTTACCTCATGAAAGGTTCCAACCCACCCTGGCCCTCTGTGATCACCAGTCATCTTCCAGAAAAGCACTGGCTTGTATTTCGAATGGTTTCTAGCAAACTGTGTTCTATGAGGGCTTAGTACCTGTTTGTGTAGGCTGGAGGGGAGGTGGGCTAGTATATTTTAGTCCCCCTTCCATCAGCCAGCTCTAGAACTAGGACAGACATGTAATAGATTTGAGGTAAAATCCTAAAATAAGCAAGTTTAAGTGATGCTTTGGGTCTAATTCTTCTCTATGGGCCAGGTACCGAGGAGAAGGCATTCTGTGTGGGACACCAGAAGAAGTGTGGGATTGCATAAAGCCAGTTGCTGGAGGCCTCCGGGAGAAGTGGGATGACAATGTGACCAGTTTTGAAATTGTCCAGAGCATCACGGACGTAAGTTTCTCTGCCTGTGTTATCTATAGTGTTTTGTCCTGCTGCAGTACCCTGACCCCATGTCCTCTGAAGAGGGATCTCTAACGCCTATAGGCAAGAGGAATGCCTGCACTCCATCCCAGTCTTGGCCCTCTGGAAACAGTGTGGCTTTGAGAGACCAGAAACCCCCAGCAGAGCCAGGGGGTTTAGATGAGGAAGCCTGGGCTCCTCCAACACCAAAGCAGGCCTGGCTTTAGACTAATAGATTTAGTTTGAAGCCTTGTCTTTTGACAGAGCCTTTGTCCACAGTAGGACCACTGCAAGTGGTCACTTCTGGATTGCAGCATCTCTTTTAGGAAAGTGTCCCCACAGCAGAAAGCCTTGTTCTGCAGCTGTCCTGTCTAGAGTGGGATTCTCAAGTTCCCATGAAAAGGTGGCTGGTGGAAGAAATGAATTATTCATTTAACAAATCTACCTGTAAATTTAAATAGCCACATGAGCTAGGGGCTGGTACAGCAGACAGGTGCAGCTGCAGTCTTGATGAACCTGCCCAGGTGTCATCTGTAACTTTTAAGATCTTGAGGGTCAGAAGAATGGAAAATCACAGGGAAAACACATGCACGAGCATCTCTGGGGAGGCTGAGCTGTGTGGTTTGGATGACATCTTAGTGTTGCTGCCCGGGACCTCTCTGGCACTGTCTGATACTGACATAAGCAGGTAGCATTGTGAAACCTCGGTGCTTTGAAGCTGGCCAAACTGTGGAGCCAGGTGTCTTTGTGCTGACCTCATTTCAGATTGGTCTGTTGTCAGTAGGAGTTTATGTCAAACTTGTCTGAAGGCTGGGGCAGAAGTCCCTGGGAAGAAAGGTAATCTGACATCCTTGTCAGTCCAAGATGGAATCGAAACACACAGCGAGGCTGGTGCTGTCAACCCTTCTTTTATCCCTCTGATACTAGTAAGAGGAGAGCGGATCTCAGGCACTGGTGTGCCTTTGATGTTCCTTAACTCACACTGTCCCTTACTATGAGACCAATAGGTGGCCTGGGCTGGGAACCAGACTTGAGCAATTTTGCATGCAATTTGCCTTTAATTTATGGCAGGTGATTCTTTCTGCCTCTCTCTTTTTCATTTCTAACAGTTAAATAGCTTCCTTTAGAACCACAATAAATAGATGTGATTTTCTAGTTCTGGATTAAGTGAAACCAGCACAAGAAAAGAAAAGAATGCAGAGAGAGAATACAAATTATTATATACAGATGGGTAAAGCTGAGCAGCCCTTGGTTTATGCCTTTTATATACAATGCAAATACTGTAACAGAAGCAATAGCATATATGTGTGTAGAGGGGTATATGTGTATTATGTATGTTCATGTGCATGTGGAGTCCCAAGGAGTGTCTCATACAGTCGTTCTCCACTTTATATATTGAGGCAGTGGCTCAATATTGTCATCCCCTTCTCCCAGAGGCCTCCAGCAGCTGGCTTTATGCAATCTAGAGCTTGCAATTGTAGCCAGCTTGCTCCAGGGACTCCCTGCTCTGCTTCCCTTCCGGGATTATAGCCGAACTACCACTCCCGTCCAGCTTGTGTGTAGGTGTCACGTCTGCTGCGCCGCCTGTGTCCGAGAACGTGCAGAGGGTGTCGGGGATTGACAACACAGAGACTCGTTCAATGATATAAAGAAAACTTTAAACAGGCTCCAAAAAGGTTCAAGAAAACCTCCTAAGAAAAGCTCCCACCAGAGAAGCTTCTGCTCTCTCCTCTACCCTGGCTGGTTCTGCTCTGACTCCAGAGGTGGATGTGTGTGGGTTTTTGAAGGTGAGGTTAGTCTTTAGACAAGGTCGAGGTCAGGGCGGTTTCCATGGGAAGGCCTTTTCCAGGAGCTTATTGTATCGTTTTTAGTAAACGTGTTTTTACTAAACATTGTCTACAGCTGCCTACTCCCAGGCAGAAGGGGAAGTGGGTCTCTGCTCAAGGTCTGGTGTTCCCACATGTAGGTTCTAGGGAATCCAAGTTCCAGTCCTCATACTTGCACAGCAAGCACTTTACCTACTAAGCCAACCCCATAGCACTGCACATCATCCTTTGGAACTCAAAAGTGGCTCCACTTCTTGAGCACATTTGCACTCAAGTCCAGTGGCTGGTGGGACTGAGAGAATGTAAGGCTAGGAAAGCCATAGGCTGAGCAGCCATAATGATGGCTGACCCGTCAGTGATGTCAAGCACAGGCATTGGATGTTCTTTTCCTGGCTACAAGCCCCCAGCCTGAGGTAAAGAGAAGTTGCCAAGTGCACACAGGTAAAGGGGCCAAGCAGGAGCTGGCCCCCTATTGTCACAGTGCCACCTCTCAAAAGGAACCAAAAATGACTTTCTAAGTCTTCCACCTTCACCTCAGCTCCCGTTCTGGATTTATCTCTCGGCTCCTCCCCCAGGGGACGTTTTCCTCCAGTGTGGCTTTCTAGGCACACATGTCCCCAGCACACCTGGCACTCAGCCTGTGAGGAATTCTCTGCAGGGCCTGTTGCTCTTGTCTTCTTAGTCAGACCTCCGTCATGGCCGAACGATTGGTGCTAGGGGCGCTTTCCAGCGTTTCTGGGGATCCTGGCTTGCCCCTAGCTGTGCCTGCTTCCCTGTGTGGAACTGATGGTGCAGACAACAGACACCCTCATCCTGGTGCATCCGTTTCCCTGAGCGCTGGCTGGGCCAGTGTCAGTCCCAGCAGCCCCTATCCCCTGCCGGAGCCCCGTCAGCCTTCTGGTGCATGAATCTTCAAACTTTTGGCATGTGTTTCCTCTAACAGATTTTTGAAAAATTATGCCTCATCCCAACACGTGTCATTATCTAACATTCAGTTCACAGCTTAATTTTCATAAAGTGTGAAGCCTAGATTTTTGACATGTACTGTTTGTTACTTTTGAACAAAGCAATGGCATTTAGTTCTATCTAAATAATATTGGGCTTTATTTATTATATCCCATTTATATGGATATGGAGGCTTCCAAGATCACAGGGTTGAGGATACTTAGGAGCTCCAGGCTAAGCAGGGTTACATTTCAATTCAATAAACAAAGAAAGCCACCAACAGCAAGACGTAAATGTTTCTGAATCAGAGTGCGATTATTTTCCTTGAACTGCATTTTATACAACACAACTCACTGAGGTTGGTTTGTTTTAAGACAGGATTTCTTTATATAGCCCTAGCTGGCCTGGAACTTTATATATAAATCAGGCTGACCTTGAGCTCACAGAAATCCACCTGCCTCTGCCTACCAAGTGCTGAGACTGCATGCTTAGACCACAAGGCCCAGCATCCCACTCCATTTTATTCCTCACATAATGCATGTGTTTCCTTGGACATCACCAAATATTATTAGAGATATTCATGTATATTGGGGGAAAAACTTTTTTAATTATGCATTTCTTTTGATCACAAGACTAAAAAAAAAGAATGGGACTGAGGTATGAATGTAATTTATTTAGGGAACATGATTACATTTGGAAATTTGAATGAAGAATGGTTAAACACAAAGAGAAAAAGTATTTCTCATCTCTGCATGAGACGTGTGGGAACTTTTTGTTCTCATTAATTCATGTGTCCCTGGAAAGATTTGGCTTGTTGCCAGAGACACACAGCCTCCAGCAGATACTAGACACAGGAGAGAAAGCACAAGCTGCCAGGGAATGTAGGTATCCCAAAAAGCAGAGAAGCTGATGGCGGAGGTCTTGTTCATTAGGAGAAACGGTGCAGATAAGGGGCAAAGACACTTCCTTTCAGGTGGCATTCATTAGTGATTTGGACAGCTCACAAGCATCCCAATCCTTAATAGATAATGGGTAAAGGATGTATGGATGAGACATGAACCTGGAGTGAACTTGTGTCTGTAACAAGTCTTTAGTATTCTTAAAAAATAGACTCTTCTCTTGGGCTCCAGATGGAATCAGAAGCAGATGTTACGCTTGTAGACAATGATGATGACTTCTACCGTGCCTGCTATAAGACATGGGAATTCAGAAATGGACTTTTTTTTGCACTGTGCTTAGGGGAAACTGACACTCTGAGCCCCTTGTGGGGCGCTATGATCAAACTATGATCAAAATATTAGTTTGCATTCTTGAAGATTATTAGCACCACAAAGGATTGTATCCTGTGCAATGCATCTAGGATGATATTAGATGGGTAGGGGAGACACTCTGTTCTCATGTGAGTTTTTTTTTAAGACATAGAGATGAAGTCATTTGACCTCAGTGCACCCACTGGAAAGTGCCCAAGTGCCCTCGGGCTTCTTTGGGTTCTCCTGCCTGCAGCTCGCCACACTGCTATGCATGAGATGGACTTGTCCTCAGTAGACCTGAGCCTGCTTTGTTTCGGCAGGTGCTGTGTGTGAGCAGAACCTCCACCCCCTCGGCTGCCATGAAGCTGATTTCTCCCAGGGACTTTGTGGACTTGGTGTTGGTGAAGAAATATGAGGATGGCACCATCAGTTCCAATGGTAAGTGGTGGTAGGTGTCTACTGGCTGTCCTAGATACGGGCTTTGTCTTAAATGCACCGCTAGATCTTCCAGAACGGCTGGGTGATTGGGAACCATCAGCTACGTCATGTGTTCTGTCTTCTCCCCTTGTAGAGTTGAAGAGGTTTTGTACCAGAGAGACTGAAATGGGGAGACCGGATTCCTGGGCTTTATTATGTCCTAGATTTTGTCAGCATTGTTTTTATTTTTGCTGAGCTCAGAGTTCATGCCATCAACATGCAGATTGCAGATAACCTCTTTGTATGTCAGTGTGTTGAGTCCATAGGAGCATACTAATCACGTGGTTGCTTTCTGCCCATTCATGACCCATGGGAACAGAGGCCCTCGGTTCCTCTACATCTTCCTCTGGGGACTGAAAACTGAGAGAAGCATCTTTCTCCTCCTACCCTGAGCCTTATATTCTGGAATGTTGTTTCTTCTGAAACTCTTAACGGGTTGGAGCAAACTGTGTGAGAGTGGATGTGTCTGGATGTACCTAAGCATGCTTGTTTGTGTGTGAAGGGGTTGAGAATGCGTGTGTGTGTGTGTGTGTGTGTGTGTGTGTGTGTGTGTGTGTGTGTGTGTGAACTGGATGTAAGCATAAGAAAGTTGACAGGTAACAGAGTCAAACCCTTTGCTGGCCTCTGGACTTTGGTCATTGGGCCTGTGCAGATGGGGGATCTTCAGTGCTGGTGGTGGTGACCCTGCTGTCTGACCTCATGAATGTCTTCCAGCTACCCACGTGGAACATCCATTGTGTCCTCCAAAGCCAGGTTTTGTGCGAGGATTTAACCATCCATGCGGGTGCTTCTGTGAACCGCTGCCAGGGTAAGGAAAGTGGGTGGAGGACTTTGTCCCAGAGCTAACTGTAACACCTCTGTGAACTCAGAAAACAGGCTTTTTGCTTGTAACTCACAAAAATAATATCCATGTTACAAAATGCATTGTCGCACACAGGCACCCAGTGACTCAATGTGCCATTTTAGGTGGCTCCTGGGAAAGCTGTAAGGAGGTGTTACTCAGATTAATTTTGATGCAAGAATTCCTCTCTCCAGCCACAGGACAGGTCATGCAAACATCCCAGACACATTGAGCAAATAAGGAAACTGAGGCTTAGGTGAGAGATGTGTCTATAGTCAAAGGCCAGGAGTGCAGTGCAGTGTCTGAGCTCTGAATCTTCCATACTCTCTGAGGACACCCACCAGACTGGAGTGGCTACAGGAATAAATTCCCCACTCTATGTTGTACATAGTGACCACTCTTCCTTTACAAGGCATGGACAGTTCCATGTTGTGAATAGGTCCTAGAAAGGAGCTGTGGAGCCCTGAATAGACTTACAGACACGGCCAGGTTCTTGCCAGGAGCTCTCTGGGTAATGAGTTACCTGAAGGTCATGGGTTTATTATGAGCACTACCCAAGTTAACAAGGAGAGGGACTGCACCTGCTGGTGTGGCCCTGCGTTTCCTGCAGACAGCCCACACCTTCCCCACACAGTCCCAGGAGACAGGTCACCGTGCCCAGGATATTACTAAAACCCAGACAGAGCACCCCCGCGGAACACTGTGTCTGCTAAACTGGCTCTCCAACGATCTCAGGGAAGGCTTTTCTTAAATGTCACAAAATTTTGAGTTTGACAGTAGTAAAGCCATGCTGCTGCATGCACACATGCCACACAGCTTTAGTTCTGGTACTGAGGAGACCAGAGTCACTGGCTTGGGCCTAGGAAACTACTGTTGACCGCTTTCCTTTCTCCCTTCCCAGCAGTCAGTGCTGAGACCTGCCCTTCCTTTCCAGCTTTCCAGGCATATTGCAGCAGTGTCTAGAGCAGAGCCCTTTCTCCTTGAGGCTGAATCTCAGGACTGGCTTAGGGAATACCCAGTCACGCAGTCATGTAGTAGTGGTGATGGCCCAGGTCCTATAGAGGGCGTGGGTAGTACAAAGAGGTTATATAACTAGCCCAAGATCACCAGCCAGCAAGTGATAAAGCCACAGCTTAAACACAGCCATCTGTCTTCCACAGTGACTGTAGGTTTTTTCTGTGTTTAAAAAAAAAAAACATATTACAAAACATCTGTTCTCTGAGGCCTTAATCCTGATGGAGCAGGAGAAGATAAACAAGGCACAAATGAAAGTAATTACGCTATATGTACACTAGGAATTACTACTTATTAAGTGCTGTGTAGAAAACTAAAGGATGATGAACGGATCTAGGGTAGGGTGGGAGTGAGTCACCCAGGAGGTCAGGAAACACCTCCCTGCTAAGAGCCACAGGGATCATGGTGGCCTGTGCAGCAGGTGCAGGGTCCCTCTGGGTGTGGCTACAAGGGAAACTGTGGAAGGAAGCCACTGAGTTGGATCAGGAGAGAGGCCGGGAAGCACAGCCATTGAGGAAGCGGGGACAGGCACTTGTCTGAGTAACTGGGAGCTTTAGAGAGGTCTGAGCAGCCAGGCCAGGACGTCAGTGTAAGCTGCTCTGAGTGGATGTAGTGCCCAGAGTAGGTGGAGCTGTGAATCAAAGCAAGAGGCCCCACTGGGGAGTGAGGCTGTGTCCTGCCCTGAGATGGAGGTGCCTGGGCTCCTGTGACAGAGGGAAAGCTGTCCCGGAGGGCAGGGTGTGTTTGGAGGAGGCAGCATCGGAGCTGCATTTGTGGTGCACCTCCTGCGCATGCAGGGAACGTTCTCTGTGCTCCACATGCGTTCTGATGGGCATGTCAGGACACGCTCCAGCCGTGATGTCCCTGGGCCCCCTTTTAGCCACGTTAGCTGGCCCCATGGGTGTCTCCCCTTGCTGTAGTTGCCTCTCCTGAGATGCTATCCTATCAAGCCCAGGGCTCCCCTGAGAGAAATGTGGCCACTAACTCAGGTTTCTTACGTACCTTTTCAAGTTTCCAAAGAACACAGCAGAGTGAAGATGAGGGGTGGCCTGGGCCCTGGGGGGGGGACGGGGTGAGAGGGGAATGACACAGAGAAAGGGCCCCAGAACTGATAGGAGGTGGAGAATGACAGAGTTGAGGATTTGAGATCCAAAGGGAGCCCTGCCCCCTCCCAGCACAGGGGTAAAGAATTGCCATTCTAGAGCAGCCAGGTACTCCTACATGCTCACCCGCTTGCCCTGTGCTCTTGAGGCCTCAGTAGCGGTCTATACAGCTAGGGGTGGCAGGGACTGTAGAGTCTCCAATACCAGAAGCTCAGAGAACCTCTGAGGAGTGATGTTGTGTGGAGTTTCTGATGAGACCAAAGTTGTGGGCAGTATCATTCAGATAAAATGCCACCTGGTGGGGGAGGGGAAATGCCACCTGGTGGGGGAGGGGAAATGCCACATGGTTTCTCCAAACCTGGCCACTGCAGAGTTTGTGACCATGAAGACCCCTCCAGTTTCCTGTTTGGTCATGCCCTACTTCCTCTTTTGTGTGGAGTCTGATTTTAGCTTCTGAATTAACCTAATCCCCTGTTGCTATTCACCAGTAGATGGGACCCTATATTTGGGCTTCTGCTACCCCTTGCCAAAGACTCCTCACACATGTAGAAATTAGCCCTCAGCTCTCTAAAATAAAGCTCAAAATCTGAATTTAAGGTTCCATTTTCCCCCTAAAATATGATTGAGGATTATACAAGACTCCAGTCCATAGAAATTGTAGTTACCATTATGTGGTATGTTTTGAATTAAGATTGAGCAATCTAAAAAAATTCTGTTCACAAAATAGTAGCATGCTAAGTAGCATTTTTTAAAGAAAAATAAGCTTTTCTAAATAAAAACTGAGAAGAACGGCACTCTTTTCCAGTTTCCCCAATTTCTTTCATGTCAGACTTAATAAACATGTCTGTGACAGAGTGTGTGGTGGGGTCACAAGTCACACTGGCTGAAAACTCCACTGTGTGTTCATAGTAATCACTGCAGGAAGGAGTTGTAACCTTGCTGACCTGGAAGGGGCCCAGGATGTCCCAGAAGTCCCCAGTCATCAAAAACACAGCTGTTAACAGCTACAAGGAACATCTGTACATGTCCCAGCTGGAGCATGGTACCAGCCCCCCAATGTGTTTGCAGTGGGCTGGGCAGTGTGTGCCCTAAAAGATACGTTATTTTCCAGAACAAGGAGGTTGAGAGGAGCCCTGGACACTGAGTCTGGAGCAGGAGTAGAACTGAACACCGTGTCTGGACCACGTCTGCTGGTCGTGGCTCTGGGCTAGATGCTTCTGTGGTACATATCTAACCCAAGGCTGCTGTTTCTTTCTCAGGGAGCCTAACAAAACCAAGCTGGTCACATTCTTCCAGACAGACCTGAGTGGCTACCTCCCTCAGAGTGTGGTAGACTCCTTCTTCCCTCGAAGCATGGCTGAGTTCTACCCCAACCTCCAGAAGGCAGTGAGGAAGTTCCATCACTGACACAGTCTCCTGTTGGCAAGAAATGCCCTTCAGGAGCTCCAGCTGTTGAGCCTCAAAGAACGCAGAAGAGCTACTGTGGCTATTTGAGATGCCCTAGTGAACAGGAAGTCTTGGGGAGCCACCTAGGACAGCACTCCCCATACACCCCTCCGTCCCCTTGGGCTTGGTGTGGAAGGAGCTGTCTGTCATTTTGCAGTGGTACATGTGCGCACACACATCTGGAAGGGCAGGTCCTGCTATGGCCACTTGACAAAGACATGCCTCAAGCACCCTTTGCTTATTTGTGGTCCAGGGCTCTGCGCTCTGCTCTCAGACATCTCGTCTCTCTGCTGGTCTTAGAGAATCATTGTCTATCCCAGCCACTAAGTCCTGCTTCCTCTGGCATCTGGTGCTCCCAGACTTTTGTACCAGACTCCTGTGTTCATTTTGTGATACAATTTTATATACAAATTTTTAACACAAAACTCCCCCTTCCCTTACAAAGATGTCAACTTGGAAAATATGTTTTAAAGCACAGAATAAGCCTTAAGGAAAAATCACACTTTCTACTTAATGTTTGTTGTATCTTCTGTCAGAATTGTCTTTTCGTATCTGTTTGTCCCTTCATGATAATGTTCATGCCCCCATGAAACCAGTTTGAATCTGTCCCAGGCCAAATTATATCTTTAGGAGGGAGTGGGAGTTCTTCTGTCCTGTGTGAGTGATTCCTAGTGGGGCCAGCTGCATGGAGGACTCTGGGTAGAAAAGCCCCCTGGCATATACCTCACTCTCTCCTCAGTCATAGGGGTGAGGCAAGAGTACTCTGGTCCCCTGGCCCCATCAGGCCTTGCTGCTATTAGGAAGGAAGGAAGGGAGGAAGGAAGGAAGGAAGGAAGGAAGGAAGGAAGGAAGGAAGGAAGGAAGGAAGGAAGGAAGGAAGGAAGAGTAAGTCTCCTGTGCTGTGGGACTGTACAAGCCTACAGTATCTAACAATTGCCACAATGCCTGCCATTCCAATAGGGACAAACGCTGTCTCCTTCGCTTTGATATGAAGAAAGGAGAGATCTCTGTCGGCTATGTTGAGATGCTTAAAGACTTTTCAGACAGATGGTGCCCCTCGCATCCCTGCCCTCTTCTCTCCTCTACTCTCCCTCTATTTGTTCCTCACACCGTCTGGCAGGAGGTGGGGTGGGGGTCTAGTCAAAGGGCTCATTTGGACACATTTGCATTTTGATGAGACTGTCCAGACATTCCCACACTCTGTCTACATCTATCTGGTTTTCCTGCTGCTGCTCTGTTTCCTGGAGTTTGGATACTGACTGTTGATCTCCTGTTGTCTCTCTCTGGTTTTGTCTCCTCTGTGTTAAGCCTACTTGCTGTACCATTCTTTTGGAGGTGATCCATCTTGTTTTGTTTGAGACGGGCTTTCTCAGTGGACTGAAACTCACCTAATAGGCTAGACTGGATGCCCAGCGAGTTCTGGGGAGCTCTCTCTTTCTGCTTCCCAGGTCTGGGATTACAGGTGAATGCCACCATAGCTGGTTCTTTGGTTTGCATTTGTCTGCTCCATTGTCTGGTGTTTTTGTTTGTTTGTTTTTGTTTTTCTGGTCTCTGGGGATGAAATTTGAGTCACCACGCTTGCATGGCTCTCAAGCCCTTTCCTGACAGCTATCTCCCCAGCCCAACACCTTTTTTGTTAGACCAAATTTAACGTCTAATGGACCTAAAAGGCTGCTAGGAATGGTATCCTGAACTCTTCATCTAGTTTTGTCTGCTATAGGACATAATTCCAAGTGGGCTGGAGAAGTAAGCATGCCAGCTCCAGTAAGACTGTTACTTCTCAGAGTGGAGACTGAGCTATGCAAGAGTCACTGAAGGGCTTTGCATGAAGAGGAGAGCCCAGCGGGAAGGGGGGGGTGTTCTGAGTCCACTTCAAATTCTGAAGAGGCCAGCAGGTTACACTGGCAAGCTCCCATTGGCAGTGCCCTGAAACGGATGGGCTCTGGTGTTTTACCTGTGACACTTGCCAGGCCTTCTATGTCATCCTTATTTCAGAGGAGTGGGGACGAGGATCTGAACCCCTGGCCAAACCTACTAAACCATACTTGCTATGGATCATCAAGACTCACAGTGAGTTATCCTGAGCTTGGCTGTCAGACATTCAAAGGTGACCAAAGCAAATCCTCTACTGGCCACGCACATGCTACAAACAGGCTGGAGGGTGTCTTCCCTGGTGTGCTGTCGTAAGGCTCCTGGGCCTGCTCATGTCTACCAGGTCACAGAAGGAGTGGCAATCTCTGCCCCACCACATTCCTGCCAGACAAGCCATTCATCGTCCTGAGGCTCAGTACCTTCCAATACACTGGCACAGGACCACCATTGGTAAAGTGGCGGTGATCACGCACAACTGTCATTTAACATCAAACAGAATGCCTGACGTGTGACAGATGGGATGTCGGCAGTAATTTGTATTTTACATTTTTCATCCATATCCCTGCTGGTTCATCCTGTGAACACATCTGTCCATGCCTTAACTCACAGCACACTCCTCTATCTCCTGGTCCCAGCCTTTCTAGGATCCGTTCTCAACCCAACCAAATAGTCTTTTGGCGTGTCTGAAAGTGTTTTTCATGACTGGCTGCATCTTACAAAGATGTTCCTGACAACATATCCCCTTTCCTTGAGTCGAAGTAAGCTTTTGCCTGCTGTCAGGGAGAGTACAATGCAAGCAATGCTGTGAATCTTCAAAGGCAGAACACTTAAATGGATGCAGCTCCTGCCTGGCTATGGTATATGCAGCAGGCAGCTTGGCATCACAGTACAGGAGCCCCAGAGGCACAAGCAGTGACCCTTCCTAGGACCCCAGCCCAGCCTTGAGTTGCTCTAGATGATGATTAGTGGGGCCAAAAGGAGCTCCTGCCTACCCTACAGATGCATAAGACAAAACTTGCTGCCATGGAGTGGCTTGCATAGTACCTGGGTAATGTTCAAATCAGGACATGGGTTTCATAGAAAACTGCAATACACCCATTTTATTTTGGCACCAGAATAGTATCACTAAGCTGTCTATATACAGTCTGTGGTTTGTATCAGCCATCTCTGTGTGAGTCTGTCCTGGCATTTAGAACAACCCTCTTGGTGAGCAGTGTCCCAGAAAGTCCAAACCTGAGCAGCAGCTACCAGAAGCACACCTGGGCTTTCCCCAGCCTGGGCGAGGTGGGCAGCAGAGACCCTGAGGATCGGCAGTGATGGGAGCTTCGTGCTCCTGCTTTGTTGTAACATCCGCACCCTGTCTAGGAATCCCCAGAAGCTGTCATCTGCTTGCATTGAAGGCCCTTCCTTCTGATGACGACAGTGACAGGCCCATCAGGCAATGCCTTGATGACATTCCAGGCTTCAAACCGAGTAAGACCTTGCACAGCAGTGCCAGCCAGCTGCAAGATTTCATCTCCTGGCTGGACCGTCTCGCTCTGTTCTGTCCCTGTAAAGGAGGAGAGCATGATGGGTGATTCTGGGCTTTGCAGACAACAGGAAGAATACAAGCTGCTTTCTGAGGAACCAGGACAGCCATCCCTGGGAGCTTGCCAGTGGTTCTATAAAGTGAGGCATTTCCCAGCAAAGTAGCTCAGAGCTTGGATACCAGACTCAGCTCTGATTTCAAGTGAGGAGATGACAGGCAGTCCCAATCCAGAGCCCAGTTAGAGACTTCCACAATTTCTAGAGAAGCCCTGGGTCCTCCCTAGACCCCCCCATCTATCCTACTTCATATTGACTTCTTTCTTCTGGTATATCATCAGCAATGGGGGGGAAGGGTGTGAGGCAGTGAAACATTGGTGAATCAGTCTTCACAGGGCTTTCTTTTGGCTTGTTTGGTTCAGGAAGAACTCTGTGTCCACTCAGAAAGACATGACCCTGCATGGCACCCACTCAGTCAAATATGCATACAGAAACCATGACATCTTCTTTTGCTGTTCATATTGAAGAGAAACCTCCCATTTATCTGACACCATGGCCTTTACCAACATTGAATATAGAGTATAGAATAATAATGAAAATATAGTAAAGAACATTGAGCAAGTACTACAATGGGCATTGACCCACATGTTCTGTACTCATGTACCTTGGGGTACACACCAATAGACTCACTTTTTACAGGTGTGGAGACCAAAGACGGAGAAGCCCACTCAGAACTTGAAAGTGGCTCAGATTTTGGGTCTAGGTTTGAACTTTGACCTCCAGGCTCTGGCATCCACATCCATGGTACTACACCTGCCTATAGCTGGAGGCTCATTCCCATGTAAGCTCATGGGCCCAGAATAGTGAGGTGACTTGCCCAGGGTCCTGCCACTGGACTTGATGAAATTAACATTGGAACTCAGGTCTTTCAGCTTTGGCTTCCTCAAGAGCTGAAAGCATTTTCCCAGTTAACATGGGCACTTAGAGTTAATTACCATGTATGACTCAGTCTACCCACTGGGTTTTCATGAATGCTGCAGAACTTAAAATCAGCTAGCTCATGAGGGCAGGTATAGCGATGGGATGCCTTTTGGATCCCAGTTCTAAAAGCTCCCAGACACACACCAATACTTTTTACCTCTCTTGTGGATAAGGAACATCGAGACAGGTAAAGAATAGTCACCTGGCAAGTTAGAGATAGGGCTGAGACCACACCCAGAGTCTGGCTTCTAACCAGCATTTCCTTCTCCACATCCCTTGTTCCCTTGCCCAAGGCTTCCACCTAAAAAGTGGCAAGGAGTTGCAGGTAGATTTGCAGGGTAGCTACAAGGTGTTCATAATTTCTCAGGAAAATCCATATCCAGCTAGCCAACATGTCAGCTTGTCTGACAGCCCAATTCATAATGAATAAGACATCAATTGGAAAATAAACACAAGAATCAATGAATCCAGGACTAGAGTAAAGCTAGCCAGGCTGTGAGACCAATGCCAGCCTCTGGCTTTACTCAAAACATTGGCATCTTATGTGTCATGGATTGGTTGGTTAGTTGTTTTGAGACAGACTCATATAACCCAGGCTGACCTTTTATTCACTGTGATCTTGAACTCCTGAGTGTCTTATCTTCACCACAGTGCTATCACAGCTGTATTCTTAAGATTAACATTTATTTTTAAGTACATTGTGTGGAAATGGTATCGATCTTTCTCAATGCATCTTTTGGTGGCCCTCAACTCTGTGCCTCAAGCCAGAGCCTTCCTTGCCTCTTCCTGTCCTTGGTCCTGCCAAGCTGAACCAAGCCTGTTTGTGGGATATTTGTTCACTTATGTGAAAATGTATTGCTGTGATTGGTTTAATAAAGAGCTGAATGGCCAATAGCTAAGCAGGAGGTGTAGACTAGGCTTCTGGGCAGAGAGAAAAAGTAAAGAGAGATAATTGAAGTGCAGGGGATACACCAGGAGACACAGAGAGAAACCAGGAAGTGCCAGATGGAAGACCAGTTACCCCACATGATAGAACATAGACTAACATAAATTAACCTAATTAATTTAAGTTATAAGAGCTAGTTAGGAACAAGCCTAAGCTATAGGCCAAGCTTTCATAATTGATAATGAGTTTCTGTGTCATTATTTGGGAGCTGGCTAGCAGAACAGAAAAAGACTCATTACACAAGCAGCAGTACTCAGTCATGTGAGAGGACCCAGCAAAATGAGAAGTAAAGGCATGACTGAGCAAGGGCACAAGGTAAGAAAAGCAGAACTGAATGCATAGGGGTCAACACGTGACTCAAAGGGCCCGGGAATCCAGTGTCCCAGAAGGATCTCAGGAGTTTTGGGTTTCGGTGCTTGCTGCATGCCCACAACTGGAGAGGGTGTAGAGGGGGAAAGGACCCACCTTTGAAAATCCTGTTGATGGTGAGAGGCTTGTCTCCCTGAAGGGAGCCCTTTCCTCCCTCCAAGCTGAAGCCCAGCCCTGCAGAGGTCTTCTCCAGTGTCACTGTGCAGACAGTGGCCTCCACTGCAGAGAAAAACACATGGGCTTGTTCAGTGCTCTGCTCGTCCAGGCAAGCTGTTAAGGTGTGTTGGGGCCACACATTATCACACAATGCCACTAACAATGGATCTAAATGGCCAAAGGCAGTCAGTACTTGGCTCACATGGGGACTTTCCCCACACCCGTCCCCACCCCTCTGCACTGGGAACTCTTACTAGAATCTCCAGACGTGTCACTGACTGCTGAAGATGATGCTGCAGAGTCGGTAGAGGAGTTCAGGTCAGGAGTGGCCTCCACAGTTGCTCTCCTGGTGACAATCACAGCTTGCCTTGGGTCCCGAGCTTGGCGGAGGATAGCCAGGGCATCATTGTGGGTGGCCCCCTTGAGAGATTTGCCGTTGATGGAAAGAACCTCATTGCCTTTTTGAATTGTGCCTTCCTGGGAAGCCAGGCCATTTGGAAACACTCTGTGAACCTAAACAAGCCAAAGGAATCAGAACCTCCAAACCACCCAAATCAGATCCCCATCTGTGCTAGCGGGTCACTCCAAGCCAGGTATCCAACCAACCTCAGAGGAGTTTAGGCCAAAGACAATTGTAACACGATAAATTAAAGACCCAGAGACAGATATTGGGGTTCAAACTGAGGGTCAGATGCTTTCTGAATCCTCAGGCAAGCTTTAATAAATAATAAATAAATACCACTACAGACAACATAGGTTGACTATATCTCAAGCAGAGCAACAGGCCTGGGCCAGCGTTCCTCCTCTAGCCAGGGCAGAAACCAACAGCGATGGCCAGAGAGCCCTCAACACTCTTCCCACACAATGTCCTTGACTGATCCTCCAGTCCCATCCACTCGCAAAGAACATCTTCTGCCTTATCTACCCTGGATCACATTCTTAAGAAGGGTTTCCTGGCAAAATGGAGTCTATGGCTTATTGAGGGGTGTGTATAAGCAGATTTCTAAGAAAAGAGAAATTTTGGGACACCACATTAAACAAAATCTCCCAAATTTTTCATTGTTTAAAGATGCTAGCAGTCCTACAATGTCAGTTTATATCTTGGTTCTCAAAGTAAACAATGTAATAACATGATGACTCCCCAAACACATTTCAGGAGAGCTTATCCCTTCTTGAGATACACTCAGGTCTCATTTTCTACATGAAGTACTTGAGGTACTATCCTAGACTGCCTAAGACATCCTCATTCTTTAGCTGGTCCCTTTCTTCTTTCTGCATGATATGGAGGGAAAAAAGGCAAAACAAAACTCTAGCTTATGGCCAAAAAGAAAGACAGCTCAGTGGGTAAGGTCCTTGCCACCATACCCAGAAGCCTGAATTTGAGGCCCAGAGCCCATGCCACATAGCCTGGATCATGAAGTCAGTAGCCCATGCCGGTAAGATCAGCTAGGCCAGGATCAACTATGGGTCCACAGGGAAAGATGCCTATAACACAGATCTGCTGCCCTCCCCATGCTATTTCAGACTCTGGGTCCTGAAAAACAGGAGGTTGGTACAAGCTCTGCAGTCTTGCATGAACAATGTGGTGTGTGTAGCCTGTGCATAGCATAGTAATTACTCCACCTTTTGGCTGGATCCCACTGAGCTAAGTCAACCTACAAGTCAACTTCACAAACGTCCCCTTGAACATTCTCATTCTACAGGTAAACAGAAGCAGGGTAGTCCCTTCCTTTGCAAGGATTTGCCTTCCATGAGTTCCTTTTTACATAGTATGAAAACTCTACAGTCCTAGACAAGTTTTTTAAAATGCCCTGTGGCTATAAATTGTACCTATCCAAATCCTAGTGACCACCACAATCTATATTTCCAAAGGAAATTATGTGATATTTTGCCAAAGTTGGCCTGTATATATGCACACACACACACACACACGTGTGTGTGTGTGCACATTTGTGTGTTTTTGCAGCAACATATGATGTGTGCACATACATGTGGAGACCATAGGACAATCTCAGCTGTCCCACCTTAGGCATCATTTCCTTTGTCTCTCAGTAGCCTGGAATTTGCCAAGTTGGCTAGGCTGGATGACCAGCTGGGAATCTGCCTGTCCTTGTGTCCCCAGCTCGGAAGTTATAAATGCACCTCCATTCCTAGCTTTCCTTTAACACAAGTTCTGGGACTCAAGCTGAGCTTGCAAGGCAAGTGCTTTGTTGACCAAGATATCCTCCTGATTGTCTCCATTTTAATGCATCTTTCACATATTTTCAAAAATATAGGTATTAGGGCTTTAAACCATGCGAACTTTCCATTCAGATGTTCTGGTGTAGAACGTGTACTTGCATACACTGCACGTGTGCATATGTACTCACACATATACACAATATTTTTTGATGCTCCATGTGTAATTAGTGTCTGTTTTGGTGTACTGGGGTTGTATAAGGTGCACAGAGACCATCTTCATTGAAGGCACTTAATGTCAAAGAGTTAAGACTGGATCAGATAGGAGCCCACACTGAGCCTCTTGAGAACAGTCCCAATGCTTTTCCTTTAAAACACATGTCCTTACCCTGCCTGGTGTTTCTCAGCACAAGAGCCTTTCCAGGCAACTCTCTGCACCCCCAGCAACCCATTCTGCCTCTGGCATGCCGATTCCAGGGCCACACTCACCGTGATCACCTTGTTTTCTAGATCTGCCCCTCCTGCCAAGCTGAATCCAAGGCCAGCACCTTCTTCCTTGTGTAAGATGGTGACATGAATGCTGTCTAGTTGCTGTGGATGAAAACACATGCATTCACAAACACTGCACTGCAGCAGCGGGAACAACTTGACACAGGCTTTAACAGCATGCTGGTTTGTTTTATTAAACACCAGCTGGGCCGGTACTACCACCTCCTCAGACTTGAGTTTCATCGCACAGGAATTACAGGACGCTTAGGAGGAGAAACAAACGTATGTAAAACAGCAAGCCCAGCCTTTTTTCCCTCTTACTCACCCATTCACACCCAACTCCCACAGACCGGGCTGCACATGGCTAAGTCAGCTAGAGATCCCTTGAGGCTGGAAGATGCTGCTTTACCATGACGTTGTGTGACAAGGGCAGGTGGTATGATCTGGGTCAGCCTCTCAGAGGCCAGTGCTGTTTCAGAATTTCTAGCTGCTCCTTTTTCTACAGCATAGCAGCAGTAAGCGGCCCAGCTGGCTTCTCACTTCATCATACAAGCATGTACCAGTGTGTACACGCACACAAGCACAAGCAGAAACCGCCAGTCTGGAGCCAGAACAACCTTATTGCACTGCCCAAAGGCAGAGGATCCCATTCTAGTCCAGAGCTGGAACCTGGAGCTCCAGAGCCCACAAGAACCACGGAGATCACATACATAGACAAGATGGACGGGCGTGAGTGACAGGCACATCCAATTCTGAGAAAGGCAGACCCAGTGCTACTGGCCCATTCCCTTTAAACAGAACAGTAAGAAATCTCAGGACTTATTTCTGGAATCTGATAACTTTAAAAGATCAAGTAAAATTTATTTTCAAGCGCATGGCTCTTGGGCCACTAGTTTGTAAATGGCACCAGGAAATAAAAGCATGGCAAAGCAGTCCCTTGGTCATGGGCCACCAGGGCTTCCGACTTGAAGGTGTTCTGCAGTCTTTTAATGGGGAGTTCCAAAGACAGAGGAGTAACCTGAGTGTAAAGATCCCATTGGCCCCATGCTGGCCCACATCTTTGGGATTATTTTCAGGCTTTTGTTTTTTGTTTTTTGTTTGTTTGTTTGTTTTTTGTCTTGTTTTGTTTTGTTTTGTTGGTCCTGTGGGGGACTGACATGATACAGGAAAGAAAAAAAAAAGATAGGCAGCTCTAAACTTGAAGTTTCTCCTCCAGCACAGTATTTGCATTGATTTAGGCCCCGGGGACTGGTGGCTCAGGCAGGATACAAGTAATTAGTGAGAACCACAGAGGAGAAATTACAGCCCAGAGGCATCTTGGAATCATCCTCATCTGCACCTTGACCTCAGGGGGGCAGCTGTGACTCCTCCAATAGAGAAGGAGAGTCCTCCCTCCCCAGACTGCATTATCTCAGTGCTGGAAGGAGTATAGACCCCAACAAGCTTCCAGAGAGCCCCCCCCCACCCCCCAGACTGCTGCCTCTGGCTCTGGCTGAGCCATTTCCTCTCTTCACACCGTTGGCTGTGTTCAGCAACTACAGGGCGAGTGGGGCTTTCCCAGTGAGGTGACTGGGGCACAGAGGCCCTCCGGAGTGCACCTTAGGTGTGCAGCGGAAATGATGAAAGCCTCGAGAGCTTACTTCACCCATGCTGTTTACCACTGACAGTGCTACAGCTCTCAGCTTCTCTCTGGACACTCGTGCCAAGGCAGCAGCCCATGGGATGTTGGCACAGCACTGGACTCGAGCTTAGAGACAGAGCACCCTGGCTCTGTGATCATCAACCCCCTTCTCGTTCATAAAATGAAGGGCCTGGCCATACCCCTGCCACACACACACACACACACACACACACACACACACACACACACACACACACTTCTCATCTCAGCTAAGGTCTGTTGTCCCTCTAACACAGGACGAAACCTGCTCTGATACCAGCACCATGACAAGCCTTGAGACCCGTAAACTTCTTTAGCTACTTACCCCCTCTGGCCCAGCTGAGGTGACCACAGCAGCCCACGGGGAGGAGCCCTTGTGGCTGCAGATGTGCACACAGGAAACCTACCTTCAATGTCGCCTCATCTAGAACTCTCACTTCCTCGATGAGGTTTTTCAGTTCTTCTGAGCTCAGCAGGGAGATAACTGACTGGCCAGGCTGAGAAGAACAGTGGTCCCTGTCCTCAGTTTCCCCGGGCTCGGTGAAGCTCTCTGAGTATTCTCTCAGCTCTGAAAGGCTTTCACAAACAGAAAACACAGTGTGAAGAGCAGGATTCTTGAACTACTCCATCCTGCAAGGGACTCAGCGCTTCGGAAACTCTGTTATTTGATAATGACATATCCACCCTGGGCAGCATAAGCAATTAAATAAATCACAGCTGATCCAAGTGGGATAGACCCAGTCCTGCTACCAAGCCATATGTCTGTGCAGCTGGTCTCATCCACCACCTAACTCCAGCTAAAGAGGGAAGCGAGGTGCACAGGGCAGGACTCTGCTCATAATAAGGAGAGCAAGGGCCTGGACTGAAACAGAACTAAATGCCCTTACTCCCGACCTAGGTCCTGGGCCCATGTGAAAAGCAAAATGGATTTTTGTTGGAGAGCATCTCCTCACCTCACCCGGAGCTCCTTAAGCGGAGAGTGGGTCTTTCAGATATGTATGCATCAGCCTTGTGTGTGTGTGTGAGCAGTTTACCAGGGGCCTGGTCATGTCCCCCAATTCCCATCCAAGCCACGGTCAGGTGCTGTGTAAACTACTCCTTGGCAGGGAAGACAGAGAGCTACAATGCGCATGTGTACACACACACTCACATGAGGGGAAATGGTTTTTAACTAGAAATGTGATGGAAAAATGTTTAACTGCTATATAACATAAAACAGAGGAATGGGAGCCTAGCAGGGCCCAGACACTCACTTGAGGGAAAACCCTGTGTCCGTGGCAACGCCTTCACCAAGACCTTCCGTAGCTGTGTTGTTGTTGGAAGGTGGCTTTGGAGACGTCCTCTCCTTGGGGACACAGGTGATCTGGCCACAGGAGACTGAAGACGGAAGGCACAGCAGGGACTTCATGACAGCTGATGATAACTGGCTGCTGATGGAGTAAAGCTTACTGGCCTTTTCATCCAGCAGCTTCGACTCACAGGACTGCGTCCTGGTCAGGGGGAAGCTCCGTGCCCGCTGACTTGGCATCTTGAGGCCTGGACCTTGGGTGTCCTCGGTATGTGCAGTCAGCAGTCTCAGGAGAGGGTCTGGGGAGAGAGCTTTTGGGCTGGGTCGCTGACCTGGGGGAGGAGATTCAGACATACCTGGGTCCCTGACCTCTGAGGTGTTAGGAAAGCCTATGGCTATAGGCTCCATTTCTATCGGTCTGTACTTAGCAGCGCCTGCGGCCCCTCGCCCTGGGAGACCAGAAAACTGTCCTCCATCTTGCTTTCCTGGAAGTTTGGTGGTCTCCCCAGAGCTGGGTTGCAGGCTCAGTCTCTGGACTCCTCTCTCTGGCAGTTGTGAGGAGCCAAAGTTTTCAAAGGAGCTGATTCTCTGCCTGATGGAGGAGGAGGTGGAGGAGGAGGGGGAGGGGGAGGGGGAGACCTGTGAGTGTGACCTCAAAGGCTCCCTAGAAACAGGTGCTGGCTGAGTGGCTGAGGCTACTTCCGGGAGTCTTCTGGGGTCTGGGACACGATTCCTCAGACCTTTCAAGCTCTGACGAAACCAGGCTGGCTTGGGGGCCACTGGGGGCCCCTTCTTCACAATGCAGCCATCTGTTGACTTGTGAACTCTGGGAGCTCCATTGGGAGTGTCCATTTTTGACAGGACCCCTTCTGGGCGGCCCTGTGTCCCATCCTCTTCACCCAGGCTGGTGGTGGCCTGTAGTGGCATATGGCTATGGGCCTCACTCATGATGGGGCTAAATAAGTTTTTGATGCAGTCGGAAATTCTAACCCAAGGATCTTCAGTGCTGGTATCAAAGCTATAGTCCATCCGCGTCTGCCTCTTCAGCAGCGGGTGTTTTCCTGGTGAGGCTGGCGGGCAGAAACAAAGGCAAACCTGTGACACCTCACTGGGGATTTTCTTTCTAAATTCAAGTTACAGTGTTGAAGGGACACGTTGGGGAATGGCTCCAAGGGCTGTCACCTAACTGGGGTGCCAACTGGCAGAACTGAAGAACCGGAGAATGGTACCTTCTACAATCTTAACATTCTAGAACTAGATGTGTGCTTGGGAAATACCTGTACTGTCATTTGACAAGAAAGGACTCTAGCAGCCAAGAAGATGAGGGGCCATGGTTGTCAGAGTCAGACAGACCCCATGTCACCTCACTGCCCACTCTAATGTCCTCCCCACTGTCTAAAACAGTCACACAGATAACCTAGGAGAAATGTTAAATTCTTTTGCCTTTTAAACTTTCACTCCGTATGTCTCATGTTGGTCCGCATTTTGATTTGGACTATCCATGTCATTCAAAAGTGACAAGGATGAGTGTGCCTACCGGTGGGGTGTGTTGCGCTTACTGAGGCTCTCTCATCTCAAAGGCACATAGCATACCTGTGTACCTACCTGCTCCTGAAGCCATGAAGTCATGCGAGTGTGATACTCTGCCTACACTCAGGTCATTGACCAGCTTGCTTGGAAAATGAGTTTTCTCAATCAAAAGAATTGATTAAACTGTTCCAGGTGGAGATAAGGCTATGTGTCATTGATTTTGAATTTTGGCTATTCATTGGAATCTGAAGGGTCCATTTCACAGTTCTGAGTTGATATATCTGGGTTATAGTCTGGGAGATTGGGATGTGGTTAATCCCACAAAGGTGCTTCATTGTATCATCCACTGTCTGTCCATGATGTTCTCAGGCTGCCATGTCCAAGGGGCAGCGTGCAAAAGCTTTCTCAGAATAAGATAGTATTGAACTGACATCTACCTGCATGGGCTGGGGAAACTCCACACTCAACTCCGTTCCCCAGGAACAGGGGAGGTTGGCCCCTGAGCCCTAGCATTCAAGAGGGATGCCACTGTCGGTTCTCTGTGTTTCCCATGCCTCATCCTTCTCTGCCTACGACTAGGCTGCTTGGGCTGCATGTTTCAGGGAATCTTCACATGAGAATACACCCTTGTCTGAGGAACACTGCTTCCTCCCATCTCTTGTCACAATGCCCAGCCTCAAGGGAAGTAGAACACTGAACTCTGACGGCACCAAAGAAGAGCCATGCATGATCGTGAAGGTCTGGATGGGTACTAGTGATTCCAGGATTTCAACAAGTATGTCTGGCCCGTAGGCTGTTTCTGCACTTACAAACTATTCAGCCATGAGGGACTGGTATGGCAACAATTCAGAGTCCAGAGTTCTACAGGCAAGTCCTCTGCAAACTAGGGTGTGTCCTCATTTAGGATAACCAAGGGAAGGGAGGGTGGGTAGGTGGAGTCTCCCTTGGTGGGGCACCTCACTGGGTGAGATATCTAGATCATTCCACTCATATTGTCCTTTACTCTCCAGAGGCCTTCGTGTGCTTAATGAATGTGACTTGTGGCCTCCCTGTACATCCCTCTGCCACACTGGAAGCTCCTCGGGGCAGGAACCTGTTGGGAGCATCCCTTCCTCCCTCATCCTTGGCACCAAGCACAGCCTCACACACCCACCGTTCACTGTGTGCTAGCTGTGGTAAGTCACACATCAGGATTCTGTGTAGTCTCTAATACTTGCTGACCAGTGAATGAACCCACAAAGGCAAAGTAAATTGCCCAGAACCACAGTGGATGAAGGGTGAACCCAGGGTTCTCTGTTCTTTATAGTAAGCCGACACACACTCAAGCCATGCCGTTGTATTGACAGGTGTACCACTTAGACCACCTGACATCCACCTCCTGGATGTGGTAAACATCAGCCAAGCCCTGCTTTTCCCATGCTGCATTCTCAGGTTTGATCACAGTGAATGACGTATGCTGTCTTGCTGGCACCCGTGTAACGCAGCTGCTCAAGGTAGCTTGGGTTAGCTATAATCTCTGGACATCTTTCCATGTAGACCCCTGAGAACAGCCGGTATCCATACCACCACCTCCCCAGATATCACCGCTTCAGCCCGGACCCTTGTCACCCTGAAGAGCTCTTCTCCTGTCTTTCTGCCCCAGCACCCCAGAAGCCTCCCCGTCCATCAACCCCAGTCACTGCCTCTGTCCGCTGTGTCCATGGCAAGGCACTGACCTCAGACCAAACTCTAGCTCCTACTTGATCCGTAGAACTTTCTCCGGAGAGATCTTCCTTTGGAAGGTCCCCATGGTGGCTCACCTGGACTGGCACTCCTCAGTAGCTCGCCCTCTGTGGAGGACACAGTCTGCGTGCTGACTGCGGGTCCTGGACAGCAGGCAGCCGTGCAGGGGCTTCTCCCTGCAGTGTCTTCCTGTGGCAGCGGAGGCAGCAGCTCTCTGGTTTCCTGTGGTGTAAACAGGAAGCCAGACCGTGTCAAAACGGTAGCCTCGAGCTGCAAGAAGGCAAGGCGCTCTTTGATTAGGACATGAGAGTGACTATTGAGACACCTCTACAGGGAAATTCACAGCAGCTGTGGGGAAGGGTTCCTTTCCCCCCACACAGGGATGCCACTGCACAGTTAACCCCTCTTGGATGCTCCCCCGGGTCCCTGGGCTTCCAACAACCTGCTGGACCCAATATGGGCATGCATCATAGGCGCAGGAAGTTACTGGCTGTCTGTGATGGGCGGGAGAGGTGGGGGTAAGGAAGGTGCTGGCATGCTTTGCTTACAACAGCATGTTAGCCAACTGTCTGACCCAAAAGGACATGCAGGCCAAAGAAACTGCCCTCTAGTGATGCCTAAGTTAAGACCTAAGACCACTCAAAAGAAAAGCATGCCAGTTGCTTCCCTCGTTGGCTTTAGTTTTTAAAAATTACATGATTTATTGTGTTCACAGCACACACATGAAGATTACAGGACAATGTGTGGAAATCATTTCTCTACTTCTACCACATGGGTCCCGAGGATTGAACTCAGGTCATCACACTTTGCGACAAGCACCTTTGCCCACTGGGCCTTCTTGCCAGTTGCAATTTTGTTTTCTTTTGTTTGAGGCAAGTTCTTATGTATCCTAAGTTAGCCTCAAGCTCTCTATGTATTCAAGGATAGCCCTATGCGCTTGCATCCACCAAGGCATACACCACCACACTGGCTTTCTGTGGTGTGGGAAGGTCAGATCCAGGTTCTTGTCTGCAAGGCAAACACTCCACACTGAGATTCCCAGAGTAATTAGAACCTAGTCAGCACTGTGTTCTGGCTCCCCTCTGCAGCACCTAGAGAGACTATACCAATCAGTTGCAGACTTTTTTTTTCTCCATGGAGAGGGCTGCTGCCTCAGGAACCTCCTTAAAACAGGCTGTGAGGAGCTGGGCCAGGCATCAAGTAGTCATCTACTATTTAGGTAGAGTTTCCCCAAAGCCTGAGTGAGATGCAGGGTCCAGAGACAGCAGAGGCGCATCAGACCTTAGTGGTACAGAAGGCTTGCCTGAGAAATACTTGGCATCTGGCTCTGGAACAAAACTGAGATTTTTCCAGGCAACCAAGCATGGCAGCAAGCATGGTGCCCTCTCTAGAAGAAAAGACAATACCAGGGCCCCAATGCTCCTGACACATGTTTGTATAGAAGAGAAACATTTTGGGTTTTTTGCTGGGGTGGCTCCCAAGTCCTGTTCATTGAAGAGTCAGGCCACAATGGTCTAGGTGACAAGGCTATAGGCCATCCTCCAGAAGAAGGACACAAGCAGGGGCACTTGCTTAATTTAGGATTAGATCAAGACAGGCCAAATGCCAAAGCTCTCAGGCGTCTCTGCCATCCACATACATTCTTTGGGGAAGAAGGAACTGGAACAGTTGGAAAGAGGTCACAGTCATTGACCCGCCCAAGGCCCCTGCTTGAAGGTGGAGACTTAAGAGAGTGTTCTGAAATATGAGGGTCAGAGCATCCAAAGAGGCCTTCCTGAGCTAGTTCCATTAGCACTTAACAGTAAACCAATAATAACATCTGTTCTTCTCCAAGATGTTCACCACACAGGAAAACTGACTGCATCCTGTTAGGGACTCTGTGAGGTGATGGCCATCTGTGTCCACAGATTACTGGTGCTTTTACGCAAAGGCATAGCCAATGCCAGCAGGTCATCTTGGAAAAGACCCTGATGCATGTCCGTGTGGTTTGAATGAGCATGGCCCCCATAGGCGCATATATTTGAATGTATGGTTCCCAGTTGGTGAAATTGTTTGAACAGGATTAGAAGGTGTGGCCTTGTTGGTGAGGTGTGTCGCTGGGCGTAGGCTTTGAGGTTTCAAATTCCATACCATTCCAGTTCTCTCTCTGTCTCTCTCTGTCTCTCTCTCTCTCTCTCTAGTCTCAACGTGTAAGCTCTCAGCTACTGCTCCAACACCATGTCTGTCTGTCTGTCTGTCTGCTGTTATCCTCCCCATCACTATGGTCACCATGTCTGCTGTCATCCTTCTCTCCATTATGGGCATGAACTCTAACCTCTGGAACAATAACCCTAACAAATTCTTCCATAAGCTACCTTGGTCATGATGTCCTTTCACTGCAATAGAAAAGTAACTAAGACAATGTCTGTCTTACTTTTCCTTTTTAAAATGAACTTATTTTTAAAAAAACTTACAAATAAATAAAAATATCACACGGCCAAATTAACCAGACCCAAAGTCTGTCCAACTCAATGAACTCATATACAGTTAGAATTGGGTTTTGAAATGAAAGTTGTGAAGCTTTCACATTAAATTTTACACTTTTGGTATCATATATATTTTCTGTACTTATCTGCCACCAAAGGCAAAAAAAATTCTATGATCAAATGATCACTAGAAAAATAATTTTCACAACTCCTTTTCATTGCCTGTACTCAGTCTTTCCTCATCCCGTGTATTCAAGTTTTCTTGTTCTTTCTTTATGTTATACTGAGCCGGTACATTTGTTTACATGTACATATATATTATTGGCTAGTTCTCATATATTCTCAGATGAACATATGGTTTATTTCTGGGACTGTATGAACTAACTTAATATTATATGTTGTAAGTTCATCCATATTCCTGAAAAATGATCTCCTGAAAATTCTTTAATTTTTCTTAGAGCTGAGAAGTATTCCATTTCATGTATATCCATTTTTCCTCTCCCTTCCTTTCTTTCTTGTGCATGTACATACACACGTGTACACATACATACAAGCAGGTACTTATATGCCTGTGTGTATATGCGTGTGGAGTAAAGAGAGGTGACTTCAGGTGTTGTTCCTCAGGCTCTGTCTACCTGATTTTTGAGATGTTGTCTTCCTGGTCTGGAGTGGCACCAATAGACTAGGCTGACTAGCAGCAAGCACCGGGGATCTGCCCCGTGATGCTATTGTTTTTTACATGGGTTCTGGGACTTTTCTCAGGCCCTTATGCTTTGCTACAGGCCCTTTAATATGAGCTGTCCCCTTGACCTCCATGTTTTACCTCTTAACCAACACCTCTGATGTGGCATTCTCTGTTTGAAGAAGTCTTTAACATTAATCCTAAAATTAATCTGACCTCTGAATAAAATTTTCTCAGGCAAATGTTTTCTGACTCAGTGTTTGGTGAATGAGATGGAGGGAGGAAAGAAGGCAAGAGGGTGAGAGACATGGATTCAGCAGAGAAAACGACACAGTTTTCTTCAACGTGAGCGGTATTTTGATACAATGTGGGTGCAGTTGAAGGGGTCCTCAGATCCCCGAGAACAGGGGTTACAGGCAATTATCAGCCACCATGTAGGTGCTGGGAATGGAGCTCGGATCCTTTAGAAAAGCAGCCAGTGCTCTGTGTCATCTCTCCAGCCCCATGGGAAATGTCTTGAAGGTTATTTTGGCAGAGGAAATTGGATTGCCTTACTACGTTGCATTAAATGGGAAACGTGCATAGACTGTCTTACATATCTGCTTGAGAAGGGTCTAAGGACCCTAGAGAGAAAAGACTACAAAGAGGAATAAGAGAAGTTAGGAGGAGAAAGAGAAGAGGGAGGAAGTGGAGAGAGGGCAAGAAGGGTTGGACATGGAACCAAGATCCACTCAGAAAGGCGGGGAGTGGCCAAGGGTGTGTGAAGAATGCAGCACAAAGTCAATAGCTTCCTGTTTTCTGCCAGGCTAGAACCCCGTCTTTGTGATCTCTCTCCCAGCACAACAATGCTCTGTTGGTTGTGTGAATAAGTTACAGAAAGGTCTGCTGGCCGTGGGAGACGATGGAGAGTGGACCAAAAAAACAAAGCAGCTACAGAATGGCCTTTGTGTTAGTGGGGGCCACGGTACTGGTGAGAACAGGGAGGAAGCAAAAGACAGAGCAGGGCAAACTGCTCCAGATGTGGGATGCCGAATCTGAAAAAGCAGTGTGTGTGTGTGTGTGTGTGTGTGTGTGTGTGTGTGTGTGTGCGCGCGCGCATGTGTGTGCACGTGTGCGTGTGTGTGAGTGTGTGTGAGAGTGTGTGAGTGTGTGTGAGAGTGTGTGAGTGTGTGTGAGAGTGTGTGAGTGTGTGTGTGAGAGTGTGTGTGTGTGTGGACTCACGCACATGTGTTTATATGTGTCTATGTGCTGTCTTTCATACCTTGGCTCCTTGCCTGCCCTTCCCTGCAGAGAACCTGCTTCCTCTGCTGGCTGCCTAACTTGGCAATGCTCCCTGCCCTACATGGGCTCCACCCAATCGGGAAGCCCAAGGGCACCTGTTCTCCTCCCCTTTGTCTGCAGGAAAGCGGAAAAGTCTACCTTCTCACCAGCCTGCCTCTGATTTGCCTTCTAGATTCAGTCTCAGACCCAGAAGCAATGACATATTTGCTGAAAGGGGGGAGTCACAGAAGCATATCCACGAGATAGCCCATCCTTGGTTGCTAGTCAGCCCTGCCCTTCAGCTGTCTGAAAGTTTGCACTTCCTGTTTGGTAACATGGCTCCTTCTTCCTTCCACTGTGCCTTCGCCAGGGAACTCAAGACTTTCCTCCCCCAACCACCTCACCGAAGTCTGTCAACCTGCATTTTGGCTTCTTCTAGGGGATTCCCAGAGGCCTTACTTCTCTCTCTCTCTCTCTCTCTCTCTCTCTCTCTCTCTCTCTCTCTGTCTCTCTCTCTCTTTGTCTGTCTCTGTCTCTATGTCTCTGTCTCTGTGTCTGTCTCTGTCTCTGTGTCTCTGTGTCTGTCTCTCTCTCTCTCCCTGTCTGTCTGTCTCTCTCTTTCTCTGTCTGTCTCTGTCTCTATGTCTCTGTCTCTGTGTCTCTGTGTCTCTGTGTCTGTCTCTGTCTCTGTCTGTCTCTGTCTCTGTCTGTCTGTCTGTCTCTCTCTCTCTCTCTCTCTCTCACACACACACACACACACACACACACACACACACACACACCTGCCCCCTGCAATGTAAACTCAAGTAAGTTCCTTTTCTGGTAACTGGGACCCTCGACCTTAGGCCCTTGCAAGGACGAACTGAGACAATGTGCATAAGCATATCTAGCATAGAGTCCTTTGTTAAAAGTTCCTACAGCTGCTTTCCTATTCACCTGCCTTCTTTGGGGAGTGGGCCTGGAGGAAGGAGGTCTTGACAGGGTGGTGGTGCTGTAGTGGGCTAGATACTGAAGGGGATGTAATTCTCACAACAGCCGGTAGAGGGGGCACTCAAGCCCCAAGTAGCAGCTAAAGATACCTGGACTTAAGAGAAGTTGGTTCCCCCAGTCTCCCCACCTATGGGAGACAAAGTTAAGAATGAGTAATGGGACTAGAGTCTCATAATCACCCCATATCCCCACAGAGTTCTTGCTCTCTTAGTTATTTAGGAGACAACTTGTGGGTAAGCAGAACACCTGAGATTCCCGGGCTCATCCTCACCACCATGGAGTGAGCCTGCTACTGATCCGCAAGGCTCGAGACAAATGACCCATGCAGAGAGAACGCTAAATGTTAGTGCCAACAGCTGGCAAGTCCGGAACCTCCATTTAGGTTCTGCGAAGCTTCCCGTCTGTCTTCATATTGGGCCTAAACAGAGTGTTTCTCTAGGCCAGAGTACAGGAGACCTGCAGGTATTTCTAAGGCTCAAGGGCAGCTGTGCTCAATGCAGGGGACACGCGTCCCGCTGCGCACACCCTCCTACCTGGCCGCATGCGGGCAAGGGGTGCCCAGAAGGGTCTGTGACCTTCTCTTCCAGTTTCTTCTGAGGCTCGCTGTCATTTTTAAAGTATTTTCTGGGTGGAGGCTTGGGTTTGGAGGATGTCGGCTTTCTCACCAAAATCTCAAAAGATTTCTTCAGTCTCAGTGGTGGGTGGCTGTCTCTCTCCAGGCTCTCGGGAAGGGGCGGGCTCTCCTGAAGAGGCCTGGATGGAACCCCGGGGCAGGGCTCTTGTTCCTGCCCTGGGGACAGGCTGGGGCTGTGTGTGCAGCCTTCCCTCTCAGAAGGCTGTGGCTCCGCACCTGCACTGCAGGGGCTTCCCCCTGGTGACCCAGACATGTAGCTGCTGTCGCTGCTGGAGCGGACCATGATCTTCTGGGCCCTTCGATGCGGGGGTGCTGAGTGCTTCTCACGTTCCTTCTCCAAGGTGGGCCGCCCATGCCAGCTGCTCTCCAGTCTTTTGACACCTGCATGGGAAGCACAAGGAACCCCCTTGCTGGGCCCCAGAAGACCAGACACCCCTAGGACTGCAGGCAGCATTCTGTACATACCACTGCTCAGTGGCAGGCACCTTAGACTCTGAGCCTGGCAGCCTTGGGTTTGGACTCCAATGAGCTTTCTAACTTTGAGTTGAGAAAATCACTCAGCCTTTCTGAGCCCACGAGTGACAGAGTTGTTTGTGGGTTTATTTGGTGTGGTTAGGAGAGTCAGAAAGACCCGCTTGAGAAGGCAGCAAAGGCAACAGGGTTGGATCCAAATGCACTTTAGGGAGGAGCTTTTTGCTCTGTCTTGGTCATATTTGAGAAACCTAAACCACTAAAGGAAGGCATGAAAGCTAACACTCCCCTGTATCTGACCACCCCACCCCCTACCACTGTAACTAGTGAGCTCATGGGGAGGGGGTCCCAGTGATCAATTCCCCTATGCATCTGTGCATCTGGGGTGAGTGGAGCCTAGTGGAAATAAAGCCTGGTCTAGCCCTTTCCTCTGAATGTTCTCCCACAGACTTGGGTGGTGATATCTTGCTTGTACAAATAAAGCATGTCTGAAGATCAGAGGGTGGAGCTTGCCACTAGCTAACCGAAAGACAGGAAGTGAGATGACTGGGCTGAGAAAGGATTGATTATAGGCGGGAGAAAAGGGGGACTTGAGCTCTTTTCCACTGGGAAGGTAGTGAGGTAAAGATGGCTTTGGCTTGCTCCTTTCTCTCTCGGATCTCTCAACATTTTCCCCTACATCTGACTCCCAGCTTTTATTATTAAGAACTATTAGAACTCACATTATACACTTCAGCCTCCTTGCCAACATCAGTGTTAACTCTTCAGGTTGGCCTAGCATATGCATGCCCCTGGGTTACCTAGTTAGTGCCCAAAGGACTTAGAGAGCTAAGTCCCTGACCCCCGATCAGTCTCTTCGTGGTCATATGTCTTTGGTAAGGAGCCTTCCAGGGCCTCTCTTATTCTAATAACATGTACATAAAAATTAGACCTGAGGATGTGGTGTGATAATACGTTAAGATTAATTAGGAGTTTTCAGTGTCTATTATTACAGGTTATAAATTGCAAACTCAAAGCCTACAGGGGTGTTATGTGGGCAAGGCAGTCTGGCAGGTGATGAAAGGGATGGAGCTGCCGGCAGAGCACCTGCCACATTCAAAACAATACGAACCTTATGCTTTGCACACAAAGCAAACCTGAGCCAGATTTAACTGGTGAGCTCCTGTCTTTCAGCTGTCATTGTCTAATGCCACGCATGTGTACCATGACTGTTCTCATGCTGCTGAGGTAGAGGGTGGGTTAATGGCTGAACCCCAAGATTTCTAAGGAGACAAAGATTTTTCAAGTAAGTCTTCACCACTTCCCTTACCTTCCAAGCTCCACTGGTGCCTCTCCTTTCCAAATTTGATGCCTTCTACAGACTGAGCGACAGCTTCCTTGAGTTGCTGCTCAGACACCTGGAAAAGATCCATCACTGACTCAAGCAAGAAGCCGAGGCAGGTGCAGCAGATTCCAAACACTGTGCCTACCATGCCCGTGGCTTCTGCTTTCCACTCTGCAAAGAGCAGGCAAAATCAGCTTCCAAAAGTGCCCTGGGTGTCAACACTCCCCCAGGGTCTTCCAAGTGGTGTTTCATGTCTATCAATAAAGGCATGTCCATCAATCCCCTTGGTTCTCCAACCTCCTCCTCACTATTGTGAAACTCTAGGTGAATTCACCGTTTCATAATCTACTTCTGAAAGCTGTTCCCTTAGCAATGATGTCACCATCAGTGTCACGGTCATCACCATGACCATTATAGAGCCTGTGCTGTGCCTCATGAGCCATTAGTTCCTTCACAGTAACAGTTAAATGTCAGGGGCTGACTCAGCATTAGAGAGCACTGGCTGCTCTTCCAGAAGTCCTGGGATGGATTCCCAGCACCCACATGGTGGCTAACAAATGTTTGTAACTCCAGTTCCAAAGGACATGACACCCTCTTCTGTATTCCTTGTATACTGCATGACTCTAGTGCCCAGGCAGAAGCAGGCAAACACCTATACACATAAAAATGAATGAATGAATGAATGAAGTGTGAGTCCAAGGAATGAAGCAGACTTACACCTCATGCCAGTTTCTCCATCATCTAGATGCATATACTGCTAAGCCTCAATTTTTTGTTCTACAAACTATAAACAGTATAAATCTCCAGAAAGAATACATTTTACTAAATAAATAATTGATAACCTAAATATGGGAAGCAAAAGAGGAAAACAATAAAAAAAATTTCCTAGGCTGGAGAGGTGGCTCAGAAGCTAAGAGCACAAATGCTCTTGTAGATTACCAGAATTTAATTCCCAGCAGGTACACTGGACAGCTCACAACAGCCTCCCTGGAACACAGTAATTCTGGCCTTTGAGGGCACCTGCACATACATGCACACACCCGCACACAGACACATATACATGCACATACTTTTAAACAGTAAAAATAAATTATAAAAAATCAACTAACACCAATACTTTAAAGTATGCATTCTAAGACACAGACTGAAACAACTCTCAAAATGAGAGAAAATATTTGCAAATCATATATCTAGTGAGAAGTTAAAGTCTAGAATATAAAGAATAATAACAAAAACCAAAACTCATTTAAAAAATAAGCAAAAGACTTTGGGTGGATGTTTCTCCCAAGAAAATATAAATATAGTCAACAAAAACATGAAAAGATATCCATCACTATTGACTACTGGATGAAAACATCAATCACAGAGAAATACCACTTCACATCCATTAAGACAGGTACTCAAACAAACAAACAAATAGACAAACAGAAAAGAACAAGTCTTGGGCCTGGAGAAAAGCCTCTGTGGTTAGGAATGTCTGCTGCTCTTTCAGAGGACCAGAGTTTGGTTCCCAAACCACATTGAACAAATCCAGAGCATCCAATGCCCTCTTCAGGCCTCTGCAGGTACTACACACACACACACACACACACACACACACACACACACACACACACACACACACCATAAAAATAAAATAATACTTTTTGTCAAGGGCATGGAGAATTTGGAACTCCTGTGCACTGTTGATGGTAATATAAAGTGGTTCAGTGTCTATGGAAAACAGTATAGAGAGTCCTTAAATAATTAAAAATAGAATTAGCAGATGATTCACATCTGGAAATACACACAAAAGAAAAATTAAAAAAAAACAAGGACCAGGTGTGGTGGTTCATGCCTGCAATTTCAGCACTCAGGAATATAAAACAGGAGAATTTCTTCAAGCTCAAGTTCATCTTGAGCTACACAGTGAGTGTCAGGTCAGCCTGAACTGCAGAATGACACTCTGTCCCAAACAAACAAGAAATTTAAAAATGTCTCAGTCACGCGTATGTCTCATGTTCTTTTCCCATTATTGCAATAGTCACAGGTAGAAACAAGCAGCTATCTATTGCAAACCGGGTGCTAAACAAAATGCAGCGTATGCATACAAGGGAAAATTAGCCTTAGAAGGAAGGCAGACGGCACAGGTTATGACATGGACAAGAGTGTGATGTAAATGACTGTCTCCTGTCACAATCCCTTAGTCACTTTCTGTCTCTTAGCCCAAATCTAAGTAGCTAAGAGCTACAGCTGTTTCTTCCCAAGTATGGCTTTGAATTTCTTCTTCTCTAGTCTCTTTCTATGCCTTCTGTATAGACCAGGGCCTCACCATCCATTCCTTCCTACACTCCACCTACTCTACTCCATTCAAAGGTTGAAAAAATAAATATGAACCTGTTGCATCAATAGCTACTGGCCTGTAGCTCCTCATCAGGTCCAGAAAATAACACGGATGCATCAGCAGTGTGGAGACACTTCCCAGTCCAATCCCAGCCAATATCAATTCTCACTCTCACCCGGTCCACAAAACCTGCCATCCACTCTCCAACTGTGGACAGTCCCTTCAGAATCTGACTTTGAACTCAGTGCTCCCATATGCTGGAATGATCTTCTGCAGCTCCTGTCTAAAGAAACCTAAGCTGTATCAAGCTCTGCTTTATCAAACACCCCTCTTCTGGGTGTCAGTCTCTTTATTGAGGCCGTGTGCTTATTCAGAACTCTTCACTGTGAGTTTGCTTGTCTCTGAATCCTCACTGCCTCACTCCAGATGTTCCTATTGCAAGCGCCCACTAGATACACACACACATAGATCTCTTTCATCTGCTATATGGGACTCTGGGATTATGCCTTCTTCCTTTCCCCCCAAAACTTGTAGCTTAGTTATAAGGTTTTCCTAAGCAGGTAACAATTTCTTCTGCTGTCTGGAAATTTGTCAGTGAGCCTCTGCTACAGAGATTTTTTCCCCACAGATAGTCTAGACAGGCGTGGAAGAAGAGTGTTCAAACCCTATCCGGCAACCTCTCTGTTTCCATCCAATTCTTGCCCTGATTCATACTGAGAGAGAGAGAGCCTGGGCGGAGAAAAACCCGATGGCACATTACCTGTGGGTCTGGATGTCGGCTAACGATGATGGGAACGGGGCCAGGGTCACAGTGGCTCAGGATTGTGTAGACTTCATTGAGGGTCATGCAGTGCACTGGAGAATCATTGATTTCCACGATCTCATCACCACACCTGCAAAGACACCCACAGAAGCCTCAAAATAAAACTAATACTACGACAGAACGCGGGCCACCTCTCAGTAACCCACTCCTTGACAGGCTGTTCATAATATCTCAGTGAGTAGACTTCACCACATGACCAAAACTCAGGACAGGGAGGAACAAAACAGCCATCAGCTCCTGTCACTGTGGACCATAGAGTGGCCAGTGTTTCATAGCCAGAGCCATCAGCATAGACAGAAGTTTGCCTGTGACACCCGCCCCCTTCTCCCATTGACCTGATCAAGACTGAGGATGCGGTTTACCCCTCTAACTGTTTAAACAGGAAGTAACTCGTCACATTCTGGGCCTCAGCATCCTTAGAAACAGAGTGGCCAGGAGGAAGGACTTGGCTGGGTGTGCTAAATGTAAAGAAATGGTGGAGAAGGGATGTGTCAGAGGTCCTTGAAAAGAGAAGCAAGGACAGCAGCCCAGGGGACTTAGTTTAGTTCCAACGGCAACTGCTGTGGTTTAGACGGGTGCCCTCCAAAGGCCTCGAGAGGTGATAAAAACTGTAGGAACAGGGGCCCAGGGAGAGCCCTTCTGGTTACTGGGAATGTGCCTTTGCAGGGGAACAGTGTGACTCTGCTCCTGCCTCTCCTTCCAGAGTTCCAGCCTGGAGGTGAACCCACTTTGTTCTGCCTTCTCTTCCCGCCATCATGTGTTTCCTCATCACTGACCTACATGTAGTGGGGCCTGTCAGATGCAAATGAACTTTCCAGAACTGTCAGCCAAAATAGCCTTTCTTCCTATAAGCTAATGGTGGAGGTGTTTGTTACAGAAACAGAAGGCTGACTGAAACAGCTCCTGACACAGAAAAAGAACCAAGCTAGAAAAGACAGGATTAGATCGGATTGTTGATACCAACTACCCTGGCTAGTCTTGTGTCAATTTAGCACAAGCTAAAGTCATCTGAGAGGACAGAGCCTCAGTTGAGAAAATGCCTCCAGAAGATGAGGCTATAAGCAAGCCTGAAGAGCATTTTCTTAATTAGTGATTGATGGGTAAGGTCCAGCCCATTGTGGGTGTGGCCATCCCTGGGCTGCTGGTCCTGGGTTCTATAAGAAACCAGGCTGAGCAAGCTGTGAGGAGCAAGCCAGTAAGAAGCACCCCTCCATGATCTCTGCATCAGCTCCTGCTTCCAGGCTCCTGGTTGAGTTCCTGTCCTGATTTTCTTCAGTGATGATTAGTAATATAGAAGCATAAGCAAAACAAGCCCTTTCTTTCCCCAAGTTGTTTGGTCATGGTATTTCATCCAGAGAATAGTAACCTTAACTGAGCCATGAACAAACCCCTTTCCCCCTCACAGATGGAGATACTGAGGCATAGAAGATGAAATGACTATCCTCCTGCAACCTGTATTGGGGGTGGACAGTTTTCTGTAAAGGACCAATAGTAAATACTTTATGATTTGGAGGGCATGTTGTCTGTGTCACAAATGCTTAACTCTGCCATTGTGGGTGACAGCTGCAGCCATGGACAGGAAACAAGAACCGGTGGGTGACTTTGTTCAAGTAAAACTTCAGTGGAAACAAAGGTGGAGGGCAGTCTTTTTCAGGGTATCAGCAGGGTCAGGATGAGAACTCGAGTCTCCTGATTCTGCATCCCTGGACGTGGTCCCCTGCTTCCTTCTGCGTTTCTGCTAAACTGACCCCCTTATCTTGCCAAGATGATTCATGTTCTCTGGATGTAACTGAAGACCCCTGCCATGCAGCACAGAACCGTTCCACCCCACTGCAGGCCTCTGGGAGAGGGCAGAAGGGATAAAGCAATCACCCCAACTCTGCTGGGGGTCCCCCAACCCTGAAGTTAGGTACCCTGGCCTGAAACCAGGTCTCCCAGCCCTGCAACTGGGCCCCTTCCACATCCCTGTAGCTGTGTCCCAAGCAGAGTTGCAGTGGCTCTCCTGCAGATGGCAGCACAGATCTGTTTCCAGCTCAGACTCTATCCAGACACTACCTAAAGAAGGCTTGCCTTCCTACACATGCAGTCACGGGAGGCGGGGATTAAAAACAGGCAGAACCTTCCTGCTTAGCAAAAGCATGTCCACTGGCAGATGCTAGAATGGTTACAAAAGTATTGTTATGGGTTACATTGAGATAATGATTTCTACCCAATCAGATCACTTACTGAAGGCAGAAGCCTTGGTAGAGAGGTGTGACTGCAGTTTCTATCTGAAATTATTATGCTTCTCTCAGCAAGGACATGCATGCACACAGCTGGTTACCTAAAACACTTGGGTCTGCACATAGAGCTCACAGGTAAACCCCATTGAGAAGGCCACCTGGATTCTGTGTCAGCTGTGTTCCTTCCTGTTTTCCATTGCAGTCTGGCATTCTGAGAATCCATGTGTCTTAACCTGCTCATGCACACAGATTTCTGGGGAATCAGCAACACTAGACTTAGCAGCTCTGGCTGTGGGGCTGCTGAGTTGTGTACCCCGCCCTCTTTCCCTATGCCCAGGTGATTGGCGTGACTGTTGCTGTGGCACAATTGGGTCAAGCCTGAATCATTCGCCGCTTCTCCCGAGGTCAACCTCAGACACTCCTAAATGATGTCTCCTCTGCTCTAAGCCAGGGGTGTATCCCGAAGAGAAGAAAGGACCCACCGCAGCCGTCCATCCAGATGTGCCACGGATCCAGGTGACAGCGTGTGAACGAAGATGCCCGAGATGCACTGGAAGTAGGGGACGCTGCACAGGCCAATCCCCAGGCCAACGCCAGCCTCTGGAATGCAGAACGGGGAAGGTGGGAGATGTGAGCTTTCCTATTTGATGTGTCTGACATCTGGCATCCCGGGCTAGGCAAGTGTCTGGGCCACGGCTCTCATTCCATCCCTGTGTGTGGAGGACCACTGTGCACAGGGGCCATTTAGGGACCAAGTGATGGCCAAAGCAGACAGTGAGGAGGGTGTGTGTTAAGGTCAAGTAGAGAAACACCAGGGAATGAAAAAGGGGAAGCTGTGGGAGGACAGTGAACAAGAGGAAGTGGGAAGAAGGGAGGGGACAGTGATGAGTATTATGCAGGAAGTGAGTGGGAAGTGGGCTAGGAAGTGGCAGGATGCCCCTTTGGGTCCCACTGACTACATTTGGTGTAACCATGGATGACAAGAAAGAACCAGGATGAGAAGTTGGGGCAGCTGGGGCAGAGCTTTGGGTAGCAGAAGCAGCCCAGGCAGAGGCTAGAGGCTGGGCGGGGTGTGCCTTGTTGTTGTAGGTCCAGAAAGGCCAGTGTGGGCAGAGCAAGGGCAGACACGGGCAGAGTGGGATGAGGTGACATAGGGCAGGGATCAAGGGCCAGACTCAATAGGTCTTGTGTGTACAGGTGTACAGAAACAAACACTGTTTAACTTACAAGAAATGCCACGGGACAGGGAATGAGGAAGCGACATCACTTAACTACCGTTTTTATTAATATGCCTGGCTCTAAATGGAGAAGTAACTATTGCTGGTTAGGAATGGAAGTACAAAGGTCATTGAAAAGGTCCAGTGGGTAAAGAGGGTGGCAGAGGGAGAAACGGAAGTGAATGGGATATATTCCAAAGGGATGAAATATAAAGATTGGATCAGTAAAATATCTCAAAGGAAGTCTTGAACTGAGTGACTGGAGGGTGACAATGCTATTATAAAACAGGGAGGTCTGGGCAGGACCAGACCTATGACGTTCTGCCCCTCAGGAACCCATGATGCCTTTAAAGGTGATTGGAAGATGTGAGAAGAGGGTTGGGCGGGGAGCCTGGAACCAAACAAACAGAGATGATGCTAGGTCTGTCTGGACCTCCAGCATGGAAGGGGAGACAGAGGGTTTGCTAGATTGGAAAGGCCCTGGAAACAAGACGTGGTGTGGCAGCCAGCAAGGACCAGTTGGGGGTCCAGGGGATGGAAGGAGAAAGAGCCTCCTTCAGGTTTTCTTTGGGCACACATAGTTTACAAATTACTCTTGTGTTTTCACCTTTCAATGTGGGGAGACCAACAGCTCCACACACATATCATGCCAGGCCTGCTCCATGGACTTCAGCGAGGGCCCAATTGGCTATGGCCACTGAGTATTTGTACCAGAGATGCCTGAAGGCTCAACAGGTTTATGGTCCAGTAGAGGAGCTAAGACATACACCAGGCAAGTGATTCATTGCACCCCCGGCCCCCATTTCCACACACATTGCTCCACACAAATCTCTCCCTCTGGTTTCCCAGCCTCTGTTTGAAACCACCTTCTTCCTCTCCGTCTTTGAATCCTACCCTCTTCCATTTGCCCACCTTGCACCAGCCATGCTGGCCTTCCCTTTGTTCCCAGAACACCTGCTCACCACTGTGCTTGGAGCCCAGCTCTGCACCTGACACTGCCCCTTGTCCTTCCAGGCTCCGCCCAGCTGCATTTGGCAGAGAAGGCCTCCAGAACCTTCTAGAATTAGCCATCCACCTGGGGTCACAGGGTGAATGGCTGCATATCCCTGAATGTCAGCTTGATTAAAAATCAAACAAACCAAAAAATTCCTCCGTTCTCTTGCAGAAGCAAAAAAAAGGGGGGGTGGCAGAGATAGTCAGTGAGCGAGCTCTCTCTCTCTCTCTCTCCCTGTCTCTCTCTCTCTCTCCCTGTCTCTCTCCTCTGTGTGTGTGTGTGTGCATATGTGTGCTAACACTCTCATGAAAAGACATTGTCTGAGTTTGGACCGCACAAATAAGCTTCTAGAAACAGGGTGAATGGCAGTGAGATATGGCTCAGTTAGTAAAGGTAACAGTCCCTAAGGCTGATGAACCGAGACCAATAATCAGAACCCACATGGTGGAAGGAGAGAATCTCAACTCCCATTAGATGTTCCTTGTGTGGCCTGTGCACGTGCACATACACAAACACACACTAAATAAGCAAGAAGAAAGGAAGTGGTGACGGGGGGGGAGGGAGGAGGGGACTGGGGGGGATGAGACCTGATGTCAAGCTCAGCTGGATAAAACAGCATCTGCTAGTCAACCTCTTCTGTGTATTCCTACCTTTCTTCAGGGACACCTCCACCATGATTCTGTAGTTGGGCTTGGCAGTGCTGGCGGGGGACGCTGGGCTTTCCAAGGAGAAGGGGCTGCTGTCCTGGGCACCACATGTGCTGGAGCTCAGGGAGCGACACAGAGGGGGTGACAGGTGGCTGCACAGCGATGGGGGTGCTGTCAGGCGGGTCCTCACTGTCAGGGTCAGAAGCCCCTTCTTGGCTTGCTGGAAAGAGTGACAGTGTTTGGAGCAATTCTCAGACAGGTGAAAAGAACAGACAGCCAGTAACAATGACAGATGGTCCCAAGGACATACAGGTGTGTGTGCATGCACAGTATACAAACATATGACAAGTTACACATGACACACTCATACACATACACCCAGAGAGTACACATGTTATATGACACGTGACATGGGTGCTTAGCCCAGATAGACTCTTGAACTGAACTAACTGGATGGAGACTCAAAATAACTTTTAGTTATGCCTTTAAAACTCAAAAGGGCAGTGGTGATCCACACCTTTAATTCCAGTACCCATGAAGCAGAGGCAGGCAGATCTCCGAATTCTAAGCCAACTCATTCTACAGAGTGAGTGAGTGAGTTCCAAGACAGCCAGAGCTACATAGAGAAACTCTGTTTCTAGCCACTCTCAAAAAAAAACTCAAAAACTCAAACCATATCCATAAATCCTCTATTGTAAACACATGGAGTGTTTTGAGACAGCTTTGTAAATCCTTAGTAGCTTGAATGCCTGATCCTGATTCTACTATCATTAGTAGAGGAATTTCTTTAATGCTGTGCCCAAGGGCAGCATCGACTAGACAAAGGTTAGGTCCCTGCAAAGGATCAATTTTTTGTTTGTTTGTTTTTCTGTTTTCAAGACAGAGTCTCTATAGCTTTGGAGTCTGTCCTGGAACTAGCTCTTGTAGACCAGGCTGATCTCGAACTCACAGAGATCTGCCTGCCTCTGTCAGCCTCCCAAGAGCTTGGATTAAAGGCATGCACCACCACCCCACCCAAGGCCAATTTTTAATTGGGTGGACTCAGAGGAAAGAGGTGACACTGGGTTTGCCCAAAGGCCCCAGACTGTACACAGAGGCTGAAAAGTCACCTTGAACTTCTGCAAGGCATCCTGATGTGTTAGGCCAGCCATTGATTCACCATTGAGTTCCAGAATTTCATCACCTGTTGAGGAAGAGAAAAACAGTAGCTAACAAGCTTTATTCAGGCTTTTGGAATCCACCCAGGGCCTAGTGCCCTGTCTCTATCCAAGCCTAGCCCATGGCCTCTAGGGCTCACCACATTTGAACAGTGTCTGAGCCACCAATCATGAAGTACCAACTGTATGTAACAGTGTTTCCTAGCAGCTTGTCATAACTGCTTCTTTTTACCTCAGATACTCTTTTATCCAATGTATCTGCATTAGAAATCAAGACTGCAGAGCAGCCAGAACGGTGGGCCTCTGCAAACATAGGGGACAATGACAGAACTCAACCCTTGTCACCAGCAGACTCCATATGACTGAGAACACACACAGTCAACGTATTTAAAACTACTCCAGGCATGTAATCCCCAATACTCAGGAAGCATGGGCCACAGGATCACCAGAAGTTGCAGGCCAGCCTCGGCTACTTATCAAGTCCAAGGCTAGCCAGGGAATAGAATCAAAACGTACTTAAGTGTGTGTTGAGAAAGGGATAGCAAAGTCAAAACTTTAGAATGTCCATTTTTAATTCCACAGGGGCTGGCTCTAAGTTATTAAAACATCTGTCCCCAAAGGCTAAATACCCAATTCTGGGCTTGTCTATCGTGTCCTCATTTGGCCGTATCTGGTGAACATTGATGAGCCTAGGTTGTGCCAAATCTATTTTACACAATCGTTTTTGGGAAGGAGAAGAAAAACAAATCATTAAGCTTTGATCTGTACAGCAAGCTTGTCATAACCAGCATATTCCCACAGAGTCGATTTAAGAAAGCCACTTTTGAAAACAATTAGGCCAATTATTTGAGGCTAAAGCCAGGAATTGGTTGGTTGGAATTCTCTGTTTTTATTATTGCTATTAACTAAGGGAGACAACCCCCTCTCAAAAAACTTGAAGGTTTCCAAGAACACAAAAGTAACAAAACACCAAAGCACACACCCTGGGTTCTGGCCCACACTCTGTCCCTCCTCCTGGCTCCTCTTCCTGATCTTGACTGGGCTGTTCATCTAGACCTGTCTTTGGTCCCCTCCCTCCTCCTCCACACCATCAAAGGGAACCACTTTTCAGTGGCTTGCCAGACAGCGCCATCTAGTGCTCAACCAGGCACATCGCACGTCTGAAGTTCCCACTTCAGCCATTTTCCTCTCCTCTTTCTCCTTTGACCTCTCCCTTTTCTCCAGTTAACTGAAACTAGAAACCTTCACGTGTCGCCATTATTCACCCACTACCTCATCCCAGGCTTTGTCTATCCCCATTGACTCTAGTCATTGGAAGGGTTGCTGTTCCAGACAGCCTTAAGCAGGCACAGGCACAGGCACAGGCACCAGGTTCCCAGGCCAGCCTCTGAACATCAATTCTGCTTTCTGCCTCTTGCCAGCCCACTGCATCCTATACACTGCTTCCTGACGTGCCCAAGGCCTCTCTATCCAGTGCCTCTCCAAGGATAAATGCAAAGCCTCCCATTGCCCAATGCCACATAAGTGCTTGGGTTGACAGTGTTTTCTGTAAAGAGCCAGACAGCAAAATTTTAAATCTTTGAAAGCTGTTATCATTACTCAACACAGGGCTGGAGCATCAAGGCAGCCATCAAGAAAACATGGCTGACATTTGAATCTTGTTGTAATTTTCATGTCACAAAAAAATCAAGATAGAAATTTCATTTCATTGATTTTGTGTGTGGTGTATGTGTGGTGTGTGTGTGTGTGTGTGTGTGTGTGTGTGTGTGTTTTGTTTAAGGGTTTTGTTTTGTTTTTGTTTTCTGAGACAGGGTTTCTCTATGTAGCCCTGACTGTCCTGGAACTTGCTTTATAGACCAGGCCAGCCTCCAACTCACAGAGACCCACCTGCCTCTGCCTCCCAGTGCTGGGATTAAAGTGCACCACCACCACCCAGAGACAGAATGTTTTTTATGTACTGCTTTTTAAAATTAGTTGTTTTATGGCTGATGACTGATTGATGTGTAGGTGTTTGGCCTGCATGTATCTCAGTGTATCGCATGTGCCTGGTACCCTCTGGTACTACTAGAAAATGGAGAAGCACATGCCCCCCTCAACCACGGACATGCACTCTGAAAATCCAAGACACATTTTCAACTTTGGGCATCTTCTGCGCCCTGGCAGCCCTGGGTTGTGCTTGTGACCCCTCAGCCATACTTGGAGGGATAGAAGCCCACCTTCCTGTAACCGTCCATCAGCCGCAGCTGCACCTCCTGCGAAGATGCTCTTCACGTAAATCCCAATGGGGCCATAAATGCTGTCCTTTCCTCCAACAATGCTGAAGCCCAGGCCCTGGGGAAAGAAGAGAGGGCTAGAGTAGAATATCCCGGATGTTTTCTTGGACTGGCAGCTTTCTAAAGTCCTGCCTAAGCCCCAAAGAAAGGAACGAGAGGGGAGACAGAGTCCCTTTAGTCCCAGGGGTCTCAGAGATCAACCAAGCAAAGTAGTTTGTGGCCAGTTTGGGCTATGGAGTATCGGAGGCTTGCCCATGAAGCTGACAGGTGCTTGACTATTTTGATTCAATTACTTTCTTCTTCTGATGTAAAAAGAAAATAATATTGTAAAATAAGATCACAGAATTCACAGGCTGTACTTGAAAGTAAAACACAATACCCAGAAACATCAAAGAGATATTAATGACACTAATAGTAACAGCTTATGCCACGGAACACATCCTTTCTGTTACCAAAGACCCCTTGCTTCCCTCCATTCTGTGTCCAACCTGTCCCCTGTCTAAAGACACCAGCCACATGCTCTTCCTACAGGCGTTGTCCTCCCTGTCATTTCTAGGTCATTCCCAGAAGCCAAGAAACACATTCTAGGATTATGTTGGTGGCACTGGGAGAAGCAGGTAGCCTTGACTGTGGGAACAGCTACAAGGCCGCCAAGGTGGGTCTGATGCAATGCTGCACCATGGAAAGTAAGAATGATGTCAACAGAAGAAGAGGGTGGAGAGGGGGTCTGGCTTCCCCTGCAGACTTGCCAGGAGATTACCGGGACAGTCTGGACTGGCTTAGATAGTGGTAAAGGAAACACCTACAACTCCATTCATTGTGTTGAAGATGGAGGGTATCTATAATTCCCAGGTAAACGTGGTTCAGTCTTAGGGAACACCTTTTTAAACTGTGAGCTACTAGAAGTTAGTGGAATCATTTTTCCATAATTGGCCTTAGACAGGTACTCAAGACACAAATGGATGAGAATAAAGGCAGGTCTTTTTGTTCAACTCAGAAGCATCTAGGTGGGCCTAGGCACTTTCCTAGACAAATCCTTGAAGTAATGGTTGGCACTGGTAATGGCATCACTATTCATAGATTGTTCATCTCAGACCCATGGTTCTCAAAACCCACAGGGAAACAGAAGTGTCAGTGGTAGGCGAGCACCCCAAGTATCTCTTGTGTTCACCCCCAAACATGCTATCTTATTCCCTGGGCTGTGCATTGGGTACCTTTTTGGTCACTGTGCAAAATGCCTGGCTTATTAGTCAGAAACTGGGACTGTCCAGAGAGAGCTATGACACATGCTTCTCCCTTTGACTTGAGGGGCCTTCTTTGTGCCCCCTGCTGATCTCCCAGGAGTGGGAAGAAACAGGTGACAGAGGGAAAGATGACTCCAGGTGTGTGGTGAGGTCCCTCTCTAGAACATAGTGGTCATTAGACCCTTGCCTCACATCAACTGAAATGTAGTTAGGTAGGTTAAATAAGCCTACCATTCATCTGAGTGCTGAGCAGTTTAAACTGGGTTGAAAACGTAGCAGCAGCTGCCTGTGCCTGCCCTAGTTATTTTAGGTATGTGCAAGTCTGTTGCAGTTTGGATGTGAAATGTCTGAACACTCTGTCCTCAGTTGGTGGTGCTGTTTTGGGAGACGGTGGCACATTTAGGAAGCAAGGCCTACCTGGAGTAAGTAGGGCACTGGAAGGTGGGCCACGGAATGTATAGCCCAACCCCGCTTCCTACTCAACCTGTTTCCGGATCCTTTGAGGTAGGAGCAAGGAGCCTCATGCTCCCAAAACCCCAGGCGAGAGTAGCTTCTGCTACGGTGCTTTACCTACCACGATGGAGCAGACACTCGACCATGAGCCTCAACATTTCCTCTCTTAAGCCCTTTCTTGTCAGGCATTTGATTATAGCCACCAGAAAGGCGCCCAATACAAAGGCCCAGACATGCAGTAGCATGCTGCGGGGTGAGCACATGAGATCCTGGGGTGCACTCTGTCACTGCTCACTCTTTGGTTCCCTCTATTGATACCTCTCAGTCACGGTCCAGAAAAAGCAGAATCCATTTGGACTCTTCAGGATGCTCCAGCAGAGACCCGGCCATCGTGGCCATCAAATGACCCATACGGAACAGGGAGCATAGAGCTTGGAAAATTTGGATATCAGTCTAACTTTCTCCTAGCAGCATCTGAATCCACATGGAGGTGAGATACAGCCTCATAAACCTATGGAAGGGATTTTAGTTTATGCATGAGGCGAGATTATATCGTGGAGAATATCATGTCAAGAAGGAATAGGAAACAAGTTTGGAGCGTGCTGAAGCAGGTGGAGAACACTGTGGCACCCTCTGAGAGGAAATGATCACTTAGTGGAATTGGAAGAATTAGTTTGGCTTAAGCCCCAGCGAGTGCTTGTGAGTTTGTGGTTCCCCCTCTGCTGCACTCAGTGGACCGGACTGCAGCCCTGTTCCCATGCCTCCTTGGAGTAATAGCTCCTAGAACAGAGCGTTGCCTCAGGACCTCCTGCTGGTGATGACCCTTGCTCACCTTTGCTTGGCCCTTCATCAGCACAATGTTGGAGATGACTGAAGCCTGCAGACCCCCAGACAGCTGCCCGAGCTGAGCTGTGCTCAGTGACCGAGTGGGTCTTGCAGTCCCCTGTAAAGAACCCAAGAGGGCAGGAATGAGTCACCCACCAGTCAAAGAGAAGAGCCCCACCCTCTGTCTCCCAAGGGTCGGCAGAATAAGAGCTAGACGGTGATTCCTAGGCTGTCATTCAGATTCTAGTGGCTTGGGCAAGAAGCTTTGCTCAAGGTGACCTGGCTGCAGACCAGCAGCAAAGGCTCACACATGCTTGTGAAGACAGTAACCCAAGGGTAATGACACACAGACCACACTGTCCCCAGAATGAGCCCTGGAGACCAAGCGAGACCTTCAGCTGAGTTCAAGGCATCTATAAACTGTCACTATAAACTGTGCTCAGCTCAAAGCTCGTTTACCTAAAGCCCTGCTTGTGCCGGCCACAGTGTGTAGTGTGATTGTGTATGTGTATATGTATATGTCTGGGACCCACACGATGGGAGGAAAGAGCCAGCTCCCATAACCTGTCCCTGTCCTCTGATTTCCACATGCACACTTTGCACTCCCCTCCGACCCCACACCAAAATACACAGACACTCACAGGTAGTAAATAAATAGATGTTAAATAAAAGTGATGCAACTTCTCCTCAATTCTGTTACATACTAGTACAGTGAATGATAATAGCCATAGTTTCTAGTCTTCTCACCTGAGCGGTATTGTGCAGGTGAAATAAATTGTTGGGAAGCTTTAGTTGAGAGCTGGAGAACTGGGGGTGAGGGAGTCTCCATGGGCTCTTAACAGCATAGAAGTGACAGAGGTTACTTGTACCTGGCACAAGGGGGGCGGGGCTGGCAGGTAGGGCTTTCTAAATGATGTTTGCCTAGTGGGGTGCTTTAGCCCACTTAGCAAGCTCTGGGCAGTGTGTGGGCAGAAAGGTACGACTGCAGAGATTACACAGCCTCTTATCCCCCCACATCTCCAGGCCCCTCCCCTCCATTTTACCGAAACTGGGTAGTCCAGTTGTTGAGAGAGAGACTTCCTGTTGCTACAGAGAGAGTATGGCTGCCTGTCAGTAGGAGATGCAGATTTCTTGGTCATTGGAAAATCGGTTTCTCCCATGCAATAGGGATTAACACCTAGACAGAGATGGAAGCCGGAAACAAACAGACAGACATCATTTGTGTGCATTAAAATATCAGTCGTGACAAAGAACAAAACCAGCCTCACCCACCAATCACCAGCCCTTCCTTAGGTAGGGGTCTGTGAGGGTTAACCATCCAGCACCCACGATGGTTAGTGTGGTCCTGGAGGCTGCAGGAGGCACAGCATCATCTAACTATTCATCCTTAAATTTGGTGCTGCAAAATGCAACAGAATTCTTCACAGAGTGGACTCCCACTCTACCCCAGTCCACTCAGCAAGAGGTGACAGGGGTCTCCTGCATGGTATACACGTCACATGGCATGCCACATTACACTTGGAGTCCAGGCTGTCAGAGAGTTTTCAGTCCCAACCAAAGGCAGAGGAGACAGCACTGAGGTTCCTGGGGTAGGAACTGAGCCAGGGGCCAAGCAGAGAACCAACCAGTGACTACATGGGGAGACTAGGCAGGGAGAGGGTGGGCCCAGAGGGTTCTCCCATTTTCTATACAGACCCTTACTGCACACCCCTCACACAGGCAGAGGGTCCAGGGGTCCTCCCCTCTTCCATACACACCCCTTACTGCTTGGTACACACCCCTCACACAGGCAAAAGGCCCGGGGTCCTCCCACCTCCCGTGCACAACACTTACTGCCTCTTATACACCCTCACATAGGCAGACAACTTGAATCCTTGGGGATTTGTGCAAATGCAAACTATCAGCTCCCTGGTCTACCACTCACCACCGCCACTAACAGCCCACCACCCACCACTCACAATCCACCACTCACCACTCACAATCCACCACTCACTACTCAACACCCACCACTCACCACTCACAATCCACCACCCACCACTCACAATCCACCACTCACCACCCAACACCCACCACTCACTACTCAACACCCACCACTCACCACTCACAATCCACCACCCACCACTCACAATCCACCACTCACCACTCACAATCCACCACTCACCACTCACAATCCACCACTCACCACTCACAATCCACCACTCACTACTCAACACCCACCACCCACTACTCAACACCCACCACCCACCACTCACAATCCACCACTCACCACTCACAATCCACCACTCACTACTCAACACCCACCACCCACCACCCACCACTCACCACTCACCACCCATTACCCACCACTCGACTCTCACAATCAATTTGAAAACCTTTAGGATTGGCACATTTAACTCCTGGTATCTAGAGCTGCCCAGCTCAGATACAGAGTTGGCTGCATAGTGCATTTAAATTTGTCTAATAGCCATACTGAAAAAGAAAGAGGAGGACCAGGCATAGTGGTGCACAACTGTAATCCCAGCCGCCACAATATAAGGATAGGAGAGTCAGGAATTCAAGATCATCCTCCACCACATACTAAGCTGGAAAAGAACCTAGGTTATCCGAGACCTTGTGTCAAATAAAACAAAAAATTTAAGTAAAACAAAAGAAAAAAAAAGAGTTTCAAGTCAGCCTGGCCTACACAGTATGACCCTGTCTCAAAGAACCAATAGGATAATAATAATAATAATAATAATAGGAAGAAGAAGAAGAAGGAGGAGGAGGAGGAGGAGGAGGAGGAGGAGGAGGAGGAGGAGGAGGAGGAGGAGAAGGAGAAGGAGAAGGAGAAGGAGGAGAAGGAGGAGAAGGAGGAGAAGGAGGAGAAGGAGGAGAAGGAGGAGAAGGAGAAGAAGGAGAAGAAGGAGAAGAAGAAGAAGAAGAAGAAGGAGAAGGAGAAGGAGAAGGAGAAGGAGAAGGAGAAGGAGAAGGAGAAGGAGAAGGAGAAGGAGAAGGAGAAGGAGAAGGAGAAGGAGAAGAACTCAAAGGAAATGGATGTGACTCATTTAATTATATTAATATATCCTATCCACTCTGTCTAAACTATGTCCCCGTCAACATATAAACAATATGTAAGCAGATTAATGAGCAGTTCATGTTCGATTTTTCCTCATACTTAGTCTTCAACTGGGCATGTTCTCTAAAATTTCGGTGTTCTCCACAGAGAGCAGCCATGTGCTCAGGAGTCATGCTTGGGCAGCAGGGTTCCAGAGACCCCAGGGGGGCGGGAGGTGAGGGGAGACAAAATTAACCCAACATCCTTCAGAAAAAGTGAGCTTGGAGGCCGGTCATAGGAAACGCAGGATGGATCAAGGTTGAGATTTTCCTTCTGTAGGGGCGGGGAATGGGAAAGATTTATTTATAGACTAAAGAGAGGAAATGACTAGCTAGGACAGGTTCAGAATGAGACCCACCCCCCACCCCACCCCCGCCCCCAGAGGATGATGTAAGATGCCTAAAGAAGATAAGGGACAGAGACAGAGGCAGAGGCACCATGGAAAGGGGGAGATTTGGTTCTTAGGTGCTTGGAAAGTAGCTGGGAAAATTCCCTGCAAGAGGTGGTTGCTTCCAGAAGTCCCTTCAGAATGAGTCACTGGTCCTCTGTAACTTGCAGGGACCAATTGCTCCCAGATGGGCCAGGAGGGAGCAGCAGCGTGGGTGAGACAGGATGCAGAGCTTCGGATCCCAGCTGGTAGGAAGCCAGAGGTACCCTGTTCCTAATCTGCCCAGGCACCACATTGAGTGAGTGCTCAATAGGAATACAGACCGCACACCCCTTCTGACCCACTGATGGGGACTGAGAACTCTCCTGGTGATGCAGCCAGGTTATCATAGGCCTTGGGGAGACTCCATCTACTCCTTGCTTACAACCGAGCAAACAGAAGGTCAAGGGCCTCACGGCAAAAAATAAGTGTAGAGCATAACCCAGACCTCGGGGTCCTGTGGCTTTTGCCCACGGTACTGACCTCTACTGGATGAAAGAGAGGGAGAGAAATAAGGACAAATAACTAGGCTGCCATTTACAATGAGAGAGAGTAGGTTGATGGCAGAGCCATGGGCAAGTCCAGTGCAAGGTACTGAGGTCATGCTGAGCTGGGCTCTGCCCTTCCTGACGCAGGCAGTCACTGTGCTTTGAGGTTCTCTGTCCCTTCTATGGATTCAGATCTGTACAAACAGAGCCCAGAGCAGGACATGGTTCGTTCTCCAAAGCTCTGACTGGTCTGGGTCCTCCCTCACTCTGCCTGAAACCAGCTAACAGTGAAATGCATCAAAATCATCACCTCCCATGGTGGGAGTTAAAACCTGCTCCACCTACAGCACTGGAAGTAGCTGTGGTTAGAAACCCAGCTCAGAAACCCAAACAGGTTTTGAAAGAAAAGAAAAGCTGTAAGTTGAGATGAATCTGTAACAGTAATAATGAATTTGTCCTTTGAAGCTAGGTTGACTTATGAACTGGAAGAGTTCATTAGCAAAGGAACTAAAATAAATAATACTAAGTTCTTTGTCTCTCATAAAAGAAATGATTTAACCAAGTTTAATAAATTAATTTGTTAATTTAAATTTAAAGAAAAGCTAAAATGGAAACAGATCTTAGAAACCTGAAACAAGATACACCAAGAGGCAGAAAACAAACTGAAGCAGGTTACTATGGGAACATAATGCAGCATGAACAAAGAAAGGTGTTTACAAAAGGATGGGGTCTGGCCGGATGGCTCAGTGGGTAAAGGCCCTGGCTGCTGAGCCTGGCCACCTGAGTCCGATCTCTAGGTCCACATGGTGGAAGGAGAGAGCTGACTCCCTCAAGCTGTCTTCTGACCTCCACATGTTCACATGAACACATTCTATGACACATGCCCCCTGCTCTCCTCCCCCTCCCCCTCTCTTTCTCACACACTCACTAATATTTTTAGAGGGCATGGGCAAGAACTGACCATCAATAGTGATGCTAGTCTTCAGCTAATCATTCAGGAATAAAAAAAAACTACAATGCTTCTTACTTCATATAAAGTATTAAAAATTATAAATATATCAAGTTTAATATGGAGCTAAATCATAAATTAAAGAAAAAATATGAACACAAACCAGAGTCACCTGCACAGAGGGAACATGGGTTGAGGAACACCTCCACCAGACTGAACTGTGTGGGCAAGTCTGTGGGACATTCTAATGGTCGCTGGTTAATGTGGGAGGGTTCAGCCCACTGTTTGGCTGTGCTACCCCTGGCCAGGTGGTCCCAGGTTGTGTGAGCCAGCAGGCTTGGAAACCGTTCTCCTCTGTGTTTCCTGCCTCTGGGCCTGCCTGAGTTCCTGCCCTGACTTCCCTCAGTGAAGGCCTGTGACAGTAAAGCCAGATGAATCCTTCTTCCCCCCAGTTTCAGTCATAGTGTTTAGCACAGCAACAGAAAGCAAACTAAGACACACACATATTTAATATTTTTTCAATATGGGAGAAAGTTCGTGATAAAAGGAAAAAAGATCAAGTTTGATAGTATAAAAATCAAAACATCTTTAAGTGAAGAACTAAATAACTGGAGGAAGTGTGTTTGTGTGTGTGCCTATTCGCGTGCACATGCGTGTGTATTTGAAAAATCCACGTTCAACTATTAATGTAATCAAAAGTTTTGTAAATTAGTAAGACAACGATGACCCCCCAATAGAAAACTAGTAAGAGTCACCAAAACAAAATTAGAAAGAAATGTACTATATAAATGAAGAAATCTTTCAGTCCACCTAAAGAGGCCTGTTTTCCAGCTGTTTTGTAAGCCCGTGTGCAAGTCATGGATTGCACAAGAAACCAAAGGCATACTTTCAAAACCAGCCAGATGTGTTGTAGTCCTGGAGGCCATCACCTTCCAGGACCTGATGGGCACAGGAAAGAAATTGTGTTAGTGAGATCCAGGGAGTTACTGCCTGGGAAGACAGGCCACTTAAGTGAGGGACAGTGAAGGGACCAAAGAGAACGCCATTGCTCTATCCTACAGTCACTGATTCTTTCAATAACTGAACTCAGTTTGGATCCAGAAGGTTGGGAGGTAGGTGGCATTGTCTGGGCGATCATCTCCCAGGACACCAGCATGGCTGACTTCACAGACATAGGGCCTGAGCAGTCACACTGGGCCTGTGGTCAGAAGACTCCCAGCTTGGTTGAATACTGGATTGTTGCCACTTTGAAATTCTTAATAGTTTTGAACAGGCTTCCTTGGTTTCATTGTGGACAGAGCCCCCACAAAGTGTGTAGGTGGTCCCAGGTGTGAAGCAAGGCAGAGGAAGCAGAAACAGGCAAGAGGGAGAAAGCCTGAGCAACAAATATTTTAAAAAATAACCCAGTGTGGGGCAGGAGAGATGGCTTAGCCATTAAAGGCTAGGCTCACAACCAAAAAATAACCCAGTGTGGGGCAGGTGATCTGTCTGCTGCTGAAGGAACGTCAGGCTGGTTTGGCAGTGTGGCCAATGTCCTTATGCTGTATCTACCTACCATTTAAAACAAAATTAAACTCCCAGGCCATTACATTAACAAGAAACCAGGTTATACAAGCCTCCAAACAATGACTTGTAAATGCCACAGAATAATGAGGCCCAGAGAGTTAAGAAAAGTCCCCAGTGTCACACAGATAATCACTTCCAAGGAAGCTGCATCCCAATCTAAGCACAATGGCCGTCTAATGTGGTATCTTTCATTTTGCTTTGGTTTGGGGGGGTTTGTTTTGAGACAGATCTGCTGTAGCCCAGCCTGGCCACACACTCTGTGTTTATAGTTCTGGCAGACTTTGGGCTACTGATCATCCAACCTGTATGGCCCACATGATGGGACTACAGACACCACCGCACTCAGCTTTCGAGCATTCTTAGTCACTCACCAGTCACTGCCTCCTCTGTGGTTGTCACTCAGTATTCACAGGGACTAATGGCATCCAAAAATCCCCCGCAGATACCAGAATACATGGGTGCTAGTCCACATTCTGTACAAACTGCATTATTTACACACAATAAATGCGTGTACATATACTACTTATGCTGGATTGTTTAGAAGACAATGAGAAAAGAATTTGTGCATTTTCTGTAAAAATGTGATGTTTTTCAAGTATTTTGACTTTACAGATGTGGAGGCTAACTGGGGTTCCCTTTAGGAATCAATATGGGTGCAAAAATAATTTCATGTGTAAAGTAAGCAATGTGGATTGTGCTAATGGATGAAAATAATGCAAATATCTAATAAGAGGGAGTTGGTCAACTAGACCGTAAATGTTCATACAATGAAAATTTGTGTTTCCATTAAAAATGGTGTTTAGAGTCACTGGAGATCCACCGTGGAGGGCCTCACCCTCCCTGGGGATCAGAGTGGAGATTCGGTGGGGGACTGGGGGACCTGGTGGGGTGGGCAGGGAAGCAGGGGAGGAGAGGGAGCTAGGATTGACATGTGAAACAAGATTGTTTCTAACCTAAATAAAAAAAAATATTATTTAAAAAAATGGTGTTTAGAACGGAATTTCCAATCATTTGTGCATAGAACTTTTCTGTAGTCACGTGGGAAGAGCTTGGCCTGAACTGAAAATGTTAGCACATCTTAGTGTTAACATCTCTAGAGCAGTCTGAATTCTTTCCTGCTTTTCTTCGTTCTTCCCGGTTCTATTTACAGTAATCAAGAGCCCTGTGATCTTCTGATCCCTGTCCCTGTCACATCACAGTGAGGGGAGGGATGTTGGGGTGGGGCCAGGCTGGCTCAGCACAGGAGTGCGCCAGCACTCAGGGTAGGAGCAAACATTCTTCTCTTCTCCTCAGATCACTCTTCCCAGAATGTCACCCAGCCAGAGGAGCTGCCCACAGAGATATGGCCAAGCCAATGCAGAACCTCTCTAGCTGTCTAGCAAGCACACCCATGAAGCATGCTCTCTGAGAGACAGACAGCTGCCACCTTGGCTCACCCTTGATAACCCAGAAAGGACCCAGCCCCTAGCCTCCTCCACAGCACTGACAGTCCTGATGTTCAGGAGCAGTTACACCCTGTAGCCTTTTGAATGATAACACCCCCCATAGGCTCATGTATTTAAACACTAGGTCTCCAGTTGGTGGGGCTGTTTGAGGAGACCTAGGAGGTGTGGCCTTGTTGAAGGAAGTGCAAAAGGCATGTCTGAGAGTCTAACCACTGCCATTTCCTGTCCTCCCTCTACTCTGTGCCTGTGGTTCACGATGGGAGCTCTCAGCAGCCTGTCCCTGCCACCATGACTGTTTGCGGACTCCTCCTGCCATTGTGGACTCTAACGCTCTGGAATTACGAGCCAGAATAAATGCATACTTTAAGTAGCCTTGGTCATGGTGCTTTGCCACAGCAACAGAAAAGAAACTAATATAACCCTGTTCCTGGAGACATTCTGGCGAGATACTCACTGGTGGAGTTGCTTCGTGTCCTCTGATGGCAGACTTTAGGGAACAGGAAGTTGCTACTTTGTGCTTCTGGTTTTCCAGTCTTTTCTCTAGAGGAAGTTGTAGAAGGTTCCTGTGAAGACAGTTTCCATCTTTTTTACTCAGTAAACTATGAATGCTTAGCATAATGAGGCATTGGCATGGACCAGAGAAATAGCTGTTGATTTGTCTGCCTGTCTACTGAAATGGCAGGTACTTTGAGGGCTGGGACCAGTCTTAACCATTTATTCACAGTTAACCATTTATTCAGTTAAAAGGTACTTAACAAATAGAAATTACATAGCTATTAAACAAGTGCAGCAAATGTTGAATGCATATGTCAGGGTCTTGATTCCACATGGGGAATTCAGCAGTGATCAAGACAGGCAAGGACTTGACGCTGGATAACTGGCATTTTAGTAAAGAAAGGCTAACAGTAAACGAAGGTGGAAGATCACCACAGAGAAGGACAAGTGTCTGTCAAAAGGATTGGAGAGTGGCCTGGACAGAGAGCCCTGGAGACCCGGGCTAGAGATGATGGGAGTGCCATCGTGAGATGGGCACTCACAAAGTTACTGTTGAACAAGTCGAGAGTTTCAAAGCACTGAATCATCATGTATCCTCCTGAGTATTGTGATTTTATTATATTGCTGGTTTGTATTTGCCAGCACTTAATTTAGAGCCTTGAAAGTCAATATCAAGCCAAAGTGTTTATAATTCTCTATTGTTTCTGCCTTACCATATTGAATGATTTCACTTTTTCATAGCAACGGTTTTATATGAATAGTTTCTAGGGCTGGGAAGATGGCTCAATCTATAAAGAACTTGCCGCACAAGGATGAGGACTCAAGTTTGGATCCAAAGCACCATATAAAAAGCCAGGTATAGCAGCATGTGCCTGTGATCTAGGCACTAGGGAAGCAGAGGCAGGTGGACCCTGGAGCCCACTGACCGGGTCTCCCTGAATCAGTGAGCTCCAGGTTCAGGTGGAGATCCTGTCTCCAAAACGTAAGGTGTAGAGTGAATGAGGAAGATGGTCAGGGTTGACTTCTGATCTCTGCGCATAGGTACACACACACACACACACACACACACCACACAAACAACACACACCACACTCATAAACATCATACAAACCACACACACAAACAATACAAACAGCACACTACATAAACTACACATACATACTATACCACACCCCCCCACACACGGAGTTTCCACTGTACTGAGTATGTTAAACAGCATAGTTGGTCTCATTTCTCTATTGGGGTGAAAGAAACTATATGACTCTTCCTTGTGTGACCAAAGAATCTGGAAGAACTGCTCTCCTGTCTTTTCTGTGAGATATTAGAAGTGGACAGTAAGGGTAAAGGGATTACTTTACCTCTGCTCCTGGGTCTGCTCTAGTTTATAACTTTACAAAGACTGTGACCATTTTTTTGAGATACATTGCTTTCATCATTTACTACTGCAACTCTGTGTGTATGTGTGTGTGTGTGTGTGTGTGTGTGTGTGTATGTGTTTCAGGAAGCGATAGGGGGGAAACTCTCTAAATGTAAGCACAGCTATGGTTGTCAAATTTGAATGACTAGGTAAATGACCTTTCATAAGTGCTATTGGACCTGGAAATGTAGCTACAGATAGCTTAGGAGTTTGGAGCAGACACTTACTGCTGCAGTGTCCTGGAGACTCCTAGTCTATCTGACATGACTACCTTTGTGACAAGGCAGGGATACCAGCGGCTGGTTAACTGCATGTGTCTAGAGGGTACAGTACCCAGTACCTGGTGTGTGGGCAGAGAGCAGAATTTCCTCTGCTCTGCCTCTCACTGGGTACCTCCTTCCAACCTCACCAGGCCTCAGTAGCCTTCACCAGGCCTCAGCAGCCTTCACCAGGCTTCATCAGGCCTCACCAAGTCTCATCAGGCTTCAGCAGCTTTTACCAGGCCTCACCAGGCCTCAACATCCCTCCCCAGGCCTCACCAGGCCTCAGCAGCCTTCACCAGGCCTCAGCAGCCTTCACCAGGCTTCATCAGGCCTCACCAAGTCTCATCAGGCTTCAGCAGCTTTCACCAGGCCTCACCATGCCTCAGCATCCTTCACCAGGCCTCACCAGGCCTCACCAGGCCTCACCAGCCCTCCCCAGGCCTCACCAGGCCTCACCAGCCCTCACCAGGCCTCACCAAGTCTCACCAGGCTTCATCAGGCCTCACCAAGTCTCATCAGGCTTCAGCAGCTTTCACCAGGCCTCAGCAGGCCTCACCAGCCCTCCCCAGGCCTCACCAGGCCTCAGCAGCCTTCACCAGGCCTCAGCAGCCTTCACCAGGCTTCATCAGGCCTCACCAAGTCTCATCAGGCTTCAGCAGCTTTCACCAGGCCTCACCATGCCTCAGCATCCTTCACCAGGCCTCACCAGGCCTCACCAGGCCTCACCAGCCCTCACCAGGCCTCACCAAGTCTCACCAGGCTTCATCAGGCCTCACCAAGTCTCATCAGGCTTCAGCAGCTTTCACCAGGCCTCAGCAGGCCTCACCAGCCCTCCCCAGGCCTCACCAAGTCTCATCAGGCTTCAGCAGCTTTCACCAGGCCTCACCATGCCTCAGCATCCTTCACCAGGCCTCACCAGGCCTCACCACCACTAGCAGGTCAGCACTGAAGACACTGCTGGCATTGCCCCGCTGGTTTCAGGGCTTTCCTCTGCTGTGTCGTTGATGACAGGCTAGTGACCCTGAGTCTAGTCCCACCTGCACTATGACACACAGCAACTTCTTATGGCCTCCAGAGTACAGTTAGGCACCTTCCATGACAACTGCTTGGACAATCGTTTCTCCCGAGGGGTATATCCCTTTTGAATTTTGAAAAAAATTTTCTACCTGGTAACATAGTTAACCAGGTGAACTCTGTAAGCAATCTGGATTCAGAAGTCTACTAACAGCCTTTCAAAAACAAGCTATATCCAGTCTGGTGCAAGAACTCATGCAAGAAACCACTAATCAATTCCCCTTTACTTCCTGTGTTAAGTCAATGTGAAAATCAGAGAAAAGTCTAGGCAGACTCCGAGACAGTCATTTTTCTTTTTAGCAACAGATGGCGCTGTGTTAGCCGCAACAAAACATCCATCTTTAGCTGTGCTAAACCAGGAAATTCTTTACAAACTACAAGAGCTAAGGTTGAATACTGGAGGCAGTTGAGTCAGTTGAATTCTTGAGACTCTGATTTTCAAAGTTAAGTACATGATCTACTTCTTTGAGCACACTGGAATATCCAAAAGATACTTCTCTTTTTTAATGGTATTTTTTCTTTTTATTATTTTATTATTTTTAAAACAATCTTATTTTACACACCAATCCCAGTTCCCTCTCCCTCCCATCCTCCTGCTCCCTCACGTTCTCCCCACCCCACATCCACTTCTCTGATGGGTAATCAACAAAGTCTGCCACATCACTTGAGGAAGGACCAAGGTCCTACCCCTGTACCTAGGCTGAAGGAGATGCTTCTTAATGACAGTAGTGGCGAGAGGGTGTGTCCCGACTCTAACTTCACTCCAGTACCATCTGCATTGCACGAACTCCAATGAGACAACAGAAGTGGTGATCAAATGTGGCCTTGGGACCTTTGCTAAACAAGCAACTAACCGGTCTACTTGTCCAAGGGTGACCCTTCTTTTTTTTTTTATTATTTTATTAGATAGTTGGATCTTTATTGCTTGTTTTGAAATTTTATAATTTTTATCTTTATTGTTTGTAATTCTTTTACATTCTAATTTCACTTCACTAAATTATTTTATTTTTAGTTATTAAAGTAATTTATTTTTTACATTCCAATCCCAGTTTCCCTTCCCTCCTCTCCTCCAGCTCCCCCCACACTCCTCCCCCCCATCTGCCCCTTGGAGAGGGTAAGGCCTCCCCCTAGGAAGTCTACTAAGTCTGTCCCATCATCTTGTTGAGGCAGGACCAAGGGTGACCCTTATTCTTGAAGCACCTTTGAGACATGTATTCAGACTGCATATTCCCACTTCCAGATGTTTAATACTGTGAAAGCACATGGGATACATACAAGACAAGACAGGCTAAAGTTCTTTTAAAATCATGTTTAAATGTGTTTTTAGTGTAATTATACATGTGCTATCTATAGGTTTTTAAATATTTTATAATAGTCGGACTATAATGATATAAAAAGCATAATTCCAAGCATCCTCATGGCAGCTAGCAACCATCTATAACTCCAGTTCTAGGGGATTCTATGCTTACCTCCTGCTTCTGTGATACATACGTGCATATAGTGCATGGATATATATGCAGGCAAAACACCCACATGAATAAATTTCATATGCTTTTTAAGATGTTAAACTTGGTGACCTCCTTTCCAGAAATGTGTGACAAGATGGAAGATAGGGTGGTGAGACCAGCAGTCTTGGCTTCTTCGTGACTCTAAACTTGTGCCGTTGCTCAGGCCTGGTTTCCTTTTCTGTGAGCTGAGAGATATACAGCCATCGTTCACCACCACTTCCCTCTCTACACTTTCAAGCGCAGCTGATGCCTATGTTTAAAGTCTCTGGGCTGCTTTTCTTTCTGAAATGACCGCATATCAGAAAATGATTCACAAGCCTCAGCCTGCTTCCCTTGGCTCCCGGGGGAGCCTGGCCACTCTGGACAAGCATGTCCTGGGTGGGGCAGCTTCTCATCAAAGGAGTCTCTGTAGGAGCCTTGAGAGCAAGTCCACGGATGCCTCCCTCTGCAGCACACAGAACACTTCTGTTCCTGCTCCCAAGGTGGGGCTTCTCTCCATGCTGGAGCTTTGTCACTGCGGTCAAAGGGCTAACGCGGTCATTAACACACATTTCCCCTTGTTCTCATCGGACACTTTGGCAATGGCAGCCATTCTGTGGGCAATACACACCACCGTTACCTAGACATCCATCTCTGCACCAACTGGACCTAGGGGGACCAAATGGCCTTGCAGTTCACTGTTTTCACAGTGCTTTTGCCAGCATTAAGATCAGTCATGTTGCTTCTAGAGACAGTCAAACCTATGAATGGAATGGTACATAGTCCTCATGGAATGAGAGGATGGAGCTCTCCCCAAACCTGCGAAC